TCATAAATGCTAGCATAAACTGGAGGAAAAACTTGGTGGAGCTAAATTTCACACCAGAATAAAAATCTGGAACCATTTTCAAAGGATGGTGAGCCACAGGACCATTTTTAACTTTGGATAAATGCAGAACTCTGCAAGAGTCTTAAACATGGTCAATACCTTTTTAAAAGGAAATAAAAAATAAGACATATGGCTCAGCAAGACCTAGTTATCATCTTTCCTGGGTTTAAAATTAAGAGCAATACTTAAAAGTTTTTTACACATGCAATGTATTATTCTTTATATTTTGGATTTGTCTTGTTAACTTTTAATTTTGACATTAGAAGGAGATATGTGTTATTTTTTAAGTGAAAATAGCTCTTTAGTTGACCAGATCTAAGAACCATCCAGGAACACATGGACCTTTGTGTCTCAGGGCCTAGGAACCTCTATGTAGATCTCAATACCTAGAAATCTCAAAAATATTGCTTATAAGTGTCTCTACTGTAGAGATACCAGCTTTGGTATTTCAGGTCCTAATAAATTACATATATTTGACCATGATCTAGCACTTGACAAGTTATGAATAAATAAATACTTTCCAGAGAGCCAATATCAACGATCCCTTCCTTCTCCTTTTCTAGGGACTGTTTCCATTGGTACAACAGTAGGAAAAAACATTCTTTTAGCTCTTCAGGGACATGCCCTTGGATTTTACAAATAATTTATACAAAAACTGCATGAGGAAAAATTCTGTATTTATCAAAATTATAATCAAAGACATAAAACTGTGTTGTCTTCTAGCCCTTATAAAAGGACCAACCCATATTGTGATGAGCACCAGGTGTTGTATGTTAAGTGTTGAATCACTAAATTGTATACCTAAAAGTAATATTACATTGTATGTTAAATAACTGGAATTTAAATAAAAACTTAAAAACAAACAAACAAACAAATATTTCCCTTCCTACAACCTTAACGTGAATCAACTTGGAATAAGTCATAGTTAATCTGTAGTTACTGAAGTAATCATGTTAAATCTAATTAGGGACATTAAGGTTGTCCCATATTAGAAGACTCTTTTCTTTGGTGGTCTTTCCATGTTTTATTGCTGGAGGCTGGAGTCATGTCTTACTCATTTCTCCATCCCCCACACAACACCTGCCACACAGTGCTTTGTAGACTGTCAGCAACCACTGAAAGTTTGTAGACTAAATCACGTGCACATACACAGAAAAAGCCATTTATCAGATTAATTATTCAAAACACTGGAGCTTCCTGATGCTCAATATTATAACCGGTAGCCATAAATTTTTTCTGTATAGTTTAAAACTCCTAATCTGTTCCTTCCCTTATTCTTTTCCTGTTTTGAAAAATATTTAGACAATATGACTATTAATGAATATTTTCTTTTGCACAATAATGAATTAAGTTTTCAGTAACAGTATCTGAAGGAGAAAAAATGAATTTGGGATGTTAACAAATAATGGCAGCATGGCTTGAAATGTCATGAAAGTATGCTGTCACTGACATATTGGCAATGAAGACTCAAGGCTCACCAATCCTAACATCTTGAATTAAATATCCAAAAATAAAGATAGGGTAATCCACTGCATTAGGAATGGTTGTTTAGGTGAGGCTCAAATGTGAGGTCCAATGAGACAGACATGATCTCTGTGGCCATTTTAAAAAAATGTTTATAGCAGCTTACACATGCAGTGTGATCGTAATTGCCAAAGAAGTATAAACTACCCAAATGTCCTTCAACTTTTCTATATTTAAACACTCTTCAGTACATTTATACAATAGAATACTACTGACCAACAAAAAGTAAATAAGTACTGACACATGCAACGACATGGATGAATATCAAATACGTTACGCCAAGTAGAAACAGCCAGCCTCAAAAGCCATAGAATGTGTGATTCCATTTATATGACATTCTGGGAAAGGCAACATTGTAGGAACAGAAAATGGATGTACCAGAAGATAGAGGTGAAGGAGAAGGGTCCAACAGAGGGTACAGGAGAGTTTCTGGGTGATGGAACTGTTCAATATCTTTTTAACTTTTTTATTATTTTAAAGATTGAGATATTTTTGGCATATAACATTATATTAGTTTTAGATGTACAACTGCAACCAAACTTTTCAGTATTTATCATAGTGTCTCAATCCCTGGAAGCCATTGTGTGGTCCTTCCCACATGGGGCCAAGTCCCTGCTTTATGCACAGGGGAGTCATGGCCCTTTTCACCTGGTCTACTGCCCTGGACATAGCAGGTGCTCAATAAATGAAAAACTGAATTGAATACACATGATTGTAAATCACAAAAGAAGTTTTCATTCATTCAGTCATTATAACAAACATTCCAGCTCTGTTTGGTTTGGAAGGTATTACTGCCTAATTACTGTTACTTTTTGTGGCAAAGAAGACTTTATAGTTGAGATTGGGTTAAGGTCCTTGAGGTAGGAAGAGCGCCTGGGTTATCCAGGTGGGCTGAATCTAATCAACGAACGCTTAGAGGGAGAAATCTCAGAAATGGTCAGAGGCAGCCACGATGGTGGAGCAATAGGCAGAGTGGCGCAATGAGAGGACCCCACACACTGATGGTGGCTTTGAAGGCTAAGGTGGAGTCATGAGCCAAGGAAGGCTGGCACCTCCAGGAACTGGAAAAGGAAAGGAAAGGGATTCTCCCCCAAAGCCTTTAGAAAGAACCGCAGCCCTGCCAACACCTTGATTTTAGTCCAGTGAGACCTGTGTCAGACGTCTGAACTACACAACAGTAAGATGGTACGTTTATTTTGTCTTAAGCTCTAAATTGGTGGTAATTTGTTATAGCATCAATAGGAAACTCATCCAAGTGGGAATAACCCAACTATTTGGCGATTTGATCCTGCTAAAGGATTCTCAGGGGCTTTGCCATTGCCATATTTCTGGAAGCATCAGTCTTTGTGAGGACTCTTCTATCTGGACAGGGCAAGATCCATGTTCTGGGGCTCTCTTCTGGGGATGGAAAAATCAAATCCTTTCACAACTGCATAATGAATAGTAAGCTATATTATTTTAACATCTGCTTGGAAGTGAGTACAGGATGCTTCCCATGGGAGGAGGGGTGTAGCATACAGTAGGGTCAAGACGTCTGTGATTGAGATCTGGTCTCACCACTAGCTAGCTGAGTGACTTTGGGGACATCACTCTTCTGTTTGGGTTTCACCTACCTTCTTCTGTGAAATTAGTAGGTCTAGAAAGCTTTTAAAGGTCTCTTTCATCTCTGAAATTAAGAGTTTCTAGGAAGGCTGGTGGAGAATGCCTACTGATGCTTTCAAATGTCACAGAAATAATCAACATGCATCATTCAACTGCCATGGGTGTTGAATATGGTTTATTTCTCTGAATTGATACATATATAGAATTATTTATAGAGAAAAATCACATTTACTCTATTTTAAAGACTAACGAATAAGATTCACAATGTTCTCATGAACAAGTTCTAGTACTTTTACAAAAGTTTGCCTTAATCTGAGTTATTTTTATCAGCCAAGCTATGTTTACTCTCCCCATACACAGTATGGTGTGAAAGAAGTACTGGGCTGTTGGTAGTCTTCTAGGTAGCTCCTTTCTTTACTTAGTCCTACTTCAGACTCATGGAAAATTATCCTAATTCCATTTTTCCTTTTAAAATATTTGCATTGCCACTAAAACCAAAAGGTCAAAGCCTAACCATTCAAGTGAGAGCAGACATGCAACTCTAGCACTGTCAGAAGAGATTTGGATCTCCTTGTCAGGAATGACATTTGAGTCAAGTTATGAAGCATATAAGTGAGGGAAGTTTTCATGACTTTCTAGTCACACTTTGGAAAAGCATTAGCCAGCCTGATTGGCATGTTATTCATGAGGCTTGGCCAGGAATGACCTTTGAGGAAGGATAAAAAGATCAATTTTACTGTTAAACGTGAAGACTTTTAATGATATGTTAATTAAATAGATCATTCCTATTACATTATATGGGTGCTTCCATGTGCCCTAGTGCTGACCCTTTGCTCCCATTACCTACCACTTATAGCGGTCCCCCTTATTTCTCTTCTATCCACTGACTCATTCATTTGTTCATGCATTAAGCACCGACTTGGTCCCAAGTAGTGTTTCGGGTGGAGGCAGCCCGGGAAATCTACAGTGAGGAGGAAGAGTGGGTTGGAGGTGGGACAGAAGGGCAGTGAACAAGGTCCTTTGAGGTGCAGGAGGATGTAGCGTCCTCCAGGAACTGAAGAAGGTCAATATGGTCGGAGCTTAGAGTTCAAGGAGACAGAGTGAAAGGTGATAGCCTTTCACCAAGGATCTCACCAGCCCTTTTCCCATTGAACTTTAGGCTGCTCTTTTTATGTGCCCCCCCCACTTCCCTTCCCATCTCCAGCACATCTTAACCAGCAGCAATAGTTGTATTAACAACAGGAGCATCATGGCGTCAATGCTCCCCCCCTCCACTCTCCTTCCTCTGCCAGGGGCTTTCCAAACACTGTCACATTGGATGCCCACAACTACCCTATGTGGCAGATACTACTGTCATCTGCCACCCACAACCCCTCTATATTTTCTTCTACTAAACGGTCTCCATTTTTTTCAATCATTTTTCACATGACATAGTCTGATATCCTCTCATCCTCTTAGGAATGCCCATAAGATCATGCTCCAGTTCACCTCTGTCTACTAAGGTATAGAGACAATGACAATGGAAGGACCCTGGTTTTCTCAGATTGCTAAGGCTGTCCTCTCATTCTGAAAACCCTATTTCTATGAATACATATGGACATGCAATGAAAATGTTTTTGAGGAACCAATTCACATTTTGGATTCATACCGAATTTAACATTGATGAAGACCTCTAACTTTTCCAACCCTATGGTGCTGTTCTGCCATGCCTCCATCTGTACCTGGTGATTTTGTTGTGGCGATGCATATGGGATGATAACCTTCTGGAATATATTTGCATTAAAGTGGGTGCATGCCTCCAGCTTCCACCTTACCTCTCAGTCACACCAGGCAAGATGAAGAACATCCAGAAGTGAATTCCAAACACAAGAATGACCTGAAAAATGACCTTTCCCAGCACAGTCTTCCTGAGGTATAGGGCTCGGTCCACCACCATAGTTCCAAACTGAATGAGGACCATCACCAAAAATGGCCCAGGAACCTGGTCCTCCGACAGTGAAGAGGTGATGTCTGCTGCTGCTGAGTGTTTCTGGGAAGGAAACAACAGGCTCAGGCACAAGTGGCATTTCACAAGACAGTATCACTCTTGCTCACTGGATGAATGGTGTCCTTTGCCCCCAACCTACCCCGAAGGCCCAGAAGCCAAAGACGATGATGACAAAGTCAACAGTGTCAGCCAGGAACATGAGCACATACACGTCGGTCACAGCACTGTAGTCTGGGTGGATGAGGTTGTAGAAGAACTGTCTGATGGGCACATATATTTGCAGAGTCCTGCAAAATAGAGACCCCCAGCACTTGCTTCAGGAGGGGCGGGATGGGAGGAATGACCAGACACCACCATCATTCCATTCCTCTGCATCCCTCTCTCCAAGCAGGTCACACCTCCCTCTTCAGCCTCAGCAGAGTCTGCTGTGGGTGGTTCCTGCTCTAACAGAGAGTAGACAAATTCATTGCCAAGAAAGGCACTATAGCCCTTTTTGCTGATGAGACCACAGGCCTCTTCTCTTGCTTGAAGCATAACAGTGGTCTCAAGTCCTAGAAATGAGGCGCTGGGTTTGTCACCTGATTCATCAACTCCCTGTCTGGGAGGCCCTGAGCACGCCACTTAGTTATCTGTGTTTTTGTTTCCTCTATTGTAAACCTTGGGTAAGAAGCAGACCTGAGACTCAGGGCTGGGGTGAGAATTATATGGGACTACATGGCAGTGCTTAGACCTGGAGTCTGACCCGAGCACCAAGGACACATTAGGTAGCCCCTGCTCTTCCCCTTTTTGGGTCCTGTGCCCCTCCTGGTTCCCAGGTAGTGCCTTGGGCTTTTAACTGCACCTTGTTCTGTCCAGCGTCTGCCTTCAATTCAAGGCCATGTTCAGGTTGGATGGCGCTCCTGGTCTCAGAGCCCACATCCAGGGCCAGCCCTGCTCAACCTCCTCCATTCCCATTGCTCAAGAGCTGCCTATGTCCCTGGCACTTGGGTGGGTGGTGGGAGAGTGCATTTTGCTGGAGACCAGCTATGTGATGTTGAACCTCAGTTTCCCCTCTCTAGGATGAGAGTGTTTCTCTAAGTCCCTTCCAACTCTGACATCATACACCTCTCCGTCTGGTTGGACGTTAGCATGATGATGCTTGGAAATACATACCAGGAGTCCTTGAAATCATTTATTCTATTCAAAAAGGAAAACTATGTTTATAAATGTAATGGATATAAAAATGAATCACACAGAAAAGTGATTTTTAAAAGCAACACATCCCCTCACACCTGTTAGAATGGTAATCAGCACAAACACAAGAAATAACAGGTGTTGGTGAGGATGTGGAAAGAAGGGAACCCTCGTGCACTGTTGGTGGGAATGTAAATTGGTGCAGTCATGGTGGAAAACAATATGGAGGCTCCCCCCAAAATTAACAATAGAACTATCATATGATACAGCAATTCCACTTCTGGGTGTTTATCTGAAGGAAATGAAAACTACTAACTCAAAAAGATATCTGTACCCTAGGTTCAGTGCAGCATTATTTACAATAGCCAAGACAGGGAAGCAGCCTAAGTGTCCATTGATGGATGAATGGATAACAGAAATATGGTGTGTGTGTACACACACACACAACACGGCATATAATGAAATATATAATATATGGAACAAGTCAGAGAAAATCCGATAACATATGATCTCACTAATACATGGAATCTAAAAAGAAAAATCAAAACCAAAACCCCTTCCTCATAGAGACAGAGAACAAATTGATGGTTGCCAGAAGTGGGGGCTGGGCAAAATGGGTGAAGGGAATCAAAGCATACAAACTTCCCTTTATAAAATAAGTTAGTCCTGGGGATGTAATGTACAGCATGGTGACTGCAGTTAATTAATCTGTACTGTACATTAACCTTAAATATTCTCATCATAAGAAAAAATTTTTATAACTATATGTGGTGTTGAATGTGAACTACACTATTGTGGTGATCATTCCACAACATACGCATATTATCAAATCATTATGTTGTACACCTGAACTTAACCTAATGTTATATATGTCAATTATATCTCCATTAAGAACAATACAATAATGGGCCATTTTCTTCTGCTTACACAGATGATGTCTGTGATATGAGAAGTAACTTCTCTACTCTTTAGCCCTGGTTTATATGAAACAATTGATACCAGCTCCCTGGCCCTAAAATAAAACACACCATCCAAGTGTCTTCAAGCACTCACTTCTTTATGGTAAATGCTTTTGCTTTGATTAAATGTTCTTGAAGCTTTTCCATATAAAGTTCCCTTTTGCTTTTCTGCTTGATGCTTAAAACACTGCTTCCTTTTTGACTGCTGTTCCGGGTGCTTGTGCTGCCTAGAAATAAAAAGAAACCAAGATGCGCTGAGTTACGGGTTTGTTGACATGAATACCGCAGAAGCCCTTGGAACCCACATGGCAGAGGGATGGCTTGAAGCGGATTTAGAAGGTGAGTATACACAGGTGCCTGTAAGAACAGTGACTGAGGACTTGGAATCTGCAGTTTCAACTCTGCCTCCACAGTAAAATGCATCTGTGGGCTTCTACACCCAACACTGGCTCTTCCTGGGGTTGTTATGTGATCTTTATCCCCGGAAGAAAGAGACTAGAGGTGCTAACTGGGGCCCCAGGTTGTGGGAGTTCCAGATTGGGTCCATGACCCATGTTTTTTTCATGTCCAGATTTCTCTAACTGTAAAATGAATATTGGAAGACTAAAAGGTGTATTCTGAAGATGAATATGCAGGTGTTTGGAAAGCTTTAGGCATTAGCACTGTAAATACAAAAACCCAATTTCTCCAAGAGCGGCAACTGTCGGGCCTATCTATCTGCTGATGATACTCACTAGTTAGTACGAAATGAACAACTAGAGTATAAATAGATGGCTTTGCTAAAAGTTCCCTTGATTGAATCTAAAAATATTTTCAAAATAAAATGTGATCTATAGCATTCTGGACACACCCAGCAGAATTCTCTGGATATGACTTAAAAACTAGCATGTGCCCACACGGGCAGTGTCCTAGCCACTTTTCACAATTACCTGAAGTCTTTGTCCTGGGAAGGAATCAGACATTTTGAAGAATGATGTGACTGCCCCAGGTCACACAGCTGAGCCAGGATCTGACCTCGGGTCTGTCTGATTTCAAAGTACTTTCTTCTCATATCACAACATCTGTCTCCTTGATAGCACCCAATAAACACCCCTGCCCAAGACCCAGACCCACTAGAACCAGAACAACCAGAAAACTCAGGAGTTATTCTAGCCTAAGTATATCATGTGACAGATACCTCTTTTGGACCTGTTGGAAGAAAAGCTGGATCTGGGGGATATCTGGGAGCTGCTTCCTGATCGCTTTCTCCGGATGGCGGTGGGCTGCTCCGGGAAGGATACATGTACCGACTCTGCCGATGTGGCCAGGTTGATGGATTTCAGAGAATCGGAGGAGGCTCTTCTGCCACGACTGAGGGAGAGCTCATCATCTGACTCTTCCTTGTCTGTGCCACTGTCGGTTATGTCATCTTCATCCCACAAGCCATGGCACTGAGAAAGCATAAGGGACAACTCAGGGGGCCGTTCCAAGGGAGGGAGCTATATTCTGCCCTACAGTATCACATCCCCCATGATTAGAAAGCCAAACATGAGATATGGTGACTATAGTTGGTGACACTGTATTATGTAACTGACATGTGCTAAAAGAGTTAGAATTTAAATGTTCTCACCAAAAAAAGAAAAAAAAAAAGGAAAAGAACACAAACACATGTGGGAGGTGATGGGTGGTAATTAGCTCCATGGAAGGGGTCCTTTCACAGTGTATCTGTAAATCACATCACCACGGCACGTTCACGGCATGTTCACATCACACTTTAAATCTACTACAATTTTTTGTCATTCATACTGCAGTAAAGCAGACAAAGGATTAGAAAACCAATGGATTCTAGGAAAGCTTATTATCTAGATGCTTATGATGGTTCCAGTAGAGTGAGGATGAGTGGGTGCAGATCAAAAGAGTTTGGCTAATTAACTGACAAATGGAGGCAGATGATGTTTGGCAGACGGAGTAAGGGTGGAATTAGAATCACTTGACTTGCTCCTGAGTGAAAGCACTTTCTAGAACATATTTCTCTGTGCTTACAAGTAACATTTTAAATATCAGTGGGTGAATTTAGCCCCACCGCACCATGTTCACCAAGTATCTATACTTGGATAATGATGCTGCCCTTCCCTCAACCTACACAGTAAGATGTGAACCCCTGGATCACCGATGGCTGAGTCAGGAACAGAGCAGCAAATACTTTACCCAAAAAATGTTGGTTCTTATATAAGACAGAGATTATGATGCACTCTGCAGAGTCTGGATTTTGCTTCAAAGAATGAGCAAAAGGGGCTGGTAGGACAGACAGGAGGAAGGACAGCAGAAGAGGCTGAGAAAAACCAGGGACCTTGCTGGTGCAAGATGCTGCCTGGACAGCAAATCCCCCTTCCAATGAACTTGCTGCTGCTGCTCGAAGCTCCTCAGTAAGCCCACTGCCTTCTGGGTTCCCAGACTGCCAGGCTATGCATTTATTCCTTAAGACCTTGCCCAGTCCTTCCTTTGACACAGGCTGTAGAGGATAAGAGCTCTAAGCCAATTTGCCAAAATTCAGTTGGTCAAAAAATAACTTGGAGAATGATCAATTCATTAAAAGAAAAAGTCACCTAATTCACAGACTATTCTTAAATATTAATAGATATATTGTTTCTAAAAGATTCAATGGATGCTATTCTTATAGCAAGCATTTGAGATTTTCATGAGATTTTTCAACTACTATTGATTTCTTTTAAATCATTTATTTTCTTTTAAATTATTTTAAAAGTTGTTTCTTTTGCCAACATTTGAACATACTTAGATTCTTTTACTACTTTCATAGTAGCATATTTGTTAGTTATTTCTTCCAATTATTTAGAAAATTTCTAGCAACTTGTATCAAATAGGATGGTTTTAGCCACTTTTGAAATTTCCATACAGTTTGAGCTGTTTGGTTTCCATAGCAGCATTGTTTAATAGGTTTCCAAAGCTGTAGGGTAGTTTTGTCTTCTTATGAAAAGATTTGTCATCCCCAAAACTATTTTTCATATCATTAGCCAAAATTTCAGCATAATAGTACCTCAAATACATTCACCATATATATGAAATTTTCTAAGAAGAAATCAGAGTAATCAATATGAAACACCAAAATTTTGTTTATTGTATGCTTTAAATATGCAATTATAGCTCTTAAACCATTTAAATATTAATGAAAAGGCAGCAAAAATGCCTAAAGATTTATAAAAATTTTTAATTGATTTTTTATTTATTTTTATTTATTTTTTAAGATTTTATTTATTTATTCATGAGAGACAGAGAGAGAGAGAGAGAGAGAAGCAGAGGGAGAAGCAGGCTTCCCCACTGAGCAGGGAGCCTGATGAGGGACTCAATCCCAGGACCCTGGGATCATGACCTGAGCCGAAGGCAGACGCTTAACCATCTGAGCCACCCAGGTGCCCTTGATTTTTTATTTTTAGCTTAAAAAAATTTTTTTTTAGAGAGTGTGAGCAGCAGGGGTGGGGCATAGGGAGAGGGAGAGAGGCTCCATGCCCCACGCAGAGCCGGATGCAGGGCTCAGTCTCACGACCCTGAGATCATGACCTGAACTGAAATCAAGAGGCAAACGCTTAACCAACTGAGCCACCCAGGTGCCCCCACAAACTTTTTAAATGATGCACAAAAGTTGCAAGAGAGTTCTGAAGTGACCCAATCTATATGATCATGTCTTTTTTTTAAAAAATTGAGGTGCAATTGACATACAACATAATACTACCATGTCTTAAATGCAGAAATTTAAACTTTAATTTCTAGAACTAAAGAAATAATGTTAATATATTTGTTAATATATTCATAACAAGAATTAGTAAACTGTATGAATTCAGGTAATTTACCAGAAGAACTGGAAATTTTAGCCAAATTCAATTTTGGCTAACTGGTTTCCATGGATAATATACTTTTACAAACCCACCACACCCCTGTGACCCAGGTAAGCCTCCCCCTGAGTGGAGGGTCAGGGACTGGCACATTTTGCAAGGTGGTGAAGACAGAGTGAAGATCCTGACCAAGGTGTATGCAGAGGAAGCCCAGTTTGAAATAGCATACTGAGTAGGACAGAAGTCGAACACATTGTTACATATGTCTGTATGTGTGTGTTTGTATATTAACTTATGTCAGCTTGTTCTAAAAAGGAACTAATAAAGATACTACTTGATAAAATGAATTTGAAATATTTTATAAAAGGAGACAGGTTAAAATAAGAGAAGTAAGGTAGTGACAACTGGCAAATTGATACATAAAATGTATATTATGCAGCAATTTCTAATTTTTAGAGTTGAGTAGTGTATTTGCAAGCTTAGCTAATAGTTCACAGTGTGCAAGAAGAAAAACCCACATGGTTTTTCAGGGGGATGACAAGAGTTGCTGAACGTGAGACAGACCATCCTGTAAACAGGTCTTGCCAGAGTAGTGTAATGAATGGCTTTCTCAACAATAAGCTTACAAGAAGCACAGCTTTGGGCTTCACGCAACCATTTAATGTATGGTCTCTCACTAAAACTAATAGTTTCATGACAAGAAGTATCCAACAAAAGCAATTCTACTAAAAGAAGGTAGGCAGAAGTTGGAATCGAGATGAGAGGCAATATGATCTGCCCTAAATTGTAGCTCTCTGGTGTTCTGGCTTAAACAAGGAGAATTTAGTGTATTAAGCATGAAGACATTGCACACCATCCAAGCAATTCCCACAAATATGGATTAAGTATGATATGTTCATAATAGAAGTAGAAATATGGGGGAATTTTCTTCCAAATTTATAACAAGTTCCATTATTGAGCACATAGTGTTAGAGAAAATGTCCACTAAATGAACAAGAGCTGCTAAAGAAAGAAAAAGAGCATAAAAGTAGATGCACTCAATGGCCCCCTGGCCTCATGACCAATACTAATGTTCAGGTTCTCCAGGGATATCACAGGTGGCTGCAATTATCAATATGTGCTGGTCAGGTATTAATGTGCCATACCTTCAAAATTGACCGATGGAAGAAAAGAGCCAGGAGCTGAATGAGATCGTAAAGGACATAACCTTCTTTCTTTTCCACTCCTATGATATTAGGTGGGTGGTAAGGTTTATCTTTGTTCAATTCCACATTCTTGTTCCAGGGAAAGAACCCAAATTGGAAGAAATACTTGACCACAATTGCCACCTACACACGGATGATGGAAATTAAAAAAAAAAAAAAAACTTCTTTTAAAAATGGCTATATATAAAAAACAGTGATTTAAAAAATTTAAAGATCATTTCATAATTTTGATGATAAGAATGAACATAATTATGTGGAATAATAACATCATCCTTCTCACATGGACTTTAGACCAAGAGTAATATTTTACTCTTGTGAGTGCCTCTGATTGCAGATACATGAGGGTCAGTCCGGTTACTCACAACACCTACTTAAATGATTTTCTCTATTTTTGAGGAGTTGTCTAATTTATACTGACTTAATGAGATATTTATATAGTTATTCGGCTATTAAAATATGGTAATGAGGAAAACCTTGAACAAAAAGAAGTTTATATTTTATGTATTTCTTTGATTTGTAATCTATCTGAGCATCTCAGGCAGTTTCGATGCCTATTTTCACTTTCCTCTGATCTCTTTCTTCTCACGATTTTATTGTTCCCTGGAAGTTCTCCTCAAGAAGAAATAAAGTAAATAAAACAAAGACTTGCCAGTTGTGGTGACTAGTTCAGGGTATAAATATTGTAGAGAGGTGGTTTGCGACAAAGACACATGAGAAATTTGATGTGCCTCATTTAAGCATCCCTCTAACATTTGTGTCACCAGAGGATAATTACAATATATGTAATTCATCAATAAAAATATTTCAAAAGTCCTCTTTTGACCCAGAGTCTCATTGTACCTCTTCTCCCGTCTCTCTCCTTCTTACAGTCAAGCTTCTGCGAAGAACAGTCCTGTGTTCCTTATCATCTGAGCAGCACCATCACATCCCGGATACCAGAACAGAAACCTGAAGACCATCCTTGACTTTCCCTTCTCACTCACACCCCAAACTGTTTTAGTCTCTTACTAGAACTTCTCATTTACCCATTCATCTTCAGCCTCATTGCCGTTGGGTCAGTTCACATCCTCTGACCTCTCACCTAGACAGTTTCCCAGCTGGTCTCCATGCCTTCACATGATTTCATTTTGTGTAAAACCTTGGTAAAGACAAGCATTACTGGGTCATGCCTCTGCTCAAATATTTCCATACCAGGGGGAGAAAGTCCTGAGCATAAACCCTGTTGACATTCCCAAGATCCTGCTACTGTGCTGTCCACTCACAGCCTGCCTTCCAGCCATTGCAAGCCACCTGTCATTCCTGGCACATGCTACAGTGTCATATGCCTGTGTTTCTTTGCATGGGTTATTCCCAAAGACTTGCAGGTCCCTTTGCTTTCCATTCTTTGGTGACCTTACATTCATCCCTCAAGACGCAGGTCCAAGATGTCTTCCATTGAGAAGTTGCCATGATAGCCTCTCTCCACTCCACTCAGCCTGCATGAGGCACAGTATCCATCTCTCTTGTATACTCTAATGCAGTTTTGTGTCATATTACAGGGCAGTTCTTTGTTTACAACATATGTTTGCCACATTAGTCTGTGAGCCATTGAGAAACAGAAAAACAACTTAAAAAAAAACCAAACTTATTGTCCTTTTCTCATGCCTAGAACAGTTCTAGGGTTTTCTTTTCAGTTCTAGGGTTTTGGCACATAGTCTAAGTTGTAGAGTGAATTAACATCAACTTAATTTTCCACTTTCTCACTCCTTGGTGTGATGGAGAAAATGGAGAACCCAGTTTAACTTAACTAGGAAGAGTTTCTTTTATGATGAAAGCTACATATAAGTAGCTCTTGTTCCCTTTTCTAAGTTCTTAGTACGTGCCCTTCTTCCACTTCTAGGTTAGAAACTCCCTCACTCAAAGGTGTTAGAGAGAACAGACCCATTCCCCAAATAGAAAGTCATTTATGTCCCAGATCACAAAGTGATGTAGTGGAAGTAATACTTAAAAATGATTACTTTGGCAAGATTGTGATGGACAGCCTACTTAAAATAATAGATATGTATTTGGCTTTACATCTTTTATTTTTATAAGCATTTAAATGTATTTAAATAATTATTATGGAAATGAGATACATAATACTTTAAATTGATGCTTTTGAGATGATTTGGCAAATAACCTTGTTTTATTTTACTGAATTACCTATAAACCCACAAAATTTCTAGAATCTAAATGTATATCCATCATGAGTTCTTTCCTTTAAGGAGCAATTACAGTACCATTGCTAGCGAAAACTTTCCCTTATAAGACAGGTAAGGAAATCAGCCTTCTTCACAGACCCCAGAATACAAAGAACTACAATAACCCCAGGCACAAAGTCTATCGAGCCTCCCATTTTATGCCCAATTTTATTGTTGTCATGAAAATTTGTGATCTTCTATATATTTAATAAGGAAGGATAGAAAATCAGGTTTAGACAATTGGGAAGAGTGTCTCCTGTCCCCTCACATGTGACAAAAATAAGGTAACTTACCCTGTGTCATTCAGATTTTTAGATAGGCACTTACATGGCTTTGTGTTTTGGTGTGTGGAAACTGGCTTTTAGGCTTAAAAATGGGAACTATGCCTGTGGTACCAAAACTATATTCAAAATACTTACTGTATTGTTTAATTCAGTGTCCACTCACTGGACATCCACCAGCACCAGGCACTATACTTAGTTCTGCATAACACATTATCTCAGTGGTTAATATCATAGGATGGATGACCAGATTTCAAAAGCCTACCCCACCATTTGCCAGCTGGGTAACTTTGGTAAATTATGTAGTCTCACTAAAGCTGTTTCCTTCTCTGTAGCACCTATTTTGTGTGAGGTGTGTAATGTAAAAAGATATACAATTGCTAGCACTAAACAGCTGTTAATAATAATCGTGTGCCTATCTAAGAGCATCCATCTAGCTGAATATCTTACTTCAACTGTCCTGAAGACAGGGCAGACCTGTCTAGAGTGAAGGCCAAAAGTGATTTCCAGGAAGGTTCCATCCCAAGCTTACCTCTGTGTAGACAATGGCCATCATCCAGAATCGTCTACTGGGCCTGGGGACAGACAGCATGGCCCAGAGGAAGATCAGAATGGGGAGCACAAGGGTGATCATGGAGGCAGAGACCATGTGGTTTAGTATGATCACAAAATAGCACACCATTTCTGAGCGAGCCACCAGAGTGTTGTACATGGCATAGAACAACAGCAAGAACCGGGGCTGACCAACGTAGAATTTCTCTGACTCTTCAAGCTCGTCATCATGGAACATCCTGTTATGGATGATAACAAATGGTTCTTTCATTTCTCCAAATTACTGGTTTCCACCTTGCGTGATCCCTCCTGTCCCTCCCCGTTTCGCATGTCCCCAGATTTCCGGTGGAGTCAACCTAATAGCCTATTACAGAAAGAAATATGGGCACCAGAGTCTACTCTGGACAGCGTTTGCTAGTTCTATCGTTCACAACGGAAGCACCCAGCACCGTGTCTGTTTGCTTGACCCTCGAGGTGGACGGTTGTCCAAGGGAGTTTCTCTACCTCCAAGCACAGCAGGCACAGAAGCCCCCACGGGCCTCTTACTTGTTCAGCAGCAGCTCGCTGGCCGTCAGCTCGTGAGTCAGGGGCGGTAAGATGCTGGACTCGAGCCTGTCCGAGCGGCTGTCGTCAGGACTCACGGCCATGTGGCTCTGGCCCGCAGAGTCATCCCTCGAGCCGAAGGACAGGCGCTCGAAGCTGACTGCCTTGCTGTAGGACGGCGGGGCCTCCACGTCCCCGTCCTCGGTGGAATACTGCGGCAGCTCAGCCTCCGGGGTGAGGCCGACTTCTGAGGCCTCCGAGGCCTCCGAGGCCTCCTCCAGCCCCACATCCGCCGTGGCCTCCCCGCCCTGCCCGGCATCTCCGGCTGCTGCCTCGTCGTCCTGCTCAGCCTCCACTTCCGCTATGGTCTCCGTCGTCCCCTGGCGTGAGTACAGCATGGTGCACTGCGTGGGCTCGCTGTCCGGAGAGAGGGACGGCACACAGCCCGGTCTTAGTATCCTCCCGACTCTCACGACACCTTCTCAGCACTCCCCAATAAAAACATTCAGAGAAAACTAAATACCCCATCCCCCCACCCCCACCTCGCCTGCTTTATTCCTTCAGGATATTCCGGTCTGGTCTGCAGAGACTGCAAAATGGCAGCCCCTTAAAAGCAAAAAGCCCACGGTGCACACACACGGTGGTTGAAAACCTGAGCAAGTCACATGACATGGCTCGTAAGTTGCTAAACCCACCTATGTACAGAGGTGGTCTAAATCGGGTCAGGACTCACAGCCATTGTTTATTTACAAATCAAGACAGAGTTAGCGCAGCATACCTACCATTCTATTAAAGGAGGGTGCCTACTGGAAACAGGAAGCCTCCTTGCCAGCCTGGGTCTGTGGGTGTTGGCCAGGAGGTACTCTACTCTCAGTTCTACACAATGCATCCACCCCTACCCATAAGGGGAGGATAGGAATGATAAAACATTGGCTAAATTAAACAACTGCATGCTTTATGGGGTAAAAATGGCATTCTTCTTGAATATCTGTTCCTCCCCCCTATTTTTCCATACTTTGCCTTTTTCTTCCTGATGCTTATTACATTTGACTGAATTTTCACCATCTTTCCAGCTCCCAGCCACCCCTACTGGATTCTTTGCTTTGCACATGGGAACACCACCATTTTCCCACCCCAGTGCTATGGACCCTTGGCCCTTTGAACTGTTGGCTCAACCCCAGGGTGTACTCCTGCTCTCTCTCCCCCAAAAGACTTCAAATTATTTTCTTCTACCTGCTCCCCTTGGGGTGTTCATTCTCCCTAAGCTTCCCTACTTAGCTCAACCTTTTGTTTTTAGCAACCTGTCCATCTCTCTTGTACCTCTCCTTCTTTAGTCCTTTATCTCCTCGCGTTACCTGTTATGTCCCTGCTGGAGACTTTGGAAATGAAAAGACAGCAGCCACGCCAGGGAAATTCATGGCATGCCTGTTTTCATTGTCCATCCCAGCCCCCTGAAGGGGAGAAGGGCAAAGATGTTCTGGAGTTGTGGGATCTGGTGGATGTAGAGCCGTACTCTATTAGACTCTGAAATTGTACTGTTATTCGAATGGCATATAGTGAGCAGCTAGGGTCCATACACATTGAGATTCTCAAATACACAGATTGTACCCATTTTTTTTGTCACAGACACCAGTGTGGACATGTCAATAAGTGAGTGGATGGATGCATGGATGGGTAGATGGGATGGATGGATGATCAGACCTAGGCAGAGCCCTTCGTGGCATCCTGAGACTGAAGAACATTTGTGTGAGCGCTTGGTGCCCACTCATGTGTTTAATGTTCCCAGGACCTTGGCCTTCAGTATGGACATCACATAGAAAGCTCTCGAAACGTCAAGGCAAACTGGATTTTTTTCTAGGACTTACCTCGATTAAACAGCCTCCTAGGAAGGTCATGAAATTGGTCACCCTAGACAATTTTCAGAGCAGTGGAGCCAAGCCCACATCAAGTCTAACTTCCAGTTGGACCCTAACCAATTACAAGCATGCTCTTTATGGTTTTGGATCAGGTCTAGCCCTAAGGGATTCAGCTAGTCCTGGTACCTTCAAGACTCAACCAAGTGGAATGGAATAGCATGTGCCTGCCAGGGAACATCTCAAATGGCCAAGGCATTCCCATCAATGCCAGGCTCCAGCATACTGCAGCACTGTTTTAAGATATTCAGCTGCCAACTAAAATAAGTTAACACCCCTCTGATTTGCCACTATGTACAGTCAACATTAAAATTTGTCTTGGATTGGGTTATTTTGGTGTCAGGATAAGCACAACGTAGCCGATGTTTCTGTGCCCCCATGGGCCATTCTAAAAGGCAATTCCAAAAAGAACTTTTGGACTGTATGTAAATAATTTCATTTCTAAATGATTATGCTTTTATGGTAGGATTTAATGAGACAACTCAAGCCCAAAGCAGTACAAGTTATAGTCTACAAAGGTGACATATTCTACTGCATCATAATACTCTTGTCTAAATCCAATGGCAAAATATATTCTAACTTTTACAGAATTATTCTTATCAACTAAAGAGACTACAGGTGGTATATATATATTTTTCCTCTTGCATGTATCTTTCCCGACACATTTTTCCCTGTGAGGACTGCCTACACGAGCTCTCAATCAAGGAGGAAGCATGCTTATTTCTTTAAAAATGGAAAGTGTAAAATACTTACAAAACGGAGGACAATGTTTATGATAAGGATTTTTAAGAAACTCCTAACAGACAAAAACTGAAGAGCGGTTAGTTTCAGAGAATGCCGTCCTGGGAATGAGCAGTTATGTCCCAGAATGAGGGGCGGTGATGCTCTGGTGAGTCATGCAAATTCTTAACATAAAAATTAATAAAACAAACAAACACATCACAAGAACTTATATCTGCAATGACATGAAGGGGAACAAGTGAGAAAATTCTGGAACAAAGCATGCACGAGTTAAGCACCTTGATGCTAAACTGCTACTGTCAGCTGATGAGGAGGACATATCCATGCTGAACATTTTACGAAGCCTAGGTCGAGCACGCTCACTTGTTTTAGGAACAGTTTCTGGTCCATCTAAATCATCAAGGGTAGACTGCCTTGAGAACAGCATGGTTGCTTCGGTGTAGCAGCTAGCAGCGCAAACAGTCACAGAGACACAGGGTTAAAACACCAGTGGTACATCAGTTTACACGCGGATCGATCGACCGACACACTGCCATGCAGCAAACCACACGCGACACCAACACTATGGATGCCGAGCACCACAGCGGGGCTCAGGGAAGGGAGGTCAGGAGGGGCCTGGTCGGCTGCGTGGTAAGACACAGCGGTTCTCAATTTGTAAAAATGTATCAGCTGGTGATAAATCATGAATGGTCCCCTCTCTGGGTCGGGCAGGGAACGGGAAAAATGACAAGTCCCAACATGCCTTGCGCAGAGTGGAATTTATACTTTTTAACTTTGTAACTGAGCTTTTTGCTGTTTTCAATAAAGACAATGTTTTATTTGGAGCTCCCAATTCTGAGTTCATTGAAAGTATTTTGTAACCCAATTGCGGAAGCAGAAATATCTGCTTGTGTAAAATGTATACAGAACATTTCAATGTTTTAAAAATAACAGTCTCCAACAATGAGAGAGGGAAGCTCAGAAATGACCACAAGGAACTGAATTGTCCACCCTGTTTTTCTGAGTGGTATTCAGTTAAGCCAAACTAGATGCCTTGCGTGGAGAAGAGATGCTGGTTTGATATGCAACCGGATATAAACCAACATCCAAGAAAAATAAAAAAAGAAATGGTACCAAAAAAAAACAAAAAACAAAAAACAACAGAGGAAGTCTAGCGACGGCAGGGTCATTTTGTCTGTTAACTTCTCATTTTGCCTAATGAATTTTTTTCTTCTGGATCATGTTTTGGGACTTGACAGATATTATTAGGGCGAGAACCCATTGGCTAAAATCCTCATGTTGCCCCCACGGAGCAAAAATCAGGGAGGGAATGGTGGCGGATTCAGGACTGAGGACTGCGTGAGCTACTAGAGGAGAAGAAGCAGACACAGTTACAACTTAGGCATCATTTCAGTGCTGATGTATAGTTTAGCCCAAAGGGGGACAAGCACCCCAAAGAGCCTCTGAAGGAGGCTACTAGAATAAGAATCTTCCACCCCGAGCACCAATGGCCTGGCTCCTGAACATCTGTATTTAATTTCCTATTTTTAGAGGCACACCCCCATGGCCTTTTAGGGGTTTGCAGGCAAAAAGATACCGTGTACCCTCCCCTGCGGCCCTGCTCAGATTTTCTGCGTGGGAATCACTGTTGGAATCCTGAAGTCTGACTCATCTTGTTAATGCCTGGGCCCACTGTCGCAGCAGCTGACCCTCACATCCCACACCAGCCCACCCGGTTGGGTTCTGTGGAGTGTGACCAATTGGTGGTCCAATCCAGGGCAGTTTTAAAAGTGAAAGGGAAGAGGAGGAGCTTTCTGATAACAGGCCCAGATGACAAGCCTGAAGGGACAGCTGCTGTCACCTCGTTGATCAGCCCACACTTTGAGCCACTCCGGGGCACACGGCAGCCTCTTAGGTGACATGTTTCAAGGGAGAACCACCTCCTTCATATCTAGGAATGCTCCTTAGACGGTCATCTAATGTGTCTTGCACAACTTAAAAGAATTAGTTTCTGGGAAAGTAGATGATATCTGATTTCATAAAACAACCATTAAAACAAGTGCCATTTTACAGCTGGATCTGAAGGAAATAGTGACTTTTGCAGTAAGTCAAAGGGAATACAAAGTCATTTGTTAGGCTCTCATCCCATCTGCAGTATGCCCAAAGGTGAAGATGGGTGACAGGGATGCCAGAGCAGGACCGTGGCCTGTGGGACAGCCCCACCCAGGCAGGGTACCTGCACAGGGGGCGGGGCCACACCGAGCATGCGCAGCCCCACTGGGGGCCAGTGCTAGACCCTAATGACGCAGGTGTCTCCCAGTGAACTTCCACCCTTGGAATCCTTTCTTGGGAAGACTGCTGCCTTTCTAGAAATCAGGTGGCTTCCAGTAGACTTTAATGTGGCCAGATTTTGTCTGCAGACTTGACAGCTTCCTAAGGCAAAAAACTAGAAGTGGAGCTCAGCCATTAAGAAAAGGGCAGGTGTGTTAATTCATTTATTGACGACATAACGAACCCTCTTGTTTCTCCCCTTTTTTTAGGTTGAAATGAAAAGTAAAAGATACATTAGGAACTAATTTTAAAGGCACTGGTTTTCTACTAGTAAATTCATTGACTGATTGACCTAATCTTGGGTCCGATTTAAAGGCAGTTACTTGATTTTATTTTCAGTCTTCTTCTTCCTTTTTATCCCTCTTAGATTGTGATTTATAATATTAAGTTAATTTCTTAGCGGGGCATGTTGTCAGTTGTTACGCAGTTAAAGGTTACTAATACAGGAATCGAGTATGTTTATTTTATGGACAACTTATTTTCAATTCACTCTTTAATACTCTCTTTGATTTGTTTGATTCTGAGTTTGGTTCTTGAGCAGCTATTCTTAGGTCAGGAGGTCTGTGAAACCCTTGAAAATTTATGGGAAAAATTTGTATTTATTTGTACTTTTTCCCTTTGGGAGATAGTATATCTTAGCACTTTTCTCATCTTACCATTCTCCCCCTTTTTTTTCAAAACCAGTTCTTTGGTCATGAATAGGTTATAAAGTAGGTGGATTTGGAAACTCTGTGATCCCCTGTGGACCTTCATACACCCCTGTAACTAGGAAGCAGCATCTGTCAGCATCTTGAATATCCACTACATTCGGACAAAAGTTTTTTTTCACTCAAACAAATCTTTGTCTCCCCCTGCCTCTGCCAACACACTTGCACATTTTTGCAAACGTGCTCATGCAGTCTTTATTTATTTTTAAGGGAAGAGCTACCCATGAAGCAACTTGGTATAATGTGGGTAAAAATGGATTTTCAGTTTTTGCATAAAAATGAATCAAAGCGAAAATAATTCTGTTTAAATTACTGATCTACATAGAGAAAATTGTTGAAACAAGAACAAATTTAAGAACGCTGGCAGCTTCCAAATAGGACAGTTATTTATGGTTTGCAAAAAATAAAAATAAAATACAAACCATAATCATTTTTTGTCTCGATGGAGTCTTGCACAAAGAAAATGAAGCTCCCCTTTCAAAAATGCAGGTTGTGGGGCATTTTCAGGAAGGCACACAAGGGGGCGCTGTCAGAACTTGTCAATCAAGGAACATGACACTAAATTTTGACTTTGTAACTTTGCTTTTACTAATGGTTTTGGAAATTACTGATTAAGAAATGTGGGCATGTTTGGGTGGAGAGAGAATGAGAAACTTTTATTAGCATGCCCACTATTGTAACAATCGCTTATTTTATTCTAGAAATTAAAAGCATCTGGAACAGGATCTCAGTTAGCAAATAAATGTTTTGACCTTGAAAGTCTTGAGAGTTTCTGTCCTCAGTGTCTCTTCTCACAGAAATCTACAATAGCTAAAATATGTCTGTTTCTTTGGAACTGACAAATTAGCAAGGATTATTCCCAAATTAAATCGAAAATATAATGCCTTTTATTATCCCTCAAAGAACTTTAAAAGAATCGCTACCAATTTTGAGGGATGGGCAGAGGGCAGGAAGGGATATATCCAAGCAGAATTTTATCTGTACAAAGATCACATTTAAATCAATATATGAATATATATGTTTTTTCACAAATAAAAATGAAGTTTTGGCATACATTCTATTTTAAACCTCGGCTTTTACTCAATTGCAGGGAATATCTTTCCATACCAATAAATATAGATCTGCATCAATAGGTAATTATTGGGTAGCAAGACAACAGGCACAATTGGAGAAGCTCAAATATAGCAACTCAGCAGCAGTGAAACAGCCCTTCAAGGTAACCTTTTTTTTGCCCACCTCTCCCACTTCAGGCTCCAATTTCAACTTGTGGTTATCTATTTGGGATTTGGTATCAATAAAATAGTCTCAGTTCCCTCCCCTCCCTTGTCCTGTAACATTTGCATTATTTGTGGAGGACAGATATTCCGCCAGGCCTCTGAGGCTCTGCACAGTGTATGACGTGGGAGTGCAGGCCATTTAGGCCTTCTAAGACAGGAGGCTTGCAGGCTGGGTCCGCGGCCCTTCCCACGGCAGGAATCCCAATCCCAATCCCAACTCAGTGGGTCTTTCTTCCCAGACTCCAACTACTTAGAGATGATGTATCTTTATGTGTCTATCTCACAGTCGAGTTCAGGGCCTGGCATGGAAGAGGTGCTTTTAGACATGTTTAATGAAAGCAACAAATGTCCTCAGTGATAACGTTCCTGACCTGTGAAAATGTATACAAGGTGTGATTCGTCCAGTCTAGCTAATCACCCCATTGGCATGTCAGCCACCTCCAAGGACACGACTTCTGCTTCAACTCAGAAGCTAGCTCTGTGCGAGCTGCAGCAGCTTTCTAGAGCCCTGAGGCAGAGAACTGGGGAGGCTCTACCAGGACAGGCAGGAAGAAAGAAAGGTCAGTTCTCCAAGTTGGCCTGGAGTGCAGGAAGAGGCCACGAGAGGCAGCACATCACGGTGATTGAGAGACTGGGCTCTGAGCCAACCCTTAAGGCTTTGGATCCTGACTCTCTTTTACAGTACTTCCTAGCCATGTGGCTCTGGGTACGTCACTTAACCTCTCTGTAACTGAACTTCGTGTTCTGTAAAATGGGGATGATAACATGCATCCTGTAGGGTCTTAGAAGGATACAGTGAGGTAACCCATATACAGTGCATCCTGCTTGCCCATGGTGAGGGCAAGGCCCCTGTAGTGAGACAATGCTCATGGTCACATGGGCCAGGGAAGATGGAAGCTAACAGAATCCCTTCTTGAATTTTTATCATGGATCACAAAGTAACAATTCTGAAAGGAGAAGATCAAAGATAGCAACAGATGGTAGAAGATTCTAGTATAGAAAATACTCTGTGGGGCAGCATTTTTTCAGAGGAATTAAAGATGCAGCCCTTGACACAAATAGTCATTTTGTACCTTATGTGCTAAAAAACAAAAAGTCATTTTGTGATCGGGAAGGCTCATTTGGACTTGCCTCCAGCTTGGAAGTCTCTGTCCTGTGCCTGCGAGTCATACTGGTATTTCTAATATGGCCTATTTTTTTTTCTTTAAGTAGTGTGGAGTCCAACGTGGGGCTCAACAGGGCTCAAACTCACAGCTCTGAGATGGAGACTCGTGGTGAGATCGAGTTGGCCACTTAACTGACTGAGCGCCCCAGGCGCCCCTCTAATAGCCTATCACTGATACCTGATTTTATCTGGCTCAGTCGAGGGGAGGACAGTATTCCTTTTGCTTTGTTGCGTGCAGGGAGGTCTCCTGAAGGGGGTGGGGATCCATGTATGTTTTTGATTAACTTTCACCTCACACATTCATGTCTCATATTGCTGAAGCCCAGCTTTTCACTTTGGTCAAAAGCAAACCCATTGTTTAGAACGGGAAGTACCTGGAGATACTGTCATGTGAATCTAAGCTATCCATCCTGTGGGCTGGCTGTGCACCGGAAGCAGCGCCCGGACGGTCATCAATGGTGTCCAGTCCAGACTCTCTGGAAAGGTTCATGATGTGGTTCTGGTAGTACATGTGGATGCTCTCCCGAGTGGGAACGTTGCCCTGCGGAGGGGAGACATTGCCACAGTCCTTACTTGCCCATGCAGCCACCTGGCATTTCTCAATACCAAGAACTCTCAGTTGGCACGCCCACCTTGTGCAAAGATTAAAACAAAGCTAGTCAAGGTGGGGATTGATGGTAACTCATTGCATTAATGGCCCCCAATATCACTGGGCAAGGCTCCCAAGAAATCCCTTCTTGGTTATGGGTGAAAATAGTCAAAAGGCACAAATTTCCAGTTATAAAATACGTAAGTCCCGGGGACGTCATGGACAGCATGGTGACTGTACGGCATATGACTAGAACTTAGTAGTTCCCATCACAAGAAAAAACAATTGGAACAATGTGTGGTGATGGATGTTAAGTCGACTAACTGTGATCATTTTGCAATATATACAAATACAGAATCATTATATTGTACATCTGAAACTGATATGTTACAGATCAATTATATTGCAATAAAAATAAAATAAAATCTTTAAAAATCAAATCCTTTCTTATATGTAGATAGTTTGGCTAAGTGATAGTAACTTTTTCAGAAACAAACTATTAGTTTTAAATACTATCTATAAACTGTATATGACTATGTTTTATTGTTCTGCATATATCTTAATTTTTCTTCTGAGAAGTTTCAGATCAAACTTCCCAGACTAAACAACATAATCCATCAAGAGACTGCAGAGTCTGTGCACCTGCAATCTCGTGAGGGGAAGGAACAGAATGAATAAACTGGCCACCGTCTCAGGACTCGTGTGTATGTGTGTGTGTGTGTGTGTGTGTGTGTGTGTGTGTGTGCGCGCGCGTGCGCGCATATAGTGTCTGATTATTTTAATTCTGTGCATGGAACAGATTTAAATATACAGAAAAACAGAGGGGCTATGTAAAGACCGTCCGAAAGACAGACTATAGATTTTGTGTTATCCTATTTGGAGCTCTTGACATTGACTTTTAAAATCTTTAGAATGTGGGAAGAAGAAAAAGAATTGTACCAACAGTGTTACCTTTTTAATTTCTCTGGTCAGCATGCATCTTTCAATTCTCAGAACTGTAGATATATCAATATGCTCCCTTGAAATGGAGTTAAGCCAAGTTGTGAAACTATCCACTGTTGCCAGAAACAGAACCCAGGTGAATTTCAAAATATTAAATATCCTCTTGATGATATTATCTAGGAAGAAGAAAAGCGACAAGATTTCAAAGGAGCAAAATGCCATCAGCCATTTTGCTGTTTTGTGTAGCACAGTGATATTTTACCAAAGGCAGACCTGGTTTCAGACCTGCATACCTAATACGGAGTGACGCTGTGACACTCAGCGCGACGGGGGGCGTGGAGGAGGACAGGCAGTATAGGAGGCTACGGGTGGGTCTTTCTACACATGCACTGGCAGCATCAAAACCAAACTGGGATAGAATTTTTATCCTGTGGTCAAAACATCAGTCAGAATAGGTCCATATACAGATAATAGGTTTGATAAAGATTTGAGATTGCATTCAAAGATATTTCTGTTGTTGACACAGGGATAGAAACAGTCTATCTGTCCAGGAAACCAGATCCTTTAATGCTTTTTCTATAAATTTCTTCTTTTCTTAAGTCATGATTATTTTTGGAAACAATTCTATTGATTCAGTAAGACTTTTGATGCTTGGCACTGCAGCTGCGTTTCAGTTAAATCACTTGCCAGCTATTGTGTAAAGAGCTCGTACATATACAAGGAGCACACTGGTCCGACTGAGTTACCTTCATCATTCCTAGTTCATTCTACTGAGCTGGGCCAACTACAGAGTTCTGCACATAGGATCGATCCTGTCCAGACCAACAGACACTGTGAGATTCCTGATGTTCTTGGGTTGTTTTCCCTAACAGCAGCTGTGATGTGGGGAGCCCGGCCAAGCTGCCAAGCATGATAGGCTCTGCTCAGACTGCCACCATGTCTGGGACATCATCTGGGTGCAGACACGTGCCTCTCTTGTGCCCTCAGGGAATCCTCAAGAGCTCCCTGCTCATCCTTAAGTTTGGAGGAGGTTCCACAGTTGTGACCTAACTTATTTTAGGTCAGAATCAAAATAAAAGAGGGAAGATGGCATCTTAACTGTCTGTCTTACCCCTCCATTCCCATAAGCCAATGGTTTCTTTCTCAACTGGTACACAAGGAATGCTTCAATCCACCAAATTCTGATCCATGTTAATTTTTTAATTTGGTATTTGAAAAATTTTGTCTTATTAGCGATTTCAAACACTGCAGTAAAATGAATACCTAGTGAACACCACAATGAATTAAAAACTGCCTTAGTGTTTATTAATGAAACCCTAAAACACCACCACCAAGAAAAGCAACTGGTATCCCTCAACCTTCCCACAACCAAAACACCACAGACTGACTCCGAATTTAATTTTGTAATAGGGGAAAAAAGTTATTTGTGAATTGGGTTGCCTAGAAGGAAGGCAGAATTTCTCTCAGGGAAACGTTTGTTCTTTTCCAAAGGAGAAGCATTGAAGGGAAGTTTAGCTATGGATGGTGTGGCCTCAGGACAGAGTCCAGGTGGGCAAGGTAGAGACAAAGAAGAGTTGAACAGTTCTACCTACTGAAGGAACAGGAATCTTGGAGCTGCCAGCTGGTACCTGGGGAAGAAAGTGGGAATGATCTAATGAGCCAGGCCCCAGAGGCACCAGCTGGGGAGAGACCCACTGAGGCAGGAATAGTGATCACTGACTTCCCTTGGAAACTGTTGCCTACCTCCGCCATCACTGTCCCCCACCCCCAAAGCCTCTGTAAAATGCCATCACACCTAACACTCTTCCATGAGGCGTACTTTAGGAAGGAAATGAGAGTATCTTCTGTTGAGCAAAGCCCAGGAAGGGACCAGGCGCTACGTGAAGCTGAAGGGAGGGAGGTACTGCAGATTCCACAGAAGAGCCATTCTGAGCCAGAGGCGGCCAGGGGGCACCTATATCACTCTTGCCCCTCCCCCCCCCAATCCGTTTTGGGTTTAATCTGAACAAGGTGCTATTTCCCTCAGTGCTTTGGGTGGAATCTCCAGCTCTGTTGTGTAGACATAAAAAGAAAGTCTGAGCCCTAGAAGCTTGAAGGACTTGGCAGTTACACCTATTAATAAACTTTAGTAGCATCTCACATTTTGGACAATTTATTTTTTTTCTCATATTCACAATGAGGTGGTGATGATACATATGATTATTTCACAGTTTTGCGGAGCATGGTCCTGATGCCAAGACTAAAATTGCTGTCTTGGAGACACAAATAACACACACTTTCTTAACTCGAGTGATCACAAACTAACATGAGAAATTGCATTTTTAATTTTTATTTATTTCTTAGCCAGAGAGGCAGTAAGGCACAGTGATGAAGGGCACACACTCTGGATTTAGACTTTTTTGGGTTTAAATCCCAATTCTACCCCTTAGTGGTTGTGTAGACTTGGAAAAGTTACCTAATCTTTCTCTGCCTCAGTTTCTTATCTGTTAAATGAGGGTGAGGGTTTTCGAGGTAAACAGTGAAGATGTCTAATGCTCTTGGAAAAGTGCCCGGCAGAGATGTGTGATCTAAAGTGTTAGCTACTATTATTGTATGTAGCTTTGCAGCAATAATAGAACATCTGTTTCCACATATGTGTGAGTCAAATACTCTGGAATACTCTGGAAATGGGGGTTCAAGTTTAAGAATTGTGCCAAAGATGTGTTAGACAGCCTTGGGGAAGTCTCCTTTGGGGCCAGCAGATGACATCCTTGGAAGTATCTGTGTCCACAGTAACAGCACCTGAAAATCTGGCCTGCTGATAAATAATGTACACAGGAGTTCCAACCCTGTGACATGGAGAAAATGGCATGTTTATGGAATTAGAGAGGCATTTGAGTTCATTTCATTTGGAAGCTTTTTTTTTCCTTCAGGGAGAAATCTTCCTCCCAGTCACATCCTAGGTGAAGCCCAAACGGCACTATGACTGAGCTAGGAGTTAGAAAACATGGATTCGATCCCTGACTCCGTCGCTTATTAGTAGCTGTAGAATCCTGAGCAAACTCACTGGGAATTGGTGTTCCCTTCAGTCAAGTGAGGACTTTGGCCTAAGCTTCTAGAGTATCTCTCATTTCCCCCACTGTACTTACCTCTCATTTAACTCCTTCTTTCTCTGTCCTTTAAAATTAATTGCCAATATTTTTTTGTGCTTTTATTTTGGTGGCTTCCATGGGACATTTATAATTTGCTCCCCAAAATCCCTTTTCATGGGTATTTGGGTAAGATAATTTACAAATTAACTCTAATCCAACATTTAATCCAACAGAGTAAGCGTCAGATCTACTTTAAGGATTCACTTGGAAATTTCACTAGAGATGAGATTTCAAGGGACACTGATTATTTAGTCAAAGTCCAGAAACAGTATTTGATGAATTATTTTTAGGCAGCCTTCCATGACATACCTTCTGGGAAAGCAACATTTTCAAATTTCCCCCAGCTCATAGTTGTCTGTGTGTGGTTACCTGGTCCATCAGATTTCTTTTTGACTGGTTCCTCCTCTCGGTCTTCCCACTCCACAGGACCTGCTGAGTGTGTACAATAAACATGAGTTAGATCCTTTTAGGTTAAATTAAATGTCAACACTACTTTTCTGGACTAAAAGGAATTCTGTAATTAAATCTAGAATATTCTGCCTAATTTAAGAGTTCTCGGGGAGAAGTTGTAAGAATTCAAAGCTCTCAGAATTCAAAATTCTCTTTACTCCAGAGTAAGAATCACGTTTAACTGGGGATAAGTGAACTATGATGCACTGGCTAAATCCTGACAGCTTCCTCTTGTTAAATGGCCTATGAGTTCAACACAGTTTTTATATTTTTGGTAGTTGAAAAAAATCTTAAAAAGAGCAATATTTTGGCATGTGAAAATGATGTGAAATTCAGATTTTAATGAACAGAGCCACATGCATTTGTTTACACATTGTCTGTGGCTACTTTCCCCCTATCCTGGGAGAGATGAGTTGCCACAGAGATTTATGGCCTGCCAAACTTAAACATTTACTATTGGGCCCATTACAGAAAGAGTGTGTTGACTCCTGATACATACCATGACATTTTAATTTTGAATACCTTGAGGTGATGTTACATATTTTAGTGTGTCACCCCATAGAATAACATTATATAGGGCTCCACTTCATGTTTTAGCCTCTTATTTCAGGCTAAGGATGTCAGATCTAGCAAATGGAAATATGGGACAACCAGTTAGAGTTTATGAAAAAAAATTAATCTTTTTAGTTTAAGTCCCATACAGTATGTCCACATTTTACTTAGGCTAAAAAATTATTTGTTGTTTATCTAAAAATTCAACTATCACTATATCTGGTAGTACTAAGACCATTCATGAACTGACTTCAATTAAACTTTCCAAATGTATTTTCTACCATGCTGTTTTCCAACACATCTTGTCTTTACCAACTAAGCTGACCTGCTCTTTACTTTTCATACACAGCTTTTCTTTCTTCTGCCAGAATGATGTCAGGCTCTATTAAAACACTTTTTCATGAAGTACTTCACTCCTTTATACTCTTAGCTATAAGTCCTCCTTCCTCTTTCTGGCCCCACACTATTTTATCTATGCTTATTTTTTAAGTGGAACTCTGCAGTTTCTACATCATTAGGGATTTTTCCCCCTATACTTGTGTTCCCCATTTGTCAAGATAGAAAGGTTGGGAGTCAGGATGCCTGCATGAATTCCAGACCCATCTGGATGGCTGTGTGACCTTAGGTCAGTTCCTTCACTCTCTGGAATCTCATTTCCTCAAAGGATCAAATGAGTTACAGCCTAGAAAGCACTTATAATGGTACCGGGCACTTCAGAAGGGCTGAATTGATGTGCTTCATCTGTCTCGTAGTAATCTGGAAGGTACAAGCCCTTCTACCAAAGAAGAAGGGGCTAAATAAATATTAAAGGAATAAATAAAAATCTATTTTCATCCCAACACCTTTTAATTATTGCTGTCTTTGATCTGAAGGTAAGTATCTGTACATGGACTCATCTTCATGAAACAGAGTAATGAGATATTTACAAGATGATTAAAAACACATTTTTAGAGCTCATCAGAAAATTCTGTAAGAACAAATGTCTGAGGATAGTAAATGTAAGTTGGGGGGAAATAAAGAGGATGGTAAGGGGGAACTTGCAACACCAAATATTAAAACTAACTCGATAGCCGCTGGACTCAAAAATAGATGACCCTGGCCCAGAGCTAGACAGTAGGATAGTGGACCAAAGTCCAGAGTCCGGAAACAGGCCAAAGAATAAATGGGAGCTGAATATTGACAAAAGTAGCATCTAAATTCACTAGGAAAAGGGAGAATAATTTAATAAACAGGGATAGCATAATTACCTATCTATGTAAAAGTAAACAAATTAGATCTCTACTTCACAGAATAATAAAAATTCAAAATATAAATAAAATTGGGAGGAAATAAAGGAAAATAATATCTGGGAGAAAGACTTTCTTAAGCAACATGGAAACCCTGAAACTGCAAAAAGAATTCGAGACCTCTTTGACATCGGAAAAAATTAAAAATTGTTTAGATAACATAGATCAAAAACTAAATCAAAAGATTAAACACTGCATGGATAAAAAATGCTTGTAACACATGAGAAAAGGATAATATCCATAATATATAAATATTCCCTAAATCAATAAGGACAAACAACCCAATAGGATGATATTATGGAAAATGATAAAAATGTTTAAATCTCAGATTTGGAAGTACAGAATACCATGACAATATGAAATAAAAAACGCTCAGTCTCATTAGTTAGGAAAATTCAGATGAAAATAAAAGCCATCTGTTATCCCTTTGAAAAACAAACAAAAAATTCTGTAGGATAAGGCTACAGGGAAATGGATACCCCTGTACCTTATACCTAGGAGTGTGAATTTCTAAAACCTTTTAGGAAAATATATATTAAAGTAAAGAAAATCACATCCCCTTATTCAGAAATCCCACTTTTGATAATCTATTCTGTGGAAAGTCTGTGTTCTTCCTGACTTTTCGCTTTGCATTTAAATATACACACACATATGTATGTATGACTGTATGCATTTTTGTGCGAGGCTATCTATGATAGCATTATTCATTGTGGCAAAGATTTGAAAGCAAACTTAATGTCCATTAGTGATGGGATAGTTGAATAAATTATGCATATCCATATTATAGATGATTTTGCAGCCATTAAAAAAGGATGATATAGTTTTATAAATACTTAATTGGAGAAATGTTCATGACACATTGCTAATGAACATACCAGAGTGATCTGTATAGCATGAACTCATTTTTGAAAATAAACAAAGGAAATGGTGCCTGCATGCATTTACATACCCACATGAGTAAGGAGTGGAAATGAACACCACACATGGTGAGGACTTGGCACCTGCGGGGATGGGTTTCCACAGCAGATTATCACATCTACCCCTTGACTGTTCGACTTGTTACATTGGCTGTGTCTTCATTTTGTCTTTTGAACCAATAAAGTAGAATAAAATTAAAGCTACCAGGAGGCAGCAGGGAGCTGAATGGTCAAAGAGGAGAGAGAGTTTGTAGCTAGAATTCCATTAGTAACTATGCTTCCTTTTCTTTGATTTTTGAAGACATTTTTAATTTCACAAAAAAAATCTATGTCTATTTTCTTTGTAAAGAATCAAAGTGTAACAGATAAGCCTAAAGTTCCCTGAAATCAACCACCTAATCTCAGTCTCTCCACAGAAGAGTCTCCTCTCCTACTCCTCTCCCAGAAGTAACCACTGTTATTAATTGCTAAGTATTCTTCCTGATCTTTCTTTTGCATTTATACACTATTATATGCATCCATTAAAAATGCAAAATCCTGTCTCGAGGATCATTGTTGGCTTCCACGGTTTCGTAAATGGTTTTAAAATGTGTATGCCATTTGCACCATAATACTTTTCATTTAACAATATGTCAAGTTCAAAGTACCATTGATCCTTGAACAACACAGGTTTGAACTGTGCAGTTCCACTTATACTCTGGTAATTTTTTTATAAATACAATGCAGTTCTGCAAATATATTTTGTCTTTCTTATGATTTTCTAGATAGCATTTTCTTTTCTCTAGCTTACTTCATTGTTAGAATACGGTATATAATACATATAACATACAAAATATGTATTAATCAACTATGTTACTGGTAAGGCTTCTGGTCAATAGTAGGCTATTAGTAGTTAAATTTTGGGGGAACCAAAAGTTATACAAGATTTTTGACTGTGTGGGGGTCAGTGCCCCAACCTCGACATTATTCTAGGATCAACTGTAATCCGCTCATTTTTTAAACTACTGAATAGAATTCTAAGTTTTTGTTCATATTCATAGTCATGGGTCTTGTGCACATGTGCAAATATTGCTTCAAGTTAAGCCACACATCTAGAAGTGGGACTGATCTGTAGTAGGATATGTACATTCAATATTTAAAAAATTTATTATTTTTTTAAGATTTTTAGAATTTTTATTTACTTGTCAGAGAGAGAGAGAGCACAAGCAGGGGGAGCAGCAGAGGGAGAGGGAGAAGCAGACTCCCCACTGAGCAGGGAGCCCAACATGGGGTTCAATCCCAGGACCCTGGGATCACAACCTGAGCAGAAGGCAGAAATTTACCAACTGAGCCACCCAGGTGCCCCAACAATTTTTTAGATTTCCACACATTGCTCTTCAAAGTTGATGAACTACTTTACTACACCATTTATAGTGTTGTATGGGTTATAACTCAAACAAACACTTATCTTCCCACTAGCTCCAAATAGTGATATTAACAAATGTTTGGGTTTTTGCCAATCTGATAGGTAAAAAAACAAACAAACAAAGAAAACAGTATGTCAAACTATTGTTGTGTTTCTTGCATTTGTAGTGAAGCTGAGCTTCTTTTGGCTATTTCTGTTTCCTGATCTACAGATTATTTTTCATATCTATTCATCTATTAGGTTGAATTTTTCTTTTACTACTCCTTAGGAGTTCTTAGTATATCCAGAATACTAATCTTTAGTCTGATATACATAATGAAAATATTTTTTCTGAGTGCCCCACTTTCACTTTCACTTTGCTTTTGGTGTATATTTGTAGCTTAGAATTTCCCCTGTCTTCAGAAATGTGTTCCTATTGTATGTTTTCAAAGACAATGTTGAAGATGCCATTGGTAGTTACGTTCCATTTTTGGCTCCTGATACTGTTTGAGGGTGTTTTTCCTTTTCTTCTTAATCATATTTCCAAAAGTTTATCCATCTTACTAGTTTTTTCTAAGAACAGCTTTTCACTTAATGATAGATCTTGTATTTTTTTTTCTGTGACTTAACATCTGCTTAAAAAATGAATTTTTTCCTTCTACTTTCTTAGGATTTATTTTGCTCCTCTCTCTCTTCTCATTTTATAAAATGTATCTTAACTTAAATACATGTTTTTACTTATTCCAGGGGTCAGACATGAGCAATGATGGACAAGTAGAACTCTGCACTCCTTAGAGTATGAGAATGACGTTCCTCCAAAGCTTCTGTCCTTTGTAGCTCCCTGTTGTTGCTCAGGGCCACAGAAACAGAGTGCTGGTGGGACCCTGCATTCACACAACACTTACCCTCCCCAGATCCTTTTCTCCTTCTTTTCTGTTCTTCTCTTGCAGACCTTTTTTTCTCTTTGCGTCTCTGTCGGAGTGCTGTTTTAGGGTCAGTGATCCAGGCTTGATAAACAAACTGAAGGGGGAAAGTTCAATTATTTTCTGGCTTTTTAATAATTTGAATGAAAAGAAAAGGGACCAACACCAAGCTTCCTGACTTTGGAAATATATTATATATATACATATATATATATATTTTTTTTCTCCCAGCACAAACTAAATCTCCTGCTCCCATCTCCCTCAGTATTCTGAGTTGACCTGTGCTATTTCCATGATCATGAAATAAAATATGAAAACAGACATTGGAGGAATAGATTTCATTTGGTATCACAATCATGAGATACTTTGGGTAACCACCATTCCTCCCAAGTCCCCATGTACCACTACTACTTGTGAGAGTTACTGATTCTTTTGTATCACACACAATAGGAATAAGCTGGGCTCCTTGCTAAGTGTCACTGGAGTAGTTTTCTTCCCTTGCAAATAAACTTTGAATCAAAAACAAGATATCATTTATGCATTTATTTTGGTAAAATAGTTTTGCACATTTGATACTCTCCCTTGTGAAAAACAGCTATGACCAACAACTTGAGAAAGGGTTTTATAGATCAATTAGTATTTGGAGAGGAAAAAACAATGTGATATTAAGGTTAAGGAGTTATTACAGAATGTTATGGAAGGAAAACTGTGGTGCTTTTGGTTGTCTTTTGTCATTTTTATTCAAGACCTGAAAATGGTTACATGAATATAATAAAACCGATAACCACCATAGAGTAACTTTCAACAGCCCGCCCACCAACAGTCTCCCAAGTCATGCAGAAGGAACCAAAAGAAAACCTCGATCCACAAAGTCAGCCATCTGTAATCATGAAGCCAAGCAGGCATGCTCCTCATGCACCCACAAACACACCTGGGTCTCAGGGAAGCTGGGTTTTCTATTACGATAATAAAGTTAAAGGAATGTTTTGTGGGGACACTTTCACTGTATTCTATGTTATTTTCAGATTTCTGAAATCTTTGAAAAACACAGGTAAGCAAACCACTGGCATGGTGATGTCAGTAAAAGTAAAGAAGGATCCAACTTTTCAATGTATGGAAATGTAAAGGTCATAGGTGACTAAGGAAGAACATTTCTTTTTTCACTAGTAGAAATCTGAATCTATGGGCAATTAACACGAATGGAACATCAGTATTATTTCCGAAAAATAAACCCAGGAGGCAAAAAGTAATCCTATTTTATGCCAAAAATGTCTTTTGAAGAATGAAAAGATTAACTGACTCTGGAAGAAGGACCAAATGAAGGAATTCATGGTAGATGTGTACTAAGCATGCTAATTGGGAACTCCATCAAGAATATCTTTGCCACGTATGTAAATTCCCTTGCTTATTAAACCTGCCACTCACCAAAAAGAATAGCTTTGAGGTTTAGTACATTAATAAGCAAACTTGCTTCAGCAAAATAATGATTCTTTTACAAAAATCTGAACTGCTAAATGCAAGAAATTTTCAGGTTTAAGAGCAACATACGATGACAATTCCTTTAAAGAAAAGGTTATAACAATATTGCTTTTAGATAATGCCAGAATCCCCAAAATAGAAAATAAAAAAGTAACTCAGGATCTGTGAATGTATTAGGTGTATAAGTTGGAGGAATTCTTTTGTTCTGGAGGAAAATGGGGAGGGAGGGTGAGAAGGAGAGAGAGAAGGCATTTAGGACAGAACTGCAGAACTCCTCTTGAAGAAGGGTGAGTGCCATTATTAAAAGGAAATTCCTGGTTCTAGCTATGATCCCTAAATGATTAAGCTTATCAGTGCTTTCTCACTGAGATGAGAATTTACATAATTCATATAAGGGGAAACAAGAGAGGGGGAGACAATCTTATGAGGAGTCCCTCTTTGTAGGTAAATTATCTTACTATTGATGTTTAGAACTACAAACCCTGTATAGTGCCAGGAATATTTGATAAAGGCCAGTCTAATTGTTTTAGGAAATGATGATAACAAAGTATGAGGAAAGATTGCAATTCTTACCGAGTCAAGAAATAGAAGTTTCTTATGGGAACTTCTCAGTTCTCACATTGTAGTTATAACCACCACCCAAGTTCATGGGACACACATACCACTAACCAAGTAGAAGAAAATACATGAAAATGTCCATAAATGACCTTTGGTTTCTTCACATTGCCGCTACTAGTCTGTATTCTTAAGATAAGATAGCTTATCTTAAATTTTTATTTATTTATTTATTATTTAGTTAGTTAGTTACTTCATCTTAAGTTTTATCTTAAGTCTGATCATGTGATTTTATCTTAAGTTTTATCATTTATGTTAGGGGGAAATAAGGTTCATTTTACTGAAAATGTACTATGCAAAAAGCATTTAATTTTTAAAACAGGAGAGAACTTTACTGAAGTGGATGGAGATTTTTCACTGAAATTGGTAAAATTTAATAAACTATCCTTTAATTCATGTGTGACCCAGGATTTTATGTTGTCTGTAAGAAGTTTTTTTGTTTGTTTCTGTTTTCGTTTTCTAGTGGGGAGTCTGCTTCTCCCTCTGACCCTCCCTCTTCTTATGTTCTCTCTCTCATTCTCTCTCTCAAATAAATAAATAAAATCTTTAAAAAATAATAATAATAAAATAATAATATATATACCAAAGAAATATATCCCAAAATATTCTCTTTTATTCTTTTTTTTTTCCTAGAGAGGGAGTTGGGGGGCAGAGGGGTAGAGGCAAAGGGAGAGAGAGAATCTTAAGCAGGCTCCATGCCCAGTGTGGAGCCCAATGTGGGGCTTGATCTCACAACTCTGAGATCATGACCTGAGCCTGAGCCAAAGTCAAGAGTCAGAGGCTTAACCGATGCACGCAGGTTCTCCTCTGTTTTTATTTTTAAAGTAAGATGGAGGATAATTATGTTGCAATCTTTCATATGAATTCTTAAATATGAATGGAGAGGCTTATATGGTAGTCATAAAAGGGAAAAGAAAAAAGAATCCTAAGTGAACACATTGAATATTAAACTAACAATCAGAATCCTGGCATTTTAAAAATGGGAGGAACCTGGAAGTTCAGAACCCCCCTACTCAAGATGGACCAGCAGCTGTCTTTCCTCTGGGGGCGCTCAAGCAAAATACAGAATTATAAGTGCCATAGGCAGGACCTGCTTAATTTACATAACCTGCATTTAAATAAGATCCCAGGTGAAATGGGAGAAGTGCTGGCCTCCCTCACTACCCAAACATCTGCTTAACACATGAGCATAAAGACCTGAGAGTTTAAGTGCCTGCCCCAGATTATGTCAACAGAACCAGCTTTCTATAGAGTACACGAATAGTAATTCATTATTTATGATTTTCAGTAATGAGTGACCACAGCATAGGTAGCTGGATAATTTCTGCTGTGCATTGGATTAATTGACAAATAGCTTTCTCACAGCTTATTCCACACTCTCTGGGGTGACATGGGAGTGAGAAGCTATACAGATCTAATGGGCAGCACAGCCACAGGAGGGGTCGAACTAAAGTCAGAAGAGTAAATGGAAGATGACATCCAATTTAGGGAAGATGGAGACTTGAAAGGGAAGCCAACAAGGAGATGGAGCAAAACGAGTCTTTTATTAGCTCATTCATAATTTTACCAGCTTTCTGAGAACAATTAGCACACATTTTAAACATCATGACTGATGCATGCAACCAGATGTGACCCTTTTAAAATGAGATGTGACTTAGGCAAAACTACAAGAAGAACAGAGTAGATGATTATCTGCATTTTCTCTCTCTATGTTTCGAAAGGCTCTGGTGTCATCTGAAAAACAAGAATCAAATAATAGGAAATTTGGCTTCTCAAAACTCTCCTTGGAAAGGTTTGCCTACTATTTTAAGTTCTTATACTTCCTCCTTTGTACAATCTATAGAACAGGGAAAATGCAGATGTAGGGCAACAGGGACCCGCTTGTCTAAAGTTCTATGGAGCAGAGGGTCACACACCACATGTCAGTGAAACATCAAATACCTTTGCAGCTCTGATTAAATACTGAAGAATAGTTTTGGGAAGTTTAATGACAGACTTTGGCAAGGCTAAAATGGCCGATGCAAACTTCCCAATAGCTCTCTACAAAGAAGGACAAAGCAAGAGTGATTAGTAGAAAAACACCAATGACTAATAATTTAACATATGACATCCGTAAGAGTTCATCTCTAGAATTACATCAACTAGGTTAAAACGTGCCAATCACTGAAGCTAGAATAAAATGTGCTCTGCTTGTAGGTTAGGAATAAGGAAAATAGTCATTGCATGTAATCCATAAACATGGCGAGGATGATCATGTTCTCTCCTTTGCTGAATGAGGAGTGATGGTTATAAGAAAACTCATTAGGATAAAAATGAACAAGTCATTAGTATCCAACAAGCCAGCCGCACACATGCACACAGATACCGTCTTAAGAAACACACTCAGGTTGCGATGGGGCCAGTGAGGAAGCATCAGAGCAAGGTGTCTCCACAAATAATTTGGTTCTTTAATTTCATTGGGAATACAGGGGTGGATGTAATCCTCCAGCTTGAGAAGACCTGGCCAGCAAAGTAACCATGACCTTTACATGGACACATCATGTGGCTTAATGGATATCCCTTTATGTGTCTTGGAGTATAATAACTGAGAAATAACAAACCCAACTTGTGATTCCTTCACAAAAGAAATATATACCAAGCTTTCACCCCATATGTAACTCTACTGACCAGTCCTCATCTTTAACAAGCATTGATTAGACATTCCCTGGATATACCATACTGGGCTGGTGAGTTATGTAACTAAGAATGATCTGGCAGGTTCTGAAAAGGAAAGGCAACTAAGCTGAAAAAATCAGAACTGTGCTCAATATTTTCAAGATTTCAATCAATTCTCAAAACTTTGGCAACACAAATGAAATGGATTTTCAAAATCTGAAGTACCATTTAAATGACCATTTGTTTCAAAACAAAGCAAGTGCTTTATTTTTATGATAAGCTATTTCACATATCAAAATATATATCCACTCAAGCGATCCAAAGTGATGCCAGAGAAGTCTTCTTCACCTCCTTCTTGTAACAGAAAAATAAAGTTCACCCAAAGATTTATTTTTTGTTTATAGCATCAGAAGATTTTTTTTTTTTGCAAGTGAACGAAGACCTGATGAGAACAGTGTTCTTGCAGTAATTATACTGATGCTGAGAGCAAGCAGCATTACAGTTTAATGAGGAATAAACAATTTCAGGTGGAAATCAAAAGCTTCTGGAAGCTATGACACACATGAACATGGTGGCAGAAGTCTAGGCCTGCAATCAGGGTCTGTCAGAAAGAAAAGCTCTTCAACTAGTGGAGGACCTGGTTTTCCCAACCCCATACTTACCTGGAAAGCTGACCTCCTTGGAGGTTCTTCCTCTTCCTTTTTTAATTCTTCTTCTTCCTCCTCTTCGCTATCCGTTTCAAACAAATAATAATCTCCACTCCTGACCACTAAGCAAAACAGAATATTTACTTATTTCTTGAAAGAGATATGAGACCATTTAAGGGCTTATTAATGAAATGCCCCCCCTCCCAAAGATATACAAATTTTCCACAAAAGGCCACAGCAAGAGATGTTGGTAGGGAGGAAAAGACAAGAGATGAAGAGAACTCATTCTGGGCTAACATTACATGGTGTTGGCATGGTTGGGTCTACAGAGTGCGAGGCCTTGTCTATATGGTGTAAGAAAACCAGCCACTACTGGGTTCATCTGATAGTTTCTTCCTTCTTCAGTGTCAATTTTACAAGATGCATCAGATCAACTCTGCAGCAACCAGTTTTGTTACCAAGATGGCCAAAATAATGGATGGAAAACTGTTAAGAGTTTCACAATTCAGACAGTTTGGCAATTTGGGTCCTTTAGATGAGGCCAAAGTGAAGTGGAGGACTTGGTGTTGTCTGAAGGGGTCGAGTGTGTGGTAGAAATACCAATCAGGATGATTCAGGATCATGAATCTGCATCACCAACTTCCACTTCACTTTCTACTGTGCAGACCTGGCTCCTCCACACGTGACACAGGGACATGACATATATGGCAAGACATTTGAAAAAAATTCAAAAAAACAAACAAACAACCCAACAACAACAAACACATTGTCATGAGGAGGAAATGGGCAGGTAACATGAAAAAAAGAATATAACCACAAAAACACCACCACCACACTCTGGCTGTTTCTACACGTAGCACGGGACAGACTGAGGCAGGGCAGACAGGGTCTGTACGGTTTAGCACTGGTAGGCTTCTGGTCAACCAGGAGCTCTGGTTGCTTACTAAAGTGTGAGGGGAACCGTACTGACCATAAGACATAAAGCACAAACAGTACGGATTGCCCTTGTCTTGCCTGATATTTTCCCTGCAAGAACATATTGCTGTGTTAAAAGTTAGGAGCAGAGAAAGCGGAAATGTCCAGAGACTTAAAGAAATTTGAGAATCCAATCTTTATCAGTTTGAGCATTATTTTAAGTTTATCAGGGAAAAGAGACCCAGCATATACATTTCTGATGCTACAAGAACATCATTGCAGGAGAAAATATGAATGTTTTCAAGTTATATTCAAGTTTTCAAATGCTGAGGTATCTTTTGGATGACATCACATGATGTCTTTGGTTTTCTCTTGGATTCATACATTGTAAGGTAATGGAAAACCTTGGCTTGTTTAAAATTATTTGCTTGAATATCACTAAACATGGTCAAAAGGTAAATAATTTTGCCCATGATTTCAGACATATGAAGCCTCCATCTGTGAAGATGCAGAGTGAATGAATTGGGCCTTATATCCTTGAACAGAAGCACTATAATTTGTTACTTTTATTTTGAAGAAAGAACCAGTCCCAGAATACTGGGTCGAGGCCCGAGGGAATAAATGCAATACAACATAAGGTAAGAATAAGCAAGAACAAACCAAAGTTACAGCATTACATTTGACAGTGGAGAAGACCATTAAAGTAATGCCTTCATGTAAGCTCAGACATTTGCAGGAAAGTTATATGGATTCTATGTCACATGGTCATTTGGTAAAAACAGAGTATCACAAGATTGAGCATTTTACCCTCATTATAGGCTCTAAAATCAACGATAGCTTAAATTGTATTCAATCATACCTTCTATGACTTTTACTCTTATGGACACAGGGAGCCCAAATATGTGCTCATCTCAAGCAGTCCCAACACTGATTTGATCATTTAAAAAACTATGAATGTTTATGCAAGAAGTAGAATGAACACATTTTAAAAAAAAAAGCAGGAAGTATTTAGGAAAGTCTCCTATTCTTTTATAAAATGTTATTGAAATAAAGGTAGGAAAACCACAGAGAATGTTTTCTTTAGTGCTAGCTGCTAATAAGAAGTAGAGAAGCTTTTGCATATACCCTTGTGAGTTCAGAGAGAGATCCTGCCTCCAGCCTGTGTCCACGAACATATCATGGATATTGATGTCATTGCTGCATTGAGTGTGGAAATAACTTTTAAAATCCTACCACCTGTATCCCCAGAAAGCTGGACCTCAATTTCAGACATTTGACAACGAAGTGAGGCTTACATTGCTTTAGGCAGTACTGTATTGGCACGGGGACATACTTTCCTTGAATGGAAGGTATCATTGAATAGCAATAATGCGATCGTCTGTGTGCACATAGGTATGGAAGTGGAAGGTTTGCCACCTACAGACTATGGTAAGATCTTGACTGCTTGCCAGTAATATGAACAACATAGCGACATTATTGTATCATTGACAGACTTACATGAGGGTATTCCAACTACATATATTCTCGTACTCTGCACCTGCATGAAATATCTATTTAAAAGCCCAGTGACTCAAGAGATCAAAATAAGGGCTTTTAATAAAGTGCTTCCAGTTCTAAAAATAAATTTTGGAACTCATCATGGTCTAAATAATAATTCACATATTCATTCCTTTCCTTTCCTCACAAGCCTGTAAAAGGAAACACATTTTATGAAAAATTTTAACACCATGGTCAGAATCTGATTCCAAACTATGAATTACACACATTCCTGCATTATTGCACCAAGAGGTGTTGTAACAAGGCATGTTTAATTTAATACCAGTCTTTAAGAACTTGATATAATGAGGGTGAAATGAATCAGAAAACTAAAGTCAATAACCTTCATAAGAAGTTCTTTAAATTATTACCAACTTGTAAGATGATTATCAAAGACCATATCCAATTCCTTCCAAAATGCAATGTTTAGATTAAGAAAAGGAAAGACAACTATGATTGCAATGGGAATGAGAAAACATTCAGTATGACACAATTTTGAAATGGATAGGCCTGTCTAAACTAGCAAAGGGCCCTTTAAAAACAGAAAGATAGGCACAGTTTACTTGTGACTTGATAGAAATAGGCTTATAGCACTGCATTATAGGACCGTTAGCATGACGAACATGGCCAATGAACAATAAATTAAAGAGTCACACAGAATTTTGACCTGAATCTTTGTCTTTTGACTTGGCAGCAAATGAAACAAAACCCTTTAAAACTCATGAATTTTTTTTTCTGTATCCATAAGCCTAAAAATTCAATATTTGGGATTAAATTTAATTACATTCAGGTATACTGAGCAAATTTTGTATAATAATTTCTGAAATTGGCTTGCTGATTTTAAAAAATTAATTTGGGGGTGAGAGAAGCCAATATCATATCTCAGTGATTCCAAAATTAGGCACAGCAAAAGATTCGGATCGATTTGACTTTCTAGTGATTCTGAAGATCCTGTTAGTAGAGTCTCTCCCACAGTTGTGCGATGCTGTGGGCCTCCCTGATAATACCTGACTGATCACATTAGCTAGGCATAAAAGCCTAAAGATATTATAAGTAATGTGCAAAATAATTAGTAATTATTCCATAGTCTAACAAATGTAAGAAGGATCAAATCAAAACGGATCATTCCATTCTAAGACCACCCACTGGCCAAAAGTGAGTGTATTTCTTTTGCTAAGCAGAACAAATACAGCCACTGAGTTCCAAAATTCCTCATTCCTCTTTATGATCAGGAGGGAAACAGTAATTCTCTGTGACTATGAAGCTCTGCTTTTCCAAACCACCTTTGCTCTTAATTGGTCATGGCTGAGTTTGCTGGTGGCTGTGCAGCCGTGCCACACGCTGGGCTTTGGATTGGGAGTGTAATTTGAGAGCCTTTAGAAACCGGGAGGAGGAAGAGCGAGAAAGTGAATGCATTTTAAGTGATCCTCATCTTTATATTTGATAAATTGCCAAAAAAACCTTACATGCAAATGAAATCAAAGCTCTGGGGAGAGAGGAGGAGAGACTCATTGGCATCCCCGCCTAGTGCCTTACAAAGAGGGTCACAATGCTTTGAACTGAATGATTATTCTCCCAGAATATGAGCCAAAATGAGCCAAAACTCATTTTTAATAAGGGTTTTCAGCCATAAGACAAATATACATCAGCAGAGCTCTGGACCTCAGAATCAGATAAAACGGTAGCAATTCTTCTTCCCTTTCTGAGCCCATAAATGGTGCTCGGGAGTGTGTCAGCCACATGCTGGGCTTTCTTTAGCCAGCATGGTAACCAGCTGATTTTTCTGGAAGAGTCCATCTCTGGGGCCCAGAGACCGATTTGCATCAGTTTTCCTAAACTCTGACCCCCTATCAAGTCACAAGGATCAAACCATGCATGGAACACACAGGTTATGGGGACGCCTGAATTCTGGTCAAGGATATAAGGGTTAGAATTGATGAAATCATAAGAGGATCAAGAAAACCTACTGGAAGCATGATCAACCCAAGGCCGCCACCACTGCTTTTTTTTGCCCTTGGCTTTCTGTTTGTCTGCTTCTCCTAAAATAAAATATGTCCAAATATTAATTCTTAGGAAGTGAGAAAACAAATTTTGAAAACCATGCTTTAACAACTCAATGGTCAAAATCTAGACAAGTCGCAAAAGTACATCAGAGGTCAGGGAAAGGAACAATACTGAATCTGAAATGTTTACACATATGAGCAAGTTGATTTCACAAGGCAAATACTAAGTGTTCTATGAACATTATGCCACATTTTCACTTCCTTTTTAGTACTGTAGGGCATATAAAGAAACATAAAAAAGAAGGGATTATCTCTCAAGAAGGCATCTCACACTGAATTCTTCACTGAATTAACAGAAAAAAGCATCACCTAAATTTTATAAGACAATTTAGTGGCAAATAATTTGTAAAAATGCATATATTCCAATCATCAGAAATTTCCTTGTGATTATTTTAAAGCATGGTTGGAAAAATATAAGTTTATTGCTGATTAGTAGATGCTATGCACTGGAAAATACCATGCATTATTTCTCCATTCCCTCCAAACAGAAAAGCACGCAAACATTTATAAGAAGAACTTTTAAACTTAATTGGATATAACAAATCTATAATCAGATATAATAAATATATATTTCATTTTCAGTTTCATTGGAACAGACAATAATTGAAGGGTATCTTAGCTACCATTATTCAGATGCCACATAAAATATGCATACATACTTCATTTTTGTATAAAATTTATAGAAACCAAAGACAACAACAGTAGACTGTGTATCTGAAATATCTTCCCTAAAGGAATAAATTAAGCAAATCCATGCTCATTTTCTTCAGAAACACATCTCTGTGAAACAGAAGCTAAGTTATGGGTTGACTAAATTTGTTTTGCTGAAGAGGAGATACTCATAAAATCATGGAGTCATTAAATATGCCCTTTATGAAACAAATACATGTATCCCATTCACAATCAGAAGATAAAACTTGCTAAGTTAAAAAAAAATTGGTAATATTGGCCGAGTAAGAGTGATGTTATTTAACAGCTCTACACATCATCATGCTATCATTCAACGTTAAGCTACTTGAACAAGAGGGAAATGTCTCAACATACTTTCATCATCCTCTTCAGAGAGTTTTTGGATGTCCTGGCCTTCCCCTGATTCCTGGGTCAAGCTCAGCATCCTCTCCTTACCCTTTTTGTATTTCTGTTGCCGGGCTTTGATGCGATCCATCCTGTCAAATAAAATAGCAGCAGCAATGCCAAGAACACACCCAGAGTCATCACATGGTCAGTTAAACTTGTATGGATGTTGCTAAAATCACAGACAAAGCAGCCAACATTTGGGACTTATGAATTTTTTTTTTATCAGCAACAAGTATCTCCTTGGGGATGTCTATATGTGTGTATATGTATACAACCATGTTATTTTGCTAGTCTTACTAATATGGTCATAATTATGTTAAGGTTTGATATACAATACCTTATATCCACTTACACCTTGAACCGTTGCCATTTTGAACACAGTAAATGATGAAATGTAAGTCCTTTATTCTTCTAAGTTTTGCAATTTTTTAAAAATAGGATCTGTCTAGGTCACATAGTTGTGAAGATCCAATGAAAAGGCGTAAAAGTGTGAGAACTGTTTTGTAAAAAGCACATTGCTCCCCAGATGTTCATAAGGATTCTCTTAGACCACATGACTCTTCTATATTTCAAATCTAATCTCTTATCGGTTCTGGAAAGAATGTATTATTGCATCTTTAATTATTGAGTCAGTGCCTTTTATTTTGTCTGCTTATTCAGGAAGCCCAACTATTCAGAAACTACAACGCTGAACTCTACTTCCCAGACGTGCCCTCCTGCGGTGTTCCATTTCTTAATTCAGTTTCTTAAAATTCTGCTCAAATTTTTAAGCTAAGTGCCATTTCTGCTTCCTGCAGCTTAAACAACACTTTTAGCTTCTCTTTTGCAATGATTATTACCTTCATTCTTTTATATTCTGACTTTCTGTCACCTAAGAGGAGTTATTCTTAAACAAATGGAAAAACTTGGTGAAGTGAATGATATTAACAGGTCTCCATAATGGGTAAATAGGAACTCATTCTAAATCTGGGTCCAAATTTGTTACTTCTCTTAGCCTGATATAGATAACTAGAAACAACAATGGCAACAGTTATACCATAACTGCTTATATAACAGTTTCTATTCCTCACATCTTTGATTGTGGAAATAACCATGCCATGGGATGGTGTAATTTATGCTAGCAAACATTTTTGCCTGGGAGAAAGGAGCTGCAAAATGCGGTCAGAATGGAATGAAGGAGTCTCAGCAAACTTGGGGAATTTTCCTGGTGGAGTGATCGAGTCTCTGCTTTCCTAGAGAAAGTGGCTAGGTTTTGATTTCTATGGCCATCCGCTCTTAAACACAGCCCCAAATGAAGTGCTACCAATCCTCAGAAGTTACATTTACAGGTAAAAACTTCACTCTAAGAAAATTCGTTTCAAGGGCTATTTTAAAAATTAACTAATTAATTTGAAAAAGAAATTCTCAAATCTCCTAGTAAAGTCAGTCTATTACTTGATTTATCCAGAACATGATGGTAGAAAAAAAGTCTTGAACTGAATACAGGGAAACAAGTATTTGTATTTGTATTTGTATTTCTAGTACTGCCTCTAGTTTGTTGTGGATTTTAAGTCATCTAATGTCATGGGTCATCAGTTTCTTCCCAGAGAGACTGTATTATAATATCTTTAGAGATCCTTCCAAAGCCAGGACTCTGTATTTATTCCCTTAATCCACAGATAGAATGAACATTTACTCCAACTGAATGGGACCAGGAAAGACCCTGTTTCATTCATTAGCTCATTTAATCTTTATAAAAACCCAGGTAGAATTGTGAACCTCAATTTAAAACAGAAGGCTGAAATTCAGAGAATTGGAATGACTTGCTCACGGTTCCAGAGGAAGCAGTTGAACCAACCAAGACTTGACATTGGTCTTGTCCCACATAGCTCCCCTTTCCACCACATTGCAGCTCTCTTTCTTTTCAACTACTTCCATTCTCAATCCAGTGAGCATAAGCCACCGCCCTTATGCTGAGCACATACCCAGAAGCTCCTTAACACCAATAGGTTTTTCAGGGCTATTGAGGCTCCCTGGGAGGGGAGAACCAGCTGAACAGGATCAGACAAACCACAATTACAAGGAAAGGAGAAGGAGAGTAAAATCAAGCCTCCTTACTGCCTCTTCAGCTGATCCATTGACTTTTTCTCTTCTTCAATTCTTGCCTTTACAGCCTTTACAATTGTGGCCTGGAAAAGTTCAGCCCCTCTAGAGAAAAACAGGAAATAGAGAACAAATTAGTATTTCTATCCTTCTACTTACCTTCCCCTGAAAATGATTATCAAAGGTTAGAAAACATTTCTTTTTGGGCCATTGACTAGATAGAGTCTCCTGGCTGGGAGTGGGATTCCTAAGACCCTGGTATAGGAACTCCTTCCCAGTGGATGAACAGGGCACAGCCTCTCCTGGGAGGGAGTGGGCTGCTCACAACCATAGGAGCTCAGTCAAACAAACAAACAAAAACAAACAAAAAATGGTTTGTGTTTTCTAAGACATTAAACAGAATGCACCCCTTCAAACCTGTCCCACAGAACCTTACATCTCAGCAAAGCATTTCTCATCTGACCTTATTATAGTTGTCCCATGAGGGACCATTGGCAAGGAGGAGTGAGTTCAGATTAGTTTTCTACTCAATGAGCAGAAAAGGGTATGGAGTGAGCTTGGCTTCCCTAAGGAAAAATGCAAAGTTGGAGTTCAAGCGCCATCACTGGGATGTTCAGATTCCTGCCTCTTTGCTTCTCTTCTTCCTATCCTTCCATTCACTTCTGTTTGTTCTCACTTTTTTAAGCCAACTCTAGGGTCCCCATTGATCTATTTCATCAGCCTCTCTTAATATGTGCAATTCTGGTCCATTGTCATTGGGTCACATCTGCTTGGTAAATCCCGAGTGGGTAGGAAACCAATGGTGTGCCTGCCCTTCGGTGGGCTGTTGTCAGAGGTTCAGAAAAGGCGTGACTGGGCACATTATCAGCTGACCCCTCATAGGCCCTGGAAATTCTTCTCTGTAGTGGCTATTTAAAACTCTCTACACTTTTCTCAAATCTGGAATTCTGTCAAAAGCTTTTCACTCCTAGTAAATAACCTAGTCTCCCACTTCCTGGAATGAACATAAGTCATGAGGCAACAGTTTGCTCAGCTGCCTACCACCTACCCTGTGGACACCGTTTCCTGCATGGACAGTAAGAGAGGCGACATCCTCACCTGCAGCCTGCCCGAGCTCTGGTCCTTCACCCCCCTGTAGACTGAGGGGCTCCATACTGCCCTTTCTTCCTTTTTCTGCATTCTCAGCCTTCCTGCTGCCACCAGATCCTCCTCAGAAGTATGTAAACATGCTGACATCTTACTAACCTTAGAAAAAAAATCCATGCCCACTGCACAGTTTTCCATCACTTTCCACAGCCTCCATCACTGTCCCTGCATGAATATCTCACGGCCACTGTCCCCAAGTCTTTCCCTTCAACCTCAGCTCACTGGTGTTGGGCTCTGTTCCCCAAGTGTTGAGGTCACTGCCTTCAGTGCTCAGTTTTCAGTCTTGTGTTTGTATGTCCTGTCTGCTGGACTTCCGCCTTGAAACAGCCTTCCTCAGGCTCCTAATGCACCATGCTCTTTTAGTTTTCCCTCTTCCTTTCTGGCTCAGAGTTGCTGGTCTTCTCTGCTCATCTCTTAAATGTGGATGCTCCCCAGGGTCCTCTTCTCATTCACATGCTCTTCAACCACTCACCTGCTCTAAATCCATCTGTGTCATGATGACCCTCAGTCCATTTCCACCTGCAGACCTATCTTCCCAGCTCTCTGTTAGACTCATCATGGGTTTAGTTTCACAAGCCCATGAGCCCTACAAGTCCCTGGTTGTGGTCAGCATTCTCCCAGCCTAGAGCTTCTCGGCTTCTTTACATTTGGCATCGGCACCACCCTTGGCTTCAGCCAGTATCCAGCCATATCACCCTCTATCCTCCTTTCCTTTCCACCCCCACCTCCCTTCCTTCCAATCAACTATCCAGTTGTGCCAATTTGACTCTTACGTATCTTCCTATTTTATCCCATCCTGGTCAGAGCCACTGTCTCTGTCCTGGATCATCAGAGCAGCCACCTACCTGGTCCCATGTCCTTCACAGCACAGGCAGAGTGGGCTTCTGAAACGCAACTATAGCCACATCACTCCCTGGCTTCTTTGTATCTGTGGGATCACTTCTTTATAAGACCCGTGATAATCGGACCTCTCCCTATCTCTCCAGCTAACTTGTCATCACTCACTATCTTCACCCTCAAATTTCTGTGTCTTGGCCACGCTGAGCTTCTCAGGGTTTCTTCATCAAAGCTTCCCCTGGTAAGTTCACTTGGGCTGTGTCCCCTGCCTTCCTCCTCTGACTCCTGTTCACTCCTCAGGCTGCAGCTTAGAATGGAAGCTGCTTTGGTTCCTGCCCCTTGCCAGTGGTTATGTATCCTTGATACAATTCCCACAGTTTCTTGAATGTCCCCTACCATCACACTAGTCACAAGCACTGTGTTTGCTTGCTGATATGTCCCTCTCCCCACCAGCTCTGTGAGGGCAGGACCAAGCAGCCACTTTCTTGGAACAGAGTGGCAATGAGTATATCAATGAATGAATGAACGAATGAATGCCTATTCTTTGGAAATTCTGTTTATTATTAAGACATGGCTTTTCTTTTGCAAGCACAAGCTGTATTCCAAACCAAAGAAATCGGTTTCCATAATATGAGGAATATGTTTTCTAAATAATTATGACAACTCCAAGGAAAAGATACTGGCTTACTATTATGTTCTGGATGTGTAAGGACCACATGCTTGGGAGAAGGAAAAAGGCCTATTTATCCACACAAATACCTGCTGCTCTATGAGTAAATAAAACTGCTGTTAGGATTAGATGGCATGGACAAATCCCCAAAAAGAAAGAAAAAGAAAAAAAAAGGACAAGACATTGGGCTCTATAAAACTGATGTCCTGGGGGTTAGAAAAACAATTTTAATGGTAAATTCCAGGGTCAATCTTGTACATAAAATGAAGTCACTGTTCATCTATATAGTGAGGGCTTAGGGTACCACAAAGCTCCTCAGATTAAATGTAGGTCCCCTACTGAAAATTCTTTCTACTGGGCTCCAAGTTAGTTAACAAAGGCCAGGAATCGCTTCCCTATAAATGGACTTCTGAAATAAACATTTTGTTTATCCTGGCAGAGGAAAAGAATAGTCTCCAGGAACACTGGTGGTATAAACAGAAGTGTGTTAGTCTAAACCACAAATCAAAATGATATATTTTTTGGAAATTTCATATGATACAAGCTGATGTTTATCAGGTTATTTAGCACCACAGATCTGAAGGGATCTAGCAAGGCTGGTGTCTCTGAGACAGACACAGCAGTCTAGGGCACTACGACCTCATCTCAATTTCATTCCCTTTAATATCTAGTTTTCTTCCCAGTCTTTTCCCCAAAACCTACAAGATCGGAGCAAAAGCTGAAAAAAGGGTGGATGGAGTTCAAGAAGATGACAGCAGTAATGGAATAGAACCAGTGGCCCAGAGAAAAAATCAGGTCACTGGGGGGAAAGATTGAAAGGATAAGAAAAGATAGATAAGGGGGTTTAGAATGAGCCTGAAGTATCACACTCAACCTAAGGTCTGAATAATAATACATAATTGTGTTTTTCTCCATTTTCAGGAGTTTCTTCTAAACACAGAGTCAGAGAAGGGGAGTGTGGGCTAGTCTCTAGACCAACATGGCTTGTGTTACTGCTTTGGCTAAGGCCAGAATGAGCTACGTCTAGTGAGGCACTTTGTGCCCCGAAGGCTCTAGACAACCAGTTGTCTTTGACCTTCCATAGTGTCCCAGATCCTTTTAAGTGTGATTCTGAGCCAAAGTCTTTCTTGTTACTCTTCTATTTTAGGTTTTAAAGGTCTTGTGCTAAACCCTTCTTGGACTGGTTTTCCTAGAAGGAATTTCTTAATTTCTTTTTTTTTTTGGCTTTTTATTTTTTTTATTATGTTACATTAATCACCATACATTAAATCATTAGTTTTTGTTGTAGTGTTCCATAATTCATTGTTTGCATATAACACCCAGTGCTCCATGCAGAGCGTGCCCTCTTTAATACCCATCACCAGGCTAACCCATCCCCCCACCCCCCTCCCCTCTAGAACCCTCAGTTTGTTTCTCAGAGTCCACAGTCTCTCATGGTTCGTCTCCCTCTCCGATTTCCTCCCCCTTCATTCTTCCCTTCTGGCTATCTTCTTCTTCTTCTTTTTTAACATATAATTTATTATTTTTTTTCAGAGGTACAGGTCTGTGAATCAACGGTCTTACACAATTCACAGCGCTCACCATAGCACATACCCTCCCCAATGTCTATCACCCAGCCACCGCATCCCTCCCACCTCCCCACCACTCCAGCAACCCTCAGTTTATTTCCTGATTTTAAGAATTCCTCATATCAGTGAGGTCATATGATACATGTCTTTCTCTGATTGAGTTATTTCGCTCAGCATGATATGCTCCAGTTCCATCCACGTCGTTGCAAATGGCAAGATCTCATTCCTTTTGATGGCTGCATAATATTCCATTGTGTATATATATATATATATATATATATACACACCACTCTTCTTTGTCCATTCATCTATCAATGGACATCTTGGCTCTTTCCATAGTTTGGCTATTGTGGACATTGCTGCTATGAACATTGGGGTGAACATGGCCCTTCTTTTCACTACATCTGTGTCTTTGGGGTAAATACCCAGGAGTGCAATTGCTGGGTCATAGGGTAGCTCTATTTTTAAATTTTTGAGGAAACTCCACACTGTTTTCCAAAGTGGCTGTACCAACTTGCATTCCCACCAACAGTGTAAGAGGGTTCCCCTTTCTCCACCACCTCTCCAACATTTGTTGTTTCTTCTCATCCATTTTTGTCATTCTAACTGGTGTAAGGTGGTATCTCAATGTGGTTTTGATTTGAATTTCCCTGATGGCTAATGATGATGAACATTTTTTCATGTGTCTGTTAGCCATTTGTATGTCTTCTTCAGAGAAGTGTCTTTTCATATCTTCTGCCCACTTTTTGACTTGATTATTTGTTTTTTGGGTGTTGAGTTTGAGAAATTCTTTATAGATCTTGGATACCAGCCCTTTATTTGTAGTGTCATTTGCAAATCTCTTCTCCCATTCTGTGGGTTGCCTCTTTGTTTTGTTGACTGTTTCCTTTGCTGTGCAGAAGCTTTTTATCTCAATGAAGTCCCAAAGGTTCATTTTTGCTTTTGTTTCACTAGCTTTTGGAGATGTATCTTGAAAGAAGTTGCTGTGGGCGATGTCAAAGAGGTTACTGCCTATGTTCTCCTCTAGGATTTTGATGGATTCCTGTCTCACATTGAGGTCTTTCATCCACTTTGAGTTTATCTTTGTGAATGGTGTTAGAGAATGGTTGAGTTTCATTCTTCTGCATGTGGCTGTCCAATTTTCCCAGCACCACTTATTGAAGAGACTTTTTTCCATTGCATGCTTTTTCCTGCTTGGTCAAAGATTATTTGACCATAGAGTTGAGGGTCCAAATCTGGCTTCTCTATTCTGTTCCATTGGTCTATATGTCTGTTTTTGTGCCAGTACCATGCTGTCTTGGTGATCACAGCTTTGTAATATAGCTTGAAATCGGGCAACGTGATGCCCCTAGGTTTGTTTTTCTTTTTCAACATTTCCTTGGCGATTCGGGGTCTTTCTGATTCCATACAAATTTTAGGATTGTTTGTTCCAGCACTTTGAAAAATGTCATTGGAATTTTGATTGGGATGGCATTGAAGGTATAGATTGCTCTGGGTAGCATAGACATTTTAACAATGTTTATTCTTACGATCCATGAGCATGGAATATTTTTCCATCTTTTTGTGTCTTCTTCAATTTCTTTCATGAGTGTTCTGTTGTTCCTAGAGTATAGATCCTTTACCTCTTTGGTTAGGTTTATTCCAAGGTATCTTATGGTTTTTGGTGCTATTGTAAATGGAATTGTTTCTCTAATTTCTCTTTCTACAGTTGCGTTGTTAGTGTATAAGAAAGCAACTGATTTCTGTGCATTGATTTTGTACTCTGGCACATTACTGAATTGCTGTATGAGTTCTAGTAATTTGGGGGTGGAGCCTTTTGGGTTTTCCACATAAAGTATCATGTCATCTAGGAAAAGAGAGAGTTTGACTTCTTCTTTGCCAATTTGAATACATTTTATTTCTTTTTGTTGCCTGATTGCTGTTGCTAGGACTTCTAGTACTATGTTGAACAATAGTGGTGAGAGTGGGCATAGTTTCTTAATTTCTTACGGGTTCTACAAGCAAGCTCAGGCAACAGCACAGTGAAATATTACTTCCAGACAGATTTTTTAAGAGAAACCACTTGATTCCATGGCCTGACCTACCTCGAAGCCAGGATCTGTGAAGCTTTTATATCAGCCACAACATGTAGGAAATAGTAACTCATGAAAACTCTTCTTTGCAGGAGAAGGAAGGCAAAACATATACTGTCCCAAATAATTCCTGCTTCACCACTGGGTAGTTTACATGAGGAATCATCATCAGCTGGGGTAAAAAAGTAGAAAAAAAAACAAATTAAAATTAACATCCATTTTCATTTTCATTTTATAATATCTGTAGCACAATCAGACTTGAGGAATCCCACAGGCATAAGAGCGACATTCTGATGCATGGACTCACTTATGGATGCGTTTATTTACAGGCAAAGATACACATTTCAAATCCAATATCAACGTTGATTCATAAGACTGACCACAAGTGACCTCTTGACAGTATAAGGCACAGGAGGGTCTCTTTGTCAGGGATGGCTCTTGAGTGTTTCTCTCTCTTAGAGGGAGAGAGATCTCTTTCTCCCTGAACAAGGGCCATGGAGAAATAATGTCTGTATGTCCCAATGCCAGAGGCAATGCTCTGATACAAACAAACAAACAAAAACAAAAAACAAAACCACCTCTTCTGGCAACAATGATCTGGGGTAACCAGAAGAGCAGTTAACACAGTATTGTCTATTAGAAGAAGAGGTATCAACAAACATCTTATCCTAAATCAGAACAAATTCTCCGTTACTCTTCATCCTGGGCAAAGCATAGCCTGGATTGGAAACCACAGGGGGGAGAGTGTCATGTTCAAGTTTCCCCATCCTGGGTGCCAAGGAGGACTGAGCATGGTGTTATCCTGGGTCATGGTGCAAGAGGCAGAGGGATGGAAATGGAAACTTCTGGAACTGTAGAGACCCTGAAGGTCCTCCCAGTTGTTTTCCTGAGTCTGAAGCGCCCTGAGCTTCCTGAGGAGAGAAGGACCTGGAAGCCAGAGGAACTTTCTGACAACCCAAGATTCTAGCGTCAACCACCACAGGCCTGTGGCCTTCTGTAACCCTTCCTAATATAATTCAAAGAAGTTTGGGGAGTATAATGGGCCACAACTAGTCCCCAGACCTGCCAGAGTCTGAGAAGTTTCCAGAGGATGATCAAAGATGCCTAGAATAGGAGCACTTCATGTTATGGGCGATAGATTCATAATGAACTACAGTCCTACTGCCTTCATCTAGAAGTCGAATTGACTGTCACTGTTTTCTCTTTTCTTTATGTGCTTTGGCTCAATTTTAAAATTAGAACAATACAACCATCCTTTCTCTCTGTCCCTACACTTCCAAATTTGCCTTGCATACTTACGCATTTTATAGCCTTTGACAGTGCAGGCCAGGCTGAAAGCTTGGATCAACCAGCAACTATTCTGAACCAATTTTTCAATGTATCCACATGCTCCTATCTGAAAAACAAATGGGAGTGGCAAAATGTGAAACTCTATGCCCAGAAGAAGAGGTTGATGCTTTGTGATCCTACTCTGTGTAAGAATTCACAAAGTCTCCGTACCAATGATTCCAGGAGATACCTGTAGAACCTAAAATCTCAGTCACCATGGGATAGTGCACTTGGTGCTTTAAAAGCACCATGATTTCCTTGGGGAAATAAACCCCATGAGTAAAGGCAGAGTCTTTAGTGTGATGATTTCAGCACTTAGAAGCACCTGTCTTTCCATAGAGAAAATCTTGGACTTCTGTAGGAACAAGCCAAACGTTGATATCAAATGGGTGAACAATTACCCCCAGGACTTTGATTTTGGTATAGTTATTCTCTCACAAGATCGGACAAATTAAACCTACGCTGTTTGCCGGGAGATCATCACAAACATCAGCTGCATGGCATTCTTAAAACAGGAAAAGAACACGCATTTTGAGCCTTTTTTGGTTAATTCTCTGGGCAAAGGAATATTCTTTATTGATTGGCATGTCGTTGTCTCTCTCATAACAATGATTTATGTTAAGTTCACATGCTGAGGGGGAAGAAGTTTAAACAGACAACCATTGCAAGCCAATACATAAAAGGGATGGCTGAACTGTGCATATTTCCTGGGAACATGTGAGGTGGGAGTATATTTAGAATTTGTTCCCAAGTTGGCAGTTACTCAGCTTGAGTCTCTGCACCCACTGGAACATGCTCTTCACATGACTATCTTTGTCCTACACGGCCATACTTGTGTTTGGGTTCTCTACGTTGGGAATGTCCTCCTCCCTTTGTCTCTCTGGACACCCTTGAATCTAGTTTTCAAGTCTCTGATGGGTTCAAATGGCACTGCCTCCCAGAAGTCTGCTCCCAGTTAATTCAGGCAAGGCATGAGGCACTCCTTTTTTGTTTTGGTTTCCTAAAATGTTGTGATATTTAGCATTCACAGACCACATTATAATTATTAATAAGTAGGTTTGTCTTCCCTTTAAGATTGTGAGTTCCTTAGGGTAAAACCTGAAGGCAATACCATATCTAGTTCTTCAAGGCAAAAACAGTGCCTAGCAAGTCTGCAGTATAGGTTTACAGGATGAATGAATGAATGAATGAACTTTGTGGCCATACGTTTCCAGGACTGGTTGTAAGAATCAGCCTCTGGCAACAGATCCCTCACTTTCAGACGGCTATCGAATGGAATGGTGTTCTGTTGTTCTCTCTGTCCAAGAACTTTCAATACTACCCCAAATGTACATAAATATTGGTGGGGTAAAATTGCTGCATAAGAGTCACTTTTACTATCAACTGATCTTAGACAAAATTTTAATGGTCTTAGACAAAATAAATGACTCAAATACATATTCATGGTGACACAGACTTCGTTTTCCAAGACCTCTAAAGACAGCAATACACGCGCCAAAAAAAAAAAAAAAATGAAATGCCCGCATAGTAGACTTGCCTGGTGAGCTCATCTTTCAGTAACCAGGAAGGTGAGAAGCAGGAAGCTATTACCTCACGGCCCCTCTAATGCACTATCAGTACTTGGCAGCAGCAGGTGCAAGGATTAACTCTGACTTAGGGCCAGCTAGAGATGTATTAACTCCTTCAGCTCATGAAAGGTTGTTGTTTAATTTCCTGAGACAGTAAATACCTTAGAAGGTGTCCCTGTGACCCAAAAGATTTTATGCAATCCTGGGATGACTAGTGGGCAGAGTGAGTTACCTGCTTGGTCAGGGGGGAATGTGGTGCCCTGGGACATGGATATTTAATAGCAGAGCAGCTAAACTTTGTAGAGGAAGGATGTGTGTTTTGCCCCCACCCACTACTGGCTTATACTTCCATAATTCTTTCTAGGTAAGCCAACACAATATCAGTTTTGAAGAGATTCAATGACTAATTCGGGTCATAAAAGGGCCTTTTTGTAGCACAAACTGTGAATGGTGACAAATGATCCCTCAGAAGAAACAGGATTTTAACTTAAAAATACATTTTAGAATGTATTCCTACAAATCCCTATCCTTCTGCCATGTGACCTTGAGATGGTGGACATGAGCAAACAGGATTCTGCTTAATGTGGCAAAACGAGAGTAATAAATGGTTCTTTGAATTCTGACTTTGCATCATCTTATTTGGGGCTTTTAAGAGAGGAGTGTGATGGGCAATTGGGCTTTTAATAACCACTGAATGGACTGTTTACTCTTGTGCTAAAACCACAAATGTGTTATACAGTGGGAGGCACTTACTGACAGTATGTTTTTCATTGTAATCACAAAAACGTTGTAGGCAATCAGCCAGTCCCAGTAGCGCAGGATGCTCTTGATGGGTTTCAGCAGCAAATCACCCCCAAAGAGCAGGAAATAGAAGCAGGCTACCAAGTAACCCATGCAAAAGATGCTGATCCTGGTTGTTCCCGTGATGAAGATGATCGTGAGGACAAACCAGAAGAGGTAGCTGAAGATGATCACTTTGGACATGTCTAGGTACGATCTGGAAAACAAAACTGAACCATCAAAGGACGACAACACACGTAAATAAACAATGAAGGCAGGAGATTCTACTGTAATGAGGGACAGACGTCGTACCATCCATTTGACTCAATATGGAAGCACTTTGCAAGTCATACTGTGAGCTCTGTATTCATCTTTCATTTAATACTGGGCAATCCTCACCCAGTTAGTAACAGACGAATAGGTAAGTTGTAAAAACACTTAACAGTACTGTATTTGGGTCAAATTTCCCACACACAACTTTAGTCGCCTTCTACTAGCTAGATCCTTCAAGAAGAGTTAAGACACAAAGACTGGCTAGAATAAGAATGATGTTTTTCAAATCTCATCTTCACCTTTCATGTAGAAGATTGCTGCTTACTCTTTCCATGAAGCCCTTTCTTTGTCTTTAAGTGCATGCCTTCCGGTGTGCTTATTTATTTTTATTGTCTCAAGGTAACATTTAAAATGTGTAATTAAAGTAAATAAATTACATTTTTGACTTCATTATTGCATTTACAGGGATTTAATTGTACTTGGTAATTTATTTTTTCTTATTAGCCAAAAGTTCAGCATGTTGTTTTTGACAAATTAGGCGCCCATATGAATACTGCAAATCAGGACATTGTTTATCATTGTTGCTCTGAATCGTCCGAATGATCTTTTCAAGTTCTTGATTTTAAAGGCCCACGCTCAGCCTAGAAGACATTTGCTGTATAATTTGGTCAACAGTTTCCATTCTATTTGTATACTGTCATGATGTCTTTTTTTTAAATAATTTTTTATTGTTATGTTAATCACCATACATTACATCATTAGTTCTTGATGTAGTGTTCCATGAGTCATTGTTTGTGCACAACACCCAGTGCTCCACGCAGAATGTGCCCTCTTTAACACCCATCACCAGGCTAACCCATCCCCCCACCCCCCTCCCCTCTAGAACCCTCAGTTTGTTTTTCAGAGTCCATCATCTCTAATGGATCGTCTCCCCCTCCGACTTACTCCCCTTCATTCTTCCCCTCCTGCTATCGTCTTCTTTTTTTTTCTTAACATATATTGCATTATTTGTTTCAGAAGTACAGATCCGTGATGCATCAGTCTTGTACAATCACTGTCATGATGTCTTAAATGACAGGAGTTACATACTGAGTTTTTATTTTTGGTTTGCCTTGAGCAAGGTAGATGGATGTTTTGGCCATTATAATGTGAAACCACTTTTTTCTTTACAGTACTTGACCAAATTTGTGTGTCTATGATATTTGTAAATACGTGCGATATCTGTGTTTCTTATCATAAGCCTATTTAGTTTTATTCTCAGTAGGGTTTTTGGACTGTACAGTGTTTATATGATCTGAACTCCTTATACATAAGAAGGTGTGTATATTAATCCAATTATGGACTTAAAATATTTTAAAAGTATAAATACCCTTATTTGCTGCAAAGACCAGTGTGTAGACATTTGCTTTTTAGCAATATTTTTAAGTGCTCCATTTTAATGCCAAGGAATAAGTCTTTTGGCAACACAAACTGGTCAATAATAGGTAATGCAGGTATGTTCAGGTTAAGTCAACAATGTTTTGCATTTTTATGCTTCTTTTCTGTCAACACTAATGAAGTCAACATTGCCTGAATGTCTGAATAATGAAACACATCCCTGTTTAAAAGTATGTAACTGAAAAAGAAATAAAAAATAAAGGTAGTTTTAAAAAAAAAATTTCCCACACACAGCAGTATCTTCTGCCTATTACTAGAGTACTCAAAATTCCTCCCTGTCTTCCCATAGGAGGCATGAATAATTGTATGGCAAGGGAAAGTCTAAGATACAGATGCCTCCTGAAGCAAGAGAACAGGTGAGACTGGATTCTCTTAAATGAACTAGAAATCGATAAATAAAACAAATTGTGTTACATTGAAGGTCTTACGGGAGGTGGAAATCCCTCCTTGCAGATGAGAAGTCATTCTCACAAAGCACACACAGCCACAATGAAGCCTGGAGGCTCTGTCCAACACTCAGCCTCATTAGAGAAAGCTGTTCCTAAAAGGTACATTGTCGGATAAGCAAACTTCTTTGAACTTTACTCTTTTGGGAGTAAAATACTCAATCCTTTAAAATGCTTTCATGAAATTTCCCTCTCAAATCTATTTCACCCTTCTTTGACGTTATAGCCAAAGGAGACTGTATAAAATGCTGGTATTTCTCAGCATCCCAGGAGCATCGCTGGTGAAATCAGTGATTCATTTGAGACGTAATACCGGAATCCCACAGGGCCTTCTCGTGTGTGTATGTGTGTGTGTGTGTGTGTGTGTGCGCGCGCGCACGCGTGCGTGCACACTTTGAGTCAGCAGACTTGGCCTGCTGGCATTTTGAGTGAGTGTGTGTGCATGTAGAAACATGTGTGTTACTGTAACATGTGCTTCCTGTGGATGTCCCTTCCTTGCCCACAGTTGTTCATTCCTACTCAAGGTGCCCCAGCCTCCGCTCCTCAGCACTTAACCTGCTTCAGGCTCAGAAATCACAAGACCAAGCTTGAAGGTCACATGGAAAACCCCAATGTGCCCTGAAGAGGAGGCTCAGGGACCCCGGAGCAGATGCATGAGCCCTGGGGACATGTAGTGAGGCAAGAGGCTGCTTTCCAGAGCTGCAGAGAAACATGTACCCGCAGAGAGGGCTCGGGGATGCCGCACCTCCCACAGCAAAGTGGTCGCTAGCTTCCCACTCACGACTGTGGTGTGTGACAGGTTACTGCCTGAGATGCACTTTTCTGGCAGTCCTCACTGAGAAATGGAATTAAAAGCTTGAAATAATTCAGTTTTTCAAAGATACCACTCTAAAAATCAGTGGTGCACAAAATTTTCGAGTTGATGTTTTAGGTTTTTCGTTAAGTACACTGTAGAGTTGAATACTTATCTTTCTCCAACTCTTCAACCCGATGTGATAAGACATTTGATTTTGTTCTAATTTCCTGTCACTGTGAATTGTTCAAGCATTGCTGATTCATGATAAAATGTAAACATGTGCTGTTAACGATTTCTTGTGGATTTTACTGTTCTGCCTTCAGATAAAAACTTTTTTGTGAGCCTAGGTGGCTCAGTTGGCTAAGCGTCTGCCTTCGGCACAGGTCGTGATCCCAGGGTCCTGGGATTGAACCCCACATTGGGCTCCCTGCTCAGCGGGGAGTCTGCTTCTCCATCTGCCCCTCCCCTCACTTGTGCTCTTTCTCAAATAAATAAATAAAATCTTAAAGAAAAAAACTTATTTTTCTCTCTTTCGATAGGTAAAAAGATCAGCTGCACTGATATTTTCTCTTAGTATCACAGAGAAGAGGTAAAAAGTGGAATTCATACCTTATCTTAGTGGTTAGTGTGGTATGTTATTCCTAAAAGGAATCTTTAGGTTTACATAGCTTCTCATTTTATTTCGTTGTTTTATTGTTAATTTTTGTTTTTATTATGTTTTAAAGATTTTATTGATTTGAGAGAGAGTGAGAGCATGGGCAGGGGGAAGGACAGAGGCAGAGAGAGAGGAAGAAGCAGACTCCCCACTGAGCAGGGAGCCTGCTCCATCCCAGGACCCTGAGATCAGGGCCTGAGCCGAATGCAGATGCTTAATTGACTGCGCCATGCAGGCGCCTCTAGCTTATCATTTTAAAGCAAATTCACTCACTGGTTTGTTCAGTACATGCTAAGCTCTTAGGCCACTGAGAGGCACATACGGGCCTCAGCACCCAGGTTTTGGAGCTAGGTTGATTGGGTTCAAATCCTTGCTCAGGCTGGGGGTGGGATAGGGTCTTCAAATAACAGTCCCGTGCAAACACGATTCTCTGGGACTCAGAAGGCAGGGAGCCAATCTCAGGTGAGGAGAGACACACCGGCTGGTGCAAGACTGATCTGCACGCTGCGCACTGCTGCACAGCCTCTCCCGGGGACAACAGCAGACCTGGAGGGTGGATGTTAACTAGTGAGGCTCAGGGAGTCCAGAGGTGCGGGGCTGGTGAGGAGGCATAGAAACCCCCCCACTTCTGACCCCGACCACAGGGGGCAGAGCTGGACTGTGATTGCTGACCGTGGAGGCAGGGGGCGCCCGCCATGACGGGGCGGCAGGTGAGAAAAAGCACGAAGACTTGGGAACCCAGAGAACACATAAGGAACACAGAGTGAGAAATTTAGTCAGGTTTAAATGCAAACTCTGCTGAGGGGACGATCAAGCTGCCAAGATCAGCTGCCACCAGACTGTGGAGGACAGTGGAGGACAGAGAAGGTGCTACAGTCTACGCCATACCACCCTGAATGCGCCCGATCTCGTCTGATCTCGGAAGCTAAGGAGGGTCGGGCCTGGTTAGTACTTGGATGGGAGAAGGTGCTGCAAGGGCAACCCACATACCAGAGAAGATAGCACACCAGGGGAATGACAGCATGGGACAGGCTGTGGTTCCCAGCCTGCCACGGTGCCCACTGAATATGGAGGACCAGGAGGAGGACAGGGGAAGGGGGAGAGGGTGAGGAACGGGGATCAGGAGGGACAGGGGTGAGGAACGGGGATCAGGAGGGACAGGGATGAGGAACAGGGATCAGGAGGGAAAGGGATGAGGAGGAGGGACCGAGGAGGAGGAGGAAGAGAAGACAAAGATGAGGGACAGTGAGTCAGAGGAGGGGTCTCTGCTGGAGCACCAGGAGGCAATATCATGGGCCCCCGTCAGTTTGTGGGGGGAGAAGTGGAGGGAAACTGAGGGGAAATGCGTGGTTCATGCTGAGAAAAGCAGAAGGAGAACTGTAATTCAGAGACTCAGCCTCTCGACCACCGAGCCCTCTGCCTGCATTTATGAGCCTGGCATGTACCATTAGCCGCCCAGTTTCCCAAGAATGGTGGAGAGAGAGTTGGAAGTGGAGCTACGTCCTCCAAGTGACACGCACATGCAAAGTGGCTTTGGACTTGCGCAGCCACCCTCACCTGCAGTGGATGAAATCTGGCACGGGGTTATGCTGGCTGAAGGAGGCTGCGTCAAGGTTCATGCAGATCTCCACGTTGTCCCCTGCCATGATCCGCACTGCAGCCTTGTTTTCATCCTCGAAGATCTGCCTTTGCAGGGAGGCACACAGGAGCAGCATGAAGTCATCTGCGGGACAGAGGGATCGCTGAGTCACTTCTCATCCAGGTTTCCATGATGCAGCAGACAGTCCCCGCAAGGGATGAGTGAGTCATGTTCCCAAAGTTCCCAGTGTACAGTTTTCCCTGGATTCCAATCTAGGGCCCAAGTCCCACCTTGCCCACCATGGAAGATGCAAGGGTGGGGGCACAGTCACGGGAGAGTGCAAGTATCAGTTGATAATCCCTAGTCTCCTGACTTTCTTATGGGATAATGTTTATTTGCATTTATCTCCCACCAAAATTTGGAGGAAGACAGTTGAATGTGCTTCCCCATCTTTATTTTTCACTTGGGGTAGAGGCAGGCACTTGTGGTTTTCTTCACGCTCTCCATCCCCCATTGTGTTTGTAACCAGAAGCTTCCCAGAGTGGATGGACAGGGCAATGAAGGTGGAGAGCACAGGTGAAGATCATGGCCAGTTATGGGCAGGCAGCCTCCCATACATTAAACCTGAATGTGTGGAGGCAGCATGGTCCCTCTGGAGGTGACCCTCTCATCTTAGGTGGGGCTGCTCTGATGTTGGGATCATCAGCCCACCCTTGGAAGGGCCAGGGCTACAGTCTGGTGCTCGAGAGTCTGAAATTTGGGAGCATGTTCCTAGCTTCCATAGTCTTAGCATTAGCTTTGATCTGTCCATGGTGGCAGCGTGAAGGAACCACTTTGCAAAAAACAAGGCCTCCTCTGCAGTCTACCTTCTAGAAGGTGGATGAGTAGAGTGGGGGGAGGGCAGCAGGAGAGTGGGTATGTGCGTGTGTTGGGAGGTAAAATACGGAAGTGGAGATGGTATTTCCAATGTTTATTTATTAATTTTGCAAATGGAGTGGGGGCCAGTAGAAGCCATTAAGGACTTGTGACATTAATGCATCAAGACAAGCTTTTACATGATCACCAAGTGCATTGGAGGAAGCAGGGGCACTGATGCACAGCACACCAAGAAGGATCAGCAAAGAGAAAACCAAACCCCAGTGCTCTGTGGTCCCGTGGCTCCAACACTTACAGACAAGAAACACGGGGTTGGGCCGCACAATGAAGTCTGGGAAGTACAGCCACTTTATGATGTTGTCATTGAAGCTAGCACCCTTGAATCTCCATGGGTAATCTGCAGGGCGGAAGTGGGAAAGAGCAAAATCAATACGCTTCTTCCCTGCCCTTGTCCCAACCATCCACGACACAAGGGCTGATTGCAAGAGCAGCTGGCTTCTGGGGAAGGGCCCACGCACCTCTGCAAGGAGCTGCAGGGATGCCGATACAGATGAAGTACTGGAAGGTGATGATGCACGCCAGGAAGCAGCAGTACTTGGGCCAGATCTCTGCAATGGCCTTTCTTCTGCGCCGATATAAGACAGCGATCAGCCAGCAGGCGTGAATCATGGCATAGAAATCCATTCGCTGACCAATTACATTAACTGACATTAGGAAACAGGTCTGTGTAAGGATGAAAAGAGGCAAAAAAAAAAAAAAAATCGGGTTTACAGGGAAGGGGAGTGGTGTCACCTGTCAGCCCTGTGCCGGTGGTTCAGAGACCTGCATTCCCATGGGGTGTCTGTCTACACATGTTCACCAAGCCTTGCCTCTGTGCGATGTCTTACAGCTTGTATAAATTGCTTCCAAGGAAATGAATGACTACATCACTGTGAATAAGAACCACTTCAAACTGTGAAGAGAATACAGCTACGCTCTCTTCATGAAGCACCACTGTTTCAAATTCTTTCTATTAAGAGGCAGGCACTACCACAACCATTTCAGGTCAAACCAGTTCATTTTGGTGAAAGTTAAACTCTCAGAATGCACAAAACACAAAGAAGATTTGTAATACATTAAAGAAGCCAGTGAAAATGACAAAGTGGTATCTGTGCATCTGCAAGGCTACAAAGATCCAGAGAGGCCAAGTTCACTGCGGCAGAGTAGGGAGCACTGGCCTTGGTCTTAGAAAACTTTCAACCAGGCCAGGTGAACCCTACAGCAGAATGTCCTCATGCTGATCTTGAGGAGACAGTCATCAGAGCACAGAGATGTACAAGTAAGCTCTAGTGGCCAAATGGCCAAAAAAAGCAATTGGGATTTTCACAGAAAAAAGAAAAAAAAAAACAACCAACCCACATCAGCAAGGAAACTCACCTCCAGACCAAACTTGTAGAAGAAGTAATTTATGAAATATTTGGCACAATTAATAAGTCCATCATCTAGATGGAGTCTTGTAATGTCATGAAAGATGGTTTTAGACACCGGGGCCGTGAGGTTGTTTCGACCTCGATAGTATTCCTGATGGCGGTAAATTGTAACCTCAAAGGCCAGAATGGCCAGCATCAGGAGATTATTCTACAAAGCAAGAAAACACAGTTGTGTGAAGCCAAATGCTTTAGCTTGGTCACTTTAAGTAACCCCCATAATCAATCTTTTTTTTTCACATTCTTGGTGTCTAAAAGAACAATGCTTTATAAAATCCCACCTCTACAGAAGTCTTGAATTCAATGTTCATTTTCCCTATGGTAGAGTAACAAGGTGGAGCTACCTGCACTGTGCAATCAGGGTAATTTCCAGGATGCTAGGATCTAGAATCTCTAGACAGAAGGCTGGTGATGCTCATTCCTGTTTCTGAAAAAGAACATTAGCCATAGGAAGATGCAGTGACTAGTTGCCTTGGGAGGTGGTCCAAACTTGTTTGCAACTTTAAGTGCAAAATGATACAGGGCCATCTGGGAAACAGATGAAGCTGCAGGGGAAGTCTTTCAACACCTTGGAAATTTGGCTAGAGAGAGCTGCAGACTGACAAGCATGCTGCTGACCATAACATAATCATAGTGAAGATGAAAATAGTTAATGTTGATGGTACCGCATGTGCTATTCTGATTGCTTTTTTCAAATATCAGTTTATTTTAGCCTTATAACAGTTCTTGACAGTAGGTAGCATTTGTATTGCTGCAAATCATGTCTGTCCTATGAGAAAAAAATGGGAAAGCTACCCACAAAAAAATGGGATGCTTAGTATTTTTAAAATTCCAGGTGATGAGTATAAATGCTTTATTTCTAAGTGCTTCTGTCAGTGTGGTATGAAGACCGCTCAGATTATCCATCAAAGTAAAATGGGAACAATCTGAAGCATATTTTTTTCATTAATGTTTGTTTTGACTATTTGCAAAGTTTCTTTTCAAAGATAGGTTGTTAAAAATTGTATTATCTATAATGATAGCTAGCTGGAATTTTAAATAAAAACTTGAAGAAAAAATTATATTACCTTTCAGCATAATATAGGTTTTTTATTAAACACTGTAGAGAAACAATTTAGACAGCAAACATTTCTCATAAATGCTCTACCTACTTCTCAGGAATAACCGCTATAGACAATTTGGTATATTTTACTTGATATTTTTCCTTGTATCTAGAAGAGATCACACTATGCATGGTGTACTGAAATTTGCCCTTTTTTAAAAGCTAATATATTTTGGATGTCTTTCAACATCTCACATTATCAATCTACCTCAATCTTTTGGTGGTTATATAATATTCTAGTGAATATATTTGTCATACTTTATTCAATCAATCTCAAACTACTTGATCAATTTCTTTTCAGCACAATGCAACACTGATGGTAATGTTTAGTCATTTGTTTCAAAGGTGACTCCAAATGTCACATAAAAAGGCAAGGTTACCACTCCAGCAATCCTCAGTGTCGTTTAAAGAGAGCACATTCTGCATGGAGCACTGGGTGTTATACGCACACAATGAATCATGGAACACTACATCAAAAACTAATGATGTAATGTATGGTGATTAACATAACATAATAAAAAAAAGGCGAGGTTATTATCAGATACGATATCAGAGGTCTCAAGGCAAAGGCTCTCAGGCGTTAACAGTGCAGAGGGGCATGCGAAGTATGGTGGAGGCCTTACCCTCAGGTAGACAAGCAGAGGGGAAGACTTCCTCAGGCCCACCCATTCTGTTGGGTCAATAGGAGCGCTGTAGAGCTGAGACTTGTTCAACTGGTGGATGGGTATATTCGTCTGGTTTTCATTTGGCTGAAAAGAAGAGAACAAAGAGTTTTAAAAAATGGTTGCAGAAATTGGAAGAGTTCAGATTTTTCTCCTCAAGCTTTGTGCAAAGGACACAGTGGGACTGGGAGGGAAAGATCCACTTCAGGGGGGGCGATCTCAGCAGGGGAAGAAGGTTAGGGCCAGGATGTATCCAACATGGCTGAGGTGACTGAAAGGCCGGACAGAATGTGCTTGGGGGTGTGGGCTCCCCAATATCTGTGTCACTTCCCTAAAGACCAGGCAAGAGGAGTCCCCTGTCTTCGAGGCTCACCAAGGAACAGTTAACAGAAAAGTTCTCAGGCTTAATGGTTTGCAGCTGGTACAACATTTTGCAGACGATGATCACACATGTCCAGACAGTGCAGACACTTGAAGCCAGACGGCGCAACTTGGCATATGGCAGAGCAAAAGCCCAAGAAATCAAAAATACATAGTTGAACAGAGACACCTGAAAAGATAAAATCAGAAATGGGGACAAAAATACATAACATGGCACAAGAGCCACAAAATGTGGCAACTCGATTTATTCAGTTTGGCAAAGTCTGATTGAGCTCCTGGCATGTTTGAGGCATTGCCCTAGGCGTGTGTGTGTGTTTGGGGGGGGGATCTTGTATGACAAAAAGATACATAACCAGATGACGTCAATATAGCGTAGCAGTGGCTCAACCACAGATGGGAACAGGCTCCTGTAAGAAGACCCAGAAGGGGTCCTTGGCCCCATCTGGAGTGCCCAGAGCATTTTCTGGAAGGGATCCTGCCTGAGCTGGGCCTTGAAAAATGCGTAAACTTAGCCAGGCCAAGAAAGGTGAGAGGTGCCTTCCAGGTAAAGGATGTACAGGTACAGGCAGGAAAGCATGATGGGACATGGAAGGGACAGGTGGCCACAAACAACTGGAAATTCTGGACTTGAACATGGTGAATGGCAGCAGTAAATGAGGCTGGAGATGCAACTGAGAGTCACACTTTATGGATCCCTTTTAAACCATGCTATGGCCTGGGAACCCTCTGTGCGGAAAATAGAGAGTCAAGACTTACCAGCAAAAATCTTAAGGAAAGATTTTCATTTTGTTGAAATAAGTATAACTGAAGAATGAAGATGCACCCATCGGAGTTCAGTGACAGGTGAGGAGACCCACTCATGGGTACTGCCAGGAGAACATGACCAGGGCCCAACTAGGGCCGTGGAGCAGGGATGGAGAGGAGTCACAGGTTTGAGATGAGAAGTAAAACTACCTGGAGTTGTTGACTGGTTAGCTGGATGGTGGCAATGGCTGGGGTAAAGGAGGGGGTGTAAGGAAAGCCTCCCAGGTTTCTGGCTTGGGAGCCAGAGCCCTGAGAAGATAATAGTGCCACTACTGAGACAGGATCTTGGTGGGGGTCAGGGGCAGGTGTAAAGAGGGAAGGCAGTGACATCAACTTGCTTTAGACTCTGTGTGTGTTTATCAATCTGGTAAGATGTCTAATCATTTCTAATGGTTCTCCATAGCCAACAGTTCATGGAACAATATAGAAGGACGGCCATTTCACTCATCCGTGGAAAACACTCATGTGATTAAAATAATGATTAAAATAAGATCTGGATATTGTTAAAATAATGTTGTAAGAACACTTATTATCATCAGCATGAATTAATTAACATTAATAGCACATACTCAGTTGATAAAATTCAACATGTAGCCAGGGCTAAGTACTGTGGGCTATAAAACGTTTGGTCACCTGATTGGCTGACAAAACTACACAACAAGAAATGAGGAGACTCCGGGACAGCATTTAATTCTGTAATTTAGTAGCCACTACTTTTCTACTTGTCACTGTCCAGGCAAGGAACCTCTCTGAGAATAAAGCGCTGAAGTATTAGGGTAGTAAGAATTGCCTTTCAGAATTAATTGAGGAGGAAAGAAATACCACCTTGTGAACTCTACAGCGCTCACAAACACAATAAATGTTACATTTTAACAAAATATTTTGATTGGCTAAATGACTCTTCCTTCGTCATCAGCCAGTGTCATGTTAACTGGGATATTTAAAAACATTTCTTTTCTCCTCGATTAATTCTGTAAGCCTATAAAAGCTACTAAGAAATTAACTCTGTTATTCTTTTTAGTATGCATTTAAGGCACTGAGCATAAAAACAGCACAATGAATTTACATAGAACTCTTAATATTTTGAGTGTTAGAGAAAGATACATTTTATGAAGTCCTAACTAGGCTCAAGGTAGCATATCCTGTGTGGATTCCTGGCCTCAAGAAACACATGGGGTAGTGCCAGTGAGAACCGTGTAGATAGTCATGACAATATGGTGGAGGGGATGTCTGCCTGGGCTGAAGCTAGCTGTCTGGGAGCATGGGGCTGATCAGCTAGTCCAGGGTTAGGGAAGACTGTCCATGAGTGTTCAATCTAAATTGAGGTTGGAGGTACAAATGGGAGTTAGCCAGGCAGGGGAACAGCAGGTGTGGGGCCTTCTGGCAAGGGAGAGCATGGAGTGGACATCCTTGGAGTAGCAAGTGGCTCACCATGAGAGCAGTGTGATCAGGGTTCCTTCAGAGGGCTTTGGAATCCACCTAGGCTAGGGTGTCTAGGAAAGAAAGTGGTGAAGTGGTCTAGGGCCGGATCATGAGGGTCTTGTAGCTAATGCTTGTGAGGACAGGAGAGCTGTTGAAAGTTTTTGAGTCGAGGATAACATGAACATATTTATTCACTGGAAAGACTGTTGTGGCTGCAAGATGGAATCCATACTGGCAGGAGGAGAGATTGGGGCATGGCTGGGCATCTGGTAGAGTAATCTAAAAGGGAAATGACGTGGAGATAGGGGGCTCAGGTTTAGAGATGTTGAAGGTGTTTTGGGACACTCAAGGATGAGGTCATGTCCAGCTGTGACTTGGAGATACGGGCCTGGAGTTCAAAGACCGGATGGCATGAAGACACAGATTTACAATTCTTGCATGTAGATGGTGAGTGAACCACAAGAACTCATGAGACCACTCACAGAAGGTCTAGAATCAGAAAAGCGGGCTGCAGTTAGAACCTAGAGAAGAGAGGAGTTGGTAGGAAGAGAAACAGCCCATGAATGAGGCAGAAGGGAGGGGCCAGGGAATTGTGCTGTTTTGGAAGACAACAGAAGCTCTTCAAGGACAAGGAAATGATTGTCAATAGCCAATGTCATAGAGAATCAAGTAAAATGAGGCCTGAACAGTGTCGGTGAGGTGGGAAAATGGACTCGGAGAAGCACCATACTTCATCCAACATAAACATGGTTGATGATGGTCTTATCCTTTCCCTGATGGTGGGAATTTCGTGGAAAGTACTTAAAAATTTTACAAAAGACAAATATCTGGGCCCCAACCAATATCTGATGAAGCAGAATTTCTAGGGAAATCACTGGTCATTCATGTATCTAACACGTGTCCAGGTGATTCTTATTATCAAGAAATTTGAGGAAGTAATTTTATGCCATATGCCTCCCTCACAAAACACTTTTCCACAAATTTCACTTTCTCTGAATATAAACTTCTAAGGCTTGAGGCCACCACCTTGAGAGAGGAGCCCCTGAGAACTGTGGTCCCCACTGTAGAGTGGCCCAGCTGGCCTCCTCCCTCAGAGCACCTGCAGCCTCGGTGACCGCCTCCACAGTACGACCCCTGCATGACATGCCCTCCCTTGCACCCACAGCCTCCTGGGATGCCTTTAATGTGACTTTGGTTTCATTTGCCAGCCATGACTATCAGACTGAGAGCCAAAGCAAGAAATGTGTCTTTCACGCCTTTGTGCCAACATCTAGTGGAGTATAAGCATTCAATTTATTGTAATTTAGTTTAAGTGCATAATAGAGGCTAAATGAATGGTTACTGAGAGTGAAAATAATAATTAAAACATCAATTGACATGTAGGGTAAATATCAAGCTTGCAAAGACATTTTATTTCCTTTAGCCAGTAAACTTTACTGAGCTGCCACAATTGTCCAGGCCCCATAGGAGCTGCTCAGGATGCTAAAATAAGGTGTGGTCCCTTCCTCAAAGAATAACCTGATCTCTCAGAGCTTTCTGGGAAACTTTGAAATTAGAAACATATAGCTGCATATAAAAAAAGATGACAATGTTAGATATATATATATTTAAAATCTAGGTCCTTCCAAAGTGGTGTCCCTCTGGTAAGAGATAATGATGTAAAAGAATGGCCTCTATAATAAATTCTTTCTCATGGTCTCTTCTTCCTCTAATGCCCATGATGATAACCTTATAAAGGTTTAATGTTTGACCCCAAAATGACCTGAGAAATGACTCTGAAATTTTGTGAAAACAAGCAGCCTGCTGATGGCCTTGGATAAGGAAGAAGATTTCACTGGGGTCGTTGACTTTGTTCTCATTTTGCCATTTACTGATCAGCAATTTTTGAGAAAGGATATCTTTTGTACAAATCAAAGTTAATAAGCTATGAATGGAAACTATGTGTAGCAAATGTCATCACTGATGGGCTTCTCTGGTTGAGGATGAGCCAAGCCTTCAAAGCAGAAGAGGCCCCTGAAGGAATAAATCAGCAGCTCAGAGGTGCACAACATCAGGGGCTGCTGGTCACAGGTGAACAATGCCCATGGAATTGTGCAGCATAGCTTCCTTCCTGCCCCCGCCCAATGTGAACCCTAGACACTTGTCTTTGTTATAAGCAGATAAGATTCAGACATATCATATCCTGGATTTGGCACATGGCTCCTTATAAGAATCAGTGTTTGTCTTTCTTCCCCAACTGTATACTCATTAGCATAGAAAGAGTTCAGTTGAAACCTCGTGAGGCACCAAGTTAGAACCAATGGAGGCAAAACCTTCCAAAATGAGGTGCTATCCAGCCATGTAGAAATTTCAAAACAAAACTGTTGATGGGAAACCATTTAGAGGGCTTTTCAAGCTCTTGGGGAGGGTACAAATGGGTCAAGATGGTGAAGCTGACAGGAGGGAGTGTGAAGAAATTTCTTCATAGGAGGTGCTTCTGTCAGTGCCCACCCCCCACAAGGTGATGGGGTAGGAAGGAAGGGATGCTACATTCTCTACCTAAACCCCAAGCAAGGAGCTTCAAACAGTACCATGAAGAGATGCTAATTTGTGTATTCTGGAATCTGGACACCGATGGCCAACTTCACCCAGAAAACCCAGCTGGTACAGCTTTGGTGACTAGGCCAGGAGTTACCTCATTGCGAGACACATACACTAGCAGAGCACAGACTGCATGAGTGTGGCCCTTAGACCTGAAGGGGGAAGAGAGAGGGCCCGGAGCCGTCCTACGTCCTGCTCAGTGACACTGCCTGCCCGGGGAATGAGACTCCAACAGAAAGGGTCAGGAGGAGCCGATGCTGGAACCAGGCACTAGAGGAGCCCCTGAGAGAAAGGGGAGATTTAATCAGCCCCAGGCCACTGTGAGGCCATCCTAAGAAAGCACACCGCCATTCCCACCTGAGGCTGTGGTCCAGCATGGGAGGCCTTATAATGCAAGTTAGTTCACTGGAAGGAAGGGCAGAGAGGGAGGCAGTGAAGGGTGTGTGTGTGAGAAAGAAAGAAGCTGCTAGAAGAGGAAACGCTTCTATCTGGTAAGAGATTAGAGTTTAGTGCTGGTGAGGATGCAGAGAAAAGGGAACTCTCGTGCACTGTCGGTGGGAATGCAAACTGGTGCGGCCACTGTGGAAGACAGTATGGAGCTTCCTCAAAAAGTTAGCAATAGATCATCTACCCTATGATCCAGCAATCACACTGCTAGGTATTTACCTGAAGAATATAAAACACTGATTCAAAGGGATACGTGCACCCTGATGTTTACAGTAGCATTATTTATAATAGCCTAATTATAGAAACAGACCAACTATCCATCAACTAATGAATGGATAAAGAAGATGTGGTACTGGAGTATTACTTAGCCATAAGAAAGAATGAATTCTTGCCATTGGCGACGATGTGGATGGAGATAGAACATATTATGCTAAGCAAAATAAGTCAGTCAAAGAAAGACAAATACCATGTAATTTCATTCATCTGTGGAATTTAAGAAGCAAAACAAATGAGCAAAGGGTAAAAAGAGAGAGACAGAAAGGCAAAGCAAGAAACAGACTTAACTGTAGAGAATACACTGATGGTCATCAGAGGGGAGGTGGGTGGGGGATGGGTGAAGTAGGTGACAAGGCTTAAGGAGGGCACTTGTGATGAGCACCCGGTGTTGTATGGAAGTGCTGAATCACTGTAGTGTACATCTGAAACTAATATCACACTGTATGTTAGCTCACTAGAATTTAAATAAAAACTTAACAAAATAAAAAATAAAAAGACTTCTAACTTCATGAGAACAAAAAGAGATCAGAGTGTGGTTCTTTTCTGTGACCTGACAAGTCTAAATAATGAAGTGAGATTCTGTTTGCTCTCTGAGGTAACTATAGGACTTTCTATTACCTGGGAATGATCAGAAAGTTTTGCAGTCAGGGACATGGAGAAAACTTTCTCTGTAGAATACATTTTAAAGGGACAGTTGAGGTCTGAAATGAAGTGATTTTTATGATTACAGCCCACGTGTTCTGATCACTTGATACTGCAGTGACGTTAATAAGAATCAGTCATGAGGGGAAGCCCAGAGGCTGAAGTCAGTGCGTGGAGGACAGAGCTCATGATGTCCAAGGATCAGGCAGGAACTCACTCTTTGGGGCCGGAAACCCCTTATGCAGGTGGGATAACAGGATGTGAAACTAGGGTGACACACTTTGGGGCTAACTTTCTCACAAGGGGATTCTGGCAGATGTTAGCAGCAATGGGAGCAGTTTTTCTCTGAGGCATGAACATCTGATGTGCTTTAAAGTTATAAGTGAAAGAGATGGAATTAGGGAGGAAAGTTCTGGAAGTCTACACACGTATGAATCCTAGAGAAGGAAATGGTCATACGGCATCAAAGGCCTTTTTCCTAATGGTGTAACGGGATGAACAGGTCATGACGCTTTATCAACTTGATAGTCTATGTACAAGACATTCTTGGGACCCATTAGGATGATTTTAACAAATATATGCCTGCCTTTTGTTTAGGATTTGTAAGAAGTGGTATCATTGAACTCTTCCTTTCTCTTTCTGAACTCCATAGGATGGATTTCAGATAGTGGATTTTCCGTGCCCTACTCACACTAACTTCTTTCATTTAATGCCCATTGGCATCATAAAATGTCTTCTCTGCAACAACTTCTCATGCCGTCCAAAGACATCTGTACATCGGATTTGGTTAATTCCGAAATGACCTTTGCTATTTGTAGCCAAATGCCTTCTCTCGCCCTTCTTCGTTGCTCTTTAATTCTCTACCCTCGAATTCTTTCTGAATTGGTCAGTTTACGTCTACAGATGCTTAAACATCTTTGTCTTCAATGAATACACATGGTAGGCTAGATTTTAGTTCTAATTAATGTATAGACTGTTAACAGTGGAGTGCATGTCCCTTTCTGCTATAAATCTCACAGGTAGAGTAGTTTCTGTTTTTATTCCCACCTGGCAGTGATGATGGATCCATTCCAGATGGTTTGTATGAAGTAGAGAATTGTCTAGTTTAGACTGGGGAGCTCACATTAAGGTTCATCTCTTAGTTACCTACTTGTGAAACTTTTAGGTTTATGTTGTTGTAGTTGTAATATGATATTATTTAACTTTTTAAAAATTAGAGGCAGGAGTTCCCTGACTGAATTTTTAGAGGGCAAAGACTCTTTGAATTGTCACTCAAAACTAGTCCAGAGAAATGAGAAATATGTGTAAATTATCTGCTGAATAAATTGAAAAGAGCTAATCTCTTCATAGTCAGCATCAAATAATTGTTGGCTGAATGATGCCTCCCCTCCTTCTAGATGAGAAAAGAGAACTGCAATACAATGTTGAAACACGGTGTCTTGTCTCAAAACATCCAGTAATAAACAAGGTGAACTCTGGCACAGATTTTACTAAATTTGGGAAGCTGAGTTTACTCCTTGGTAACATAAACTGGCATATTACTGTTTTCCTCAAAGAGAGTTTATGCACAGGTAGTACAAAAGAGCAGCCTACTCTCGCACAATTCAACTAAAGACTCCATGGAAATAAGTAACCCTTCTGATATGACCAAGCCAAGGAGGAACTAAGCCAGGAGCTTCTTTCTGCCCTGCTATGTTTCCCACGTCTCAGGACAACTGCCCTTTGGTTTTCTACATGTCAAAGTGTGTGTGCTGTCTTTGAGGCTTGGTGTTCTAATTTAATGGGGATTTCATTTAAAATAAAATCATGGACAGTTGGGAAAGGAAAGCAATGACCCACTGTGGTTTTGTTTGGCCTGAAGATACAACAAATGTTCACTTGCCTCTTTCACAGAAACCCAGATAATGTACGATGAAACAATTTTGATGATATGTAACTCCAAAATCCACCACATGAACACCTGCAGCTTGTGGAAATACTCCAAGAATTTTAAGAAGAGCACAGTGAGACGGTCAATCACCAGATGCCATTTGTTCCTTAAATCTGCAAAATAGGAAATTCACCCAAGGGCATAAAACGTTGTGGGTTTTTTTTTTTTTTGCATTATTATTTAAAGCAGATCTTGTAACATTCAGGTTGGAAGGAGAAGCTGCAAAATAATAGTAATGGATGAATTCTAAGAATTTCAAAATCTGGAGGAATGGGGTCTAAAAAGTCCCACATCATGATGATTTAGACGTCATGCACCAAGACTCTAAAGGACAAGGTTGCTCTCCTTAAATTCATTAAATCAGCATGAAGGAGTATTTTTTGACCTTATTTACTCTTATTTACTTTATTCCCTAATTTCTTGGGAATATTAGGTAACTGAGCTCCCTTGAAATGACATTTATCTTGCAACGACCGCGCTTCTGTAAGTTCCGGGAGCTTAAAGAGGGAGTGGACAAAGCTCACTGGTCACCCCGTTGGAGCGAGCGGCAAGAGCCTGCTCCTTGTTGCAACTGAGAGTGAACACTGAGTGTCTGAATGACCCAGTCCCAGTTCACGAAATGGGGTCAGACTCACCCTAATCATAATTTTTAATCATATTAGTCATCTCCTTCTTTCCACCTTGTGCTAAGTAGTAATATTTTGCAGACTGGGGTCATGCTTCTGTTTAGAAGGGTTGTTCATGTGAATGGAAGTCACCACAGAACTATTTTGTGGCATCAGAATGTCACCACATGTGTAGACAAAAGCTCATGAGCCCAGACAGATAAGACCTGAGCATCTCTAAGTAGCTTCTTCTTCACATGGCTGGGGTGGTTGTGGTAGTTATTGTCTTCAGTTCCAAAAGTTTCAGTAAGGTCTCAGTTATTGTGAAAAATGCTTACATACAATAGTATAATAGTTGATACAAAGATTTCAGTCATAACCGAGCATAATTTAGAGGTGTAGATGGCAGGTATATGAGGGAGTGCCAGAACAAAGTACAATCCAGTTTTTGGTGAGATTCTTTTAGTAAAGCTCAAAACCTTCATGCAGTAGTAGAGCAAATCTTAGTCCTGGGTCCTTGGTCCCACCGAGCTTTGTTCTCCTTCACCCTGAGGAACAGCCATTGCTTAGACATGGACAGGGCCATTCTGGGTCCCTCTCAGGGTCTTCTGAGATGAGGGGGTAAAAGGGACCAGGTCTGGGGGAATTTGCCTTTGGGAGGGATCTTCTGCCTTGTGCTTTTTCATTTTCTAATCCTTTAAAGCACAGAGCACCAGAACAGACTAAGCATTCTGCCTTCTCTGTCAGATAAGGCGTCCTGATCACCACGGACGCTCAGTTCTCGTCATGCCCTATGAAACGTTACCTCAAGGCTATAAAGAAAATCAGAAAAAAGAGCCTAAAGAATAAAGAGGGAAAACCTAAACTGACAATGACAACAAAAAGACCTCTAGGACTTGGCTAGACATGATAATTATCTCATCGCTCATTTGCCCCTCCAGTTCCTAGGTCCTAAAACATTAGGACTGAACTACAAGTATGCTCTTAATTACCAGTTCCCTGGAGAAGTCCCAGACTGGTTTCTTTGAGAATGCATTTGAAAAGGCCCTGTCTAGAACTTTCTGAAATTCTACATAGTTGCCTACCTCTGCTGCTGGTAGGAAACATCCCTGACTAGGTTTCTGATTGAGCCCAGGTAAGAACCACACACACGGCCTGAGCCTGGCGGGGACCACCTCTGGTGGCTCAGGAGCTGACAATCAGCCATCTGCTCTCTTCTGCTACCTCAGGATCACAAGGAAAGGATGGGAGCAATTGGAACCGCACTGTTGTAACTATAGCAGCCAAAAGACCACACCCCAGCTTCTACTTCATGGACTGGATCAAATCTCTATCCACCTGGAACAAGTCTGTTTCATTCACTGAGTCTGTCAGCCAGGATTTTCTGAGCCCCTGTTGGTTGTGGGCGGGTTACCTGATGTCTCTTCCTCCTCCTCTTCCTCCTCTTCCTCCTCGTCCTCCTCTTCTTCCTCCTCCTCGCTGTCTTTCCCAAGCTCAGCCTTCTCAGGGCACCCCTCTGGTTTGTCATCCCCACGCTCGGCCAGCTTCCTGATGTCCGGCTTCTCCAGGCTGGCGGTCAGATTCATCATGGCAAGGTCCGGAAGGCTGCCTTCGGGGTGGGCCAGTCTGTTGGCAGAGAGCAGCCAAGTCAGGAGAGGAAAGAGTGCGGGAGAGATCTGAGTGAGGGGCAAGTAAAAGGAGGATAAATAAAAATGAAAATCAGTGCAGGTGCACAGGCCTTGCAATGTGGGGTTGTTAGTGTCTTGTCACTTTTTTTTTTTTTTAAGCTCTTTCTAAAAACAAACTGTAAACTCAGTTAGGTCTTGTTAGCTTTTCCAATTCGGGTTCTAATGATTAGTCAGAAATGAGAGCTATCAACACCTAAACTTGACATTTTTCCCGGAGGAGAAAATGGTCAGAGTTTAGGATGTAGAAGCATGAAATGGCAATCATGTAGAGCAAGCATTTCATGGCTTCACGGGGGACTTACTCATTTTGGTGGATTGGTAATTTTTTCTTGATGCTGCTCAAAGTAATTGAAATAGAAAGGAAAAAAAAAAAGGAGATGAGAACAGAAGAATTATAAGGAATGTCAGAGATCACACATCATGCTACATATCATTCACTATCGCATTCCTGTATGCGTTTGTGGTTAAGTCCTAATGCCAAGTGCATTCCAGGATGGCGTCAATAGAGTGCTTTTGCTATGAACCCTGGGTTTGGCGGCTGAGTTGAGAGTGGACAGGATTGCAGGTCATAAAGGGAAGAACGTATAGACGACAGAGGCAAATCATGTCATGCTCTTTTAGTAATGCAGCAAACCATCCCACAAGAATCCAGTCATTCACACTCTAAATAGGATTTTTAAAAATTACTCTTAAATAACGTGTAATTGCAGTCAACCTTTGCACAGGCTCATCCCACTCTGCTGTCATCTAAAGCAATATGCAGTGGAGGCAAAATGCTTTCAGGAGTAAGAAGTCTGCATTAGGTCCCAGTCCGCAGGCACTGGTGCTTACTGGGGGACTAGCAGTCATGGGGAGATGGGGTGTGACAGCCCAGGTGAGGCACGGCGACAGTTTCGCTGAGCCCGGACAGCAGCCAGAGCATTACAATTTATTTCATACTGGACAATAATGAGTACCATCTTCCTCCTAAATTGTTAGAAAGTAGATCTTTTTCCTCATAGCCAATTTGAAGGAACATTTGTGGGCAATAAAGAATATCAGGGAAAGATCCACTGGAAATACTGAGAGTCTTCTCCATTTATAATAATTAATGTATATTTCAGCCTGGTTGTAACAGGATGGACAATTAATAATGTTATCCTACCTGTATAATTGTGGGCTCTGAACATATTATTTAACCTTTCTGAAATTCACTTTTTTTTCTGTAAAATGAGTAAGTTTGGCTAGATAAAAACCTACACTTATTTGCAACTCATTGATTTTATATTTGAAACACATCTGGGAAGCTGGGTAACTATTGCAATGAATCTGCATTGTCCTTAGACTTTTAGAGTTTTATCATTCAAAAGTAATTCCTCTTAACAGGGTGCCAAGCAGGTAAATTATGGAATGCAGAAACATTATGAATTGAATAAAGAAAGACCATCCTGAGGATGGCTCCACATTGGTGGAAGGAGTTACGATGACATACCACTTTCTTATTTTCCAAAGCTAGTCAATCCACCCTCCTGTCTTTGGGGAAGTTCCCCCCACCCCCCACTCCTGAAACTCCAATACCATATTTTACACACCAGCACTGCATGTCAAATCACAGGGGGCATATATGCTGTTCCTGCTTTGCTGGGACTCTGCATGTGAAATGGTGTTAAGTGTAAAAGCAGTCAGCTGTCACACAATTGCCAATATTTATATGTTCTCTTCAGCATTGGCAGGGGACGCATTTTGTAAGTGAGAAGATACCTCTCATTATGACATTTGGTGGAAGGATGACCATCTTGGAGTGCATTTTTACCATTCTACATCAGTACTGCCACGACTTAGTACTGACAAGAAAAACAACTTGCCAAGAATTAGAGCTAATTAATGGAATGAAACTTACAGAGATGAGGCTGTTTCTGCAGCTGTCATGCTGGCTATATAACAAAAAGTCCTCAAGCGAAGAGATCCCCAAAGTGTCTTGCCATAGGCAGGGCATATTGAGGGGAGATTAGCGAATGAAGGAATCAAAGAGAAACACTAGAGTAAACCTTGTGGAAGTGTGTCCAGAAGGTGGACTTCTGGAAACTTGTAACAGTCTACAAGAGATCTGGGACAAGATAATGTTGGGGAGAGAAGAGAACTGAATATCTGTGTCTGAACCAAGTATCTGCACATTTCCGTCTGACATAATCCTTGGGAGGAAACCGGGTATGTAAGATCCAGATGCCTTCTGGAGCAGTCTAAAGTCGGGAGCTTGTAATGGATGACAGAGAAAAAAGGGAAAACCTGTATCAGCCTGTTGTTTACTAGACTCGAGGAGTCTGTTAACTGAGAAATTGCATGAGAAAATCTGTGTGCACAAAATATGTACAGATGAAAATAGTTTTAGTGCCTGGAGTTTATGATTTTACAAAGGACACCTGTGTAAAGTCTTTCATTTTTCTTCAATTTTTTCATAGCAGTTTTTTTGAAGGCAATACAAAATAAGGTTAAAGCATGCTCATTGGAATCAGAAAGACTCAGATTCAAGCCTCACCTAGACAACTTACTAGCTAGATGATTTAGCAAAACTCCCTACTCTGTCCCCTAAGTCTCAGTCTGCTGATCTGCAAAATGGAATAATAGCGCCTACTTCACAGGATGCTGGGAAAACTAAGGTGATTTCTGTTAAGCTGTTAATACAGTGCTTCGCACACAGGGAATAGTTTTAAAGTAAAGAACCATCTGCTAATGATAGATCTTCATGTACCGCTTTGATAATTTGTATCATGAAAAGGCGGAGTTAGAAATATGTCTTTGCAAGGGACCACACCATGCTGGACACCACCATGCTGGGACAAGGGCTCAGCTTGGACTATAACTCTGTCATTAGCACATTCTTAACAGAACTTGTATATTACAATGGCCATTTGGAAGAAAAAGAGCAAAGGTTTCTTCTTTGGGAGTCTGTGTCCACCATTCTCAACCTTCTGTGCTCTCTGCTGTCTGCCCACCACCTGCCACCATGCATTCGCTGAGGCTGGGCTGCTGCGCAGGTGGGGCTGTCTGCACAATGTGGAGCTCATGGGCAGAACTAGCCCCCAGTTTGCCATAGTGAACAGCTGGACTGAATCTCCTCTCCTAGAAAGCCTGTGTACGTCAGTGTAGATATCCCCCGCCCAATAAATTTTAAAAAGGGATCCTGTTATTTCAAAAAGTAAATTGGTAACCACACTCCCTGAAACTTACAATATTGGTAATTTTGTGCTGATCTTCGTGTGCAGATGATCTAATCAGCACTTGAAGGAGATTTATAAATAGACATGGTGATCAACTGGATTCTCAGAGAACCCCCTCCCCCACTTCCTTAAAACCCACCTTTTTGCATGCTTTTCCCCACTATGGAGTTCATTTTCTTTTCTTTTGCATTGTCTTTATCCATGCCTATAACTTCTTCACCTTGCTTTTACGATGCTCCGGGCTCTGCGCTGTAACCCTCTTACTGACTGACCATTTCTCCTTCCGCAGTCTAACAAAGCAGGTGATGTTCTCTTTGTGTTTTCACTCTTTCCTTCTGCACCCACAGCTTTCTTTATACGGTTCTTTATACGGTCCTTGATGCGTGCATCTCTCCATTTGTATCTACTTAATTTTAATCTAATGATGGTTCTGGGGGCTCTTCCTTTGAGGGTGGAAAGCCAGTCTTAACTCTCCTGGGCTCCCTTGCAAAATGTAGCACTGGGCTTGGTATACAACGTGACTCACTGAAGTTTGGCCAATAGATTCTACACACACCACATGGGCATTCTTATTTGAAACAGAAGAAACAAATTATGTTACATGGACAGTTGAAGAAACCTAATTCTGTATTGGGAACTAACTTTGAGTAAATATATGAAACCACATATTAAGGTAGTTTCCATGAAAGAAAATGGAAAGTCTACCATTGTAACATCTCCTTAGTCTAAATTCCACTTATTTTTATGACTGTTCTAATTTGGAATATGTAGTAATGTAAACTGCACCCACCCTATTCATTAGACTATTAGAGAAAAGAGGTGTCTTGCAAATTTCTAGTGTTTATAACTAATATTTAAATAATATTTATACTGCTTAAGATTATTTTCTAGAATGTATACACACTTTTAGAAGATGGTATTCACAGATGAGCACTTGATTTGTAAGTTTAATATCACATCTTAAATGGGCGTGGTAGTAATTTCCTCCAAAAAAAACCTACTCAACAAATTGGGTGTAACATGGCTCTAGGTTCGCCATATGAGACAGAAATGACCATTATTCCTGTTGAAATATTCTAATTCATTCTGTTTAGGAATTCAGTTGGAACTTCCTCTCAATTATTCGTATCATCAAAATTTTATCAGTCACCCACTGTCCTTACCACCCCTACCTCACACTTTGTTAGATCATGCCTACATTTTAATCAACCCAGAAGCTGAATGTAGGTATGTCTTCTCTTTCATCCAGAACTTACATTTACAAACACTTTATTCTGCTTATGAAATAACACTGAGCATACAAGGAAGAAATTATGGAAGAAAGAAAGCTTAATTAAAGGATTGACTTACTATTTTCATCAAGACCAGGTCCTATTCAAAATTGGACATGCTTTACACACAGCCTTTCAGAAACACAGTGAGGGAAGAGTTTATTGGGTAACATCTTCCCTGGGGAACGACTTTTGCCTTTTTTAATAAGCATTCAGACTAAAATGAAAGATTCCACAGCAAAGAAGATAGTGCTAACAGTGGAATGTTTTGAGTCTTTAATTATTTTAGATGACTCTGGATCTTGATCATTCTAAGAATTCCTGAGTGCATTCCCTGGCCTTGTGACTTGGGTTAATGGGGATAGGCATTCTCTCAAGAGAGAAGTCTGAGACAACCAGAACCATAACTTGTATCAGCCCCTCCTGTTAGAGCCCATCAAACCGACTTCTGCCTTCTTAAGTGTCCCAGCCATCTCCTCATATAGCAAATGATAAATACTTTACGGGAAGAGACAGAGACAGAAAGAGATGGGTGGACAGGGGAAGAGGGAGAGAGGGAGAGGGATGGATGGAGGGATATGGGAGTAGAGGGGAGTGAGGGGGAGAGGGAAAGGAGGAGAAGGGGAGGTGGAGAGAGATTGAGAGAGAAGTTCCTTATGTTTAGAGAGATGAAATTTCAATAGTTGCTCAAGATGTCCAGCTAGAGTCTTTATCTTAACTTCTCTGCCTATCAGCTAAAAACCCGAGGTTGACTCTCCTCTCTCAGGTTGTCAACAAAACTAGCTCCCAAAGGAACCAGCCAGTCTTCATCTCTCCTTCTTCAGTGATCTGCACAGTGATGCACTAATTTTTCACACTTCTTTCTAGAAGTTTTGGTCCCCAGGCTTTGCTATTTGGTTGTCTGCCTTGGGATTTTACTTAAGAGAAAAGCGAATGGAATAGAAAACCAACAGATCTTTCAAAGAGTTATTCTGCTAATTGGATTTATTGCAAAATACATGTTTCTATGAACTAAATTACTGGCTTAGGAGTGGATATTTTAATTCACTTATTTAATGAAGTCAGGATAGCTTTAGGAAATTAGATCCCAAAGGATCTTTTTCTCTGTACTCTTAGGGAAGTTGAGGATAACTCTGCAAACAACACTTATCAAAGCTTACTCTTTATTATGTGTGGTCATCTGCATGTTTTATCTCCCCAGCTGGGTGATAGGGCTCGAAGGTAGGGCCCTGTCTCAGTGCCCATCTCTGCATCTTTTGTGAAATCTGGTGACGTAAAAGATCTTTCTTCAATATGCTAATCTTTCAAGTTGGGGTATATTTGAAGAAACCAATATCTTAATTTTCTTTTAACCATATAATTGTTGTAACTATTACCACTTCATTCAGGAAATATCCACTGAGGGTCAACAGATGGGTGAGGCCCTGAGGTAGGTGATAAGTGGACACGTGGTGAATTATACAAGGACTCCAGGCCTGAGGAGCTGACGCCTCTGGCAAGGGAGATAAGACAGGCAGGCAGAGTGTCAGAAGGCAGCAATGATACACTGCACTGGGCTGTGAAAATTCAGAGGAAGGGCAGAATATTGTAGCGGGGAAAGTTGGCATTTGTGGGCAGGTTTGTGGAGGAGGTGGTTCTTGAGCTGAGCTCTGAGTGATGTGTTCAAGAGGGCAATAAGCTCTCAGGCAAGCATTGAGCTAATTTACCAAAGAATAAAAGTAACGGGGCATCCATTTGAACCAAGACCAAAGGTTGAGCACCGGCTGAAGACCCTTGGAAACCTCTGAATCCACTTGCAGCACCATTCAGGATAAACATGAAATGGTTTGGTTGGCAAAATACATCCATGAGCATACCTGAAGACCACTGTCCACTATCTGATGACATCATTTACTATCTGATGACATCATTTTTCGTTTACAAAACAGCGAAGTGTTTAACACACCAAGAAACCGTTAAAAAAAAACAAACAAACAAGAGAGAAAACATTGAGGTACCCACCTATTTATTATTAGATATACACGCCCATTGACTTTGGCATGGCTACGAGGTGAGAGATGGAAGCACAAGGTGGCATGCGGATGAGGAGACAGGTGGGAGAGAGAAAGAGGAGACTGTTAGAGAGCAAAGAGGTAGACTGTCTTGCAAGCTTTAAGTCATCAGGTGTGTGCTCATCGATACTTCCATGCACGACGACGAGTCAAGGCAGCAAGGGTCAGGAGCAATGCGAAGTTAGATTAGTCAGGAAAAATGCTTGAAGGGAACAAGTTGCTCCATTCTTCTCATCCCTCCCCCTCTCACACACTTGACTAAAAATTGGTAATGTTTCAATTTTCAGAGCACAGTTATCAAGTAAAAGACAATCTAAAAGATGAATTCTTGCTCTTTCCCCCAAATTAAAAAAAAAATCCTACTAAGTAACCATATGCAACAGTATTCCCTAGGTTTTCTAAGACTGAAGTTAAACAAAGTCATTTTGTTTCTATATGCATGTTCTAAAAGAAAGTATGGACAAATTGCAGGGATGGATATTTAAGTATACAATGGATATTTCACACATTATTATTAAATATATATGTTATCAGAGACTGTTATTCCCAATTTGTGGGCCAGATTTTGTAAAACATCTACAAAGGAGGCAGGAGCAGAGAAGGCAAAGCATGACAGCCAATCCCAACTCTGTAAATACTTCTTTCTCTTCCTCATTTTGATCTTAATGTGGTCACTTATTAAGGGCTCCAGGGACAAAAAAATATTGTTAGTAAGGAAAATACCCGGATGGGAACAAGTTGCTTAAAAAGATGGGATATATATCCTACGCTCAAATTTAAAATTTGGGGATTTTTATATTAAACTGTTACAGGAAATCCCAAAACACCGAACTTGAATTTGAACCAAACCTTGAACTCTATAAGGTCTTAGAAAACTGTTTTTCGAAGAACTAAAAATGAAATCCCATGTTCCTAACCTCTTTAGGTAGCTGGCCTTGTATACTCTCTCATCACTCTGTTTTCTTGGTAGAAAATTGTTCAGGGCATGCTCGGGGCTAAATCCATGGCCACAAGGAAGGCAAGCAATGACCTCAAATGGCTACAGATCATTTAGATCTTCTTTCTCCTCTTGCCATGGCATGGAGGGTGAGGGCTGTGAGTGGAACAGCCATGGAAACGGAGAAAACATCTCCACATGAGACTGTAGTCCTTCCCCAGAACCTACATAATTAAATAATGTTCTACATGCTTCCAGGGAACTCCGAGGAACAAATTCCATTTTCACATACCCTAGGTCTCAAAAATTGTGATTCTTTTGGGCTGGTACAATCTTTGTTGAGCTGCATGGTCTCCTACAAAACTGTGGTCCTGAAAATCTCTATTTTCCTGGAAACTGTAACCTATATCTCTATTTGATTGTGTGACATTAGATTCAAAGACATGATAATAAGAGCAAGGGCAGGAAAAAGCTCCTACATCCTGGAGGAACTTGGCATGAGGAGAAAAATAGAGATCCAAGGGAAGAAAGGCATTTAGAAGAAAAAAAAATTAAAGGCATCATTAGCAATTGCCAATCATTACATTTCTTTTACAAACATATAAATATACTTTGCTTACCAACAGGTTTTTCTTGATTATTGAATATGACCTTTTGAACAAATGGTGCTGGTTATAATGAAATAAAGCATGTTACCTTATCAGAGTTAAACATCAAATACTAATTTTATCCCCAGCATTCACAAGCAATGTCAAAAAAGTCCTCAAAAATACTTCTACTAATTATTGATAAATCTCATTTTCCTATAAGGGCACTGTGTTTGTAAGCTTTTAATCTTAGGGTGACTTCTTTTGCTAACAAGTTTGCCTAGAAGTAATCTCTCTTAGGGGGCTCCCAGACTTCTAATAACTACCTTATTTTTCCTAATACTTGATTATCACTGAGGGTAGCCACTGACCCCATCCGTGTCCTCTCCCTGGTGGGGTGTTGGGAGGAGACAGGTTTTAGCTGAGCTTGCTTATTGATGGTGCCTTGACAGAATAAGATATAAATGCCCGATAACTCTGGATTCTACTGGTTGGGAGCCATTCACAGACTGAAAGGCATCTGGAGCATACTCAGAATAAAAAGGAAATGTAAACTCTGGTCCAAAAAACACAAAATGGAAAAGAAATCTGCTGGCCATCAATAAATAGATAGAGATTATAAAATGGTTTTCATCACCAAATAAAAGAGTCTTGGAGTTATCTACGACTCCAGTCCCTAGTATAGAAGAAAACTGAACATTTGGTAGTTCATAAAACTGTGCGTGATGAAATACTACTTCATCTTCTTTTGCTGTGCTCATTGTTTCCCTTGAAAAAGAGTTCAGAGCGAGTCAAAAGGACTAAAGGGGATTGTCGGCTGGCATCTGCCCTCCCTCCATACAGCCCTTTGCTTCGTTGGTTGCTTAACAAGGGTTTTTCCAGGAAATGAATCATAAGCTAAATCTGAAGCAAAGAGAGAAATCAGTATGAATGTTCATTAGAAGAATGCTTGAAATTTCCCTGTAAGGGAACCGACTCTGAAATTTGTGATAAAACCATTGTGGTTGCAACGCACAGGGGCCTGGAGAGAGACACCTCATCTGTTGCTTGTAAGCATTTTATATATTTATAGATGAGAAGACAACAGAAAGCTGATAAAAGCAAACACTGTCATCACTTTAGTTCCTTACATGATCTGCTGATTAGTAGTAGACTGTACTTTCTATCCTTTTAGTGGAAGTTCATTTCCAAAGTGGAAGGAAAAATTCTGCACATCACATTTTGGTACGCTCTTGCTTCTTCACTGGTTGTTAGCACAACAGAAAACTCATCCTCTGAATCAGCCAGATTTCCTTAATGTTCTAAAAACACATCACGGCCCAGACACAAAATAGCCATCGCCAACTCTCAAGTATTTGCATCTGCGCAGCTAATTTAAATTTACTCACGTGACGATCAAGATCACTTTGCATTAACCAGTCATGAGTCACTATGTATTGTTTCAGAAGCTGTCATAAAATACTCCACATTTTTTTCTCATTTCCTTTTCTTACTCACAGGTGGGTACCCATGGAAAGCTTAAGGTTGAAATTCTAAGGTTAGTTATTGGCTTCCTGCAGGGGGCCCAACACTCTCCACAGTAATGACAGTTATCTTTCTAAACTCTAAGGGTCTAATCATGGCACATTTTTTGCTGTATTTATATAGCAGATATATAAATATATGTTTATATATTATATGTATTCTAATATATTATATATCTTATATGTTACATATTATGCTTACCTTATACATTATATTCATATATATGTATTTCTATTACAGAAATATAAATAAAACTAAGTGTAATAAATGAAAAAAAATGAAGTGGGGAATTAAAGTGGTTGCGCCCAGAGCAAGAGGCTCGTGCTTCTTGCAAGCTCTCACCTGTAGATGGCGCTGTCTTCCTTGCTAGGAATGGACTTCAGGTCTGTGAGCTCCAGAAACTGATCATGGAAGTAGTGAAGGTGTAAAATGCACACCAACAGAAAGGAAGTTGGGATGAATATGCGAGTGAATAGTTCTGCCACGGTAAACTGTTTTAAGCCAAGATCCTCGAGCCTGTGAAACAAAAGAAAATGAAATGAAACAAAAAGCAATTGCCTTTCTTAGGCAATGAGCGCACATTCTTTTTGCTATAAATCATATCATAGTCCTTCACTGTCCGGTTACACCATTTCTTGCAACCCTCTCTCCCATGCATTTGCTTTGGTTTTTGTCTCCATCAATCCAACTGACCTACTCTTCCAGTGGTCAGTAACAACCTCAATATTGTCAAATTCAGTGGCTGCTTCTCTATCTTTAATTCTGCCTCTAGTCCTTCTCGAAATAATTCTGGTCTTGGTGCCGCCACACTGGCCTGGGTTTCTCTTCTGTCACTGTCTCCTCCTTTTTTATTGGATCTCCAGATGTGAAATAGCCCCAGACTTCAGTGTTGAGTCTCTTCTCCAGCTTATTTTTCCCTAGGTTATCTCATAAGTCCCAGGGATTTATACATCATCTTACCACCAAATGACTCAAATGTGCATTTACAACTCAGGCTTCTCCCGTGGACTCTTGTGCCCAAATGTTTACCAGAAGTTGTTGGTTTTTTTTTGTTTTTCACAGTTATTTCATATTGTCTTCCAAACACTGTTCTTGGCTTCCTAGTTTTGCTCAGCGACGCTCCTCTCCAGCCCTGCCCCCCACCTGAGTCTTCCCTGGTGCCACCGCCTACCCTGTGCTACATTCTGGAATCAGGAACTCTGTCTTTTTCTGCCTTCACATCTCATTCTCACATTTCTGTCGGCCTCCTAGGCATCTCTTGAAGCTGCCCACTTCTGTTACCCGTCTCTGTGCCACCTACTCTAGATGAAACCACCATCATTTCTCACAGGACCCCTGCTATTGCTGGCTAACCCGCCCTGTGGTTTCTACTCTTGCCCTCTGACAGCACTTTTTTTCAGCCCACCAAGTGTTCCTTAAAGACTTAAAATTTTCACCCAGAATAAAATGCCAACCCCACTACCTAAGAGCCATGCACATCCTGGGCGCCTGGCTGCATTCTCCACCTCTGCTCCGTCCACTGTCCCCCTCGCTCCTGGCAGCCGAACCATCCTCTGCTTCCTCGTTCATGCCAAACTCAGTCTTGTGTCACGATCTTCACATTTGCTGCCAGGATGCTTTTCTGCATCTCAGCTCCCAACTCATATACTTTCCTTAAGCCCTTCAGGTGGAGTTTAAATGGCACCTCCTCAGGGAAGCCTGTCCTGACCACTCTATTTATAGTCTGTATCCCCCACTGTTCACTGCCTCAGCCTCTTGTTTGTGTCCTTCACAGACTTGCCACAATTTGTAATTATTTTTTTTGCACAATTAAGCAGGGTTGTTTTTTGTTTTTTGTTTTGTCTCCTCCACTAGAATGTAAACTCTGCAGTGCTTAGACTCTGTCTGTCTTGCTCCCTGATGTGTCCCCAGGCAGAGTCAGTGTCTGGCACCTGGGAGGCGTTTGATAAATATTTATTAAATAAATGTTAAAGATGTGTCAGCCTAACTACATGGCGAACTTTCCTTTTAAACTTTTCTTTTAGCCACCTCAGTATATTCATTCAGCTCTGTGTAACTCATTTCAGAAGTTTACAGCAGCAAATCCGAAAAGGCTACAGTGCATGCACAGATCTGTCACACGCACATGAACAATTATTTCCTCATCAGTAGTCTTCTAGCACTTTTTCTATGGCATCAAGCATTCCTTAGAATCTTTGCACCAGCTCCATAAATGAAGAGAGGTGGCTGCTTTATATTATAAGCCTATGAATCAACTGAACTGCTGAATGAGCTCAACTTGGAAAGTAGAAGGCCTGACCAGCAAAGGACTAAGCAGGTATTTCACGTGCAGCGGACATTTAAAAACGTTATTTCATTAAAATGGGGTCAAAAATGCACTTTTCGGTCAATATTCATCAAGTACATACTCTACATGTCAAGCCCAGGGCTCGGCAGAGAGACCACAGACTGACCTGTTCTCAAGGAACTTATAGACACTGATGACATCAGTTTTACTAAAACCTCCCCTCCAGATGGCTGAACACCATGCATGCAGCTCTTCATCCTGTTTGTCCCTTTCACAGTCCATTTTACACCAAATTGCTTACTTTTCTTTTTTCAACCCAGTCATATTTTGCCACAGTCCTGGGAAGTTCTCAAACTGATATGTGTAGATAAAGATAAGCACCAGCATGGTATAAATAACCACAGACATCCAAAAGTACTTTAGAATTCGCCTCCACCACTCGTAGTGCACCTGTGAACCGGATGTTGAAAAACAAAGAAAAAAAGAATTGATTTATAAAAAAAAAACTTACAAAAGCACCTCATTTATGCAAGTGTGACAGGTGATGATATTGACAAGTACTCAAAAATCAAATCTATTTCATTTTTTGGTTTTGAGGCTCTGTTCCTCATAGAGTCCACTGGACCTAGATTGGAGTCTCAGTACTGAGAGCTGCTAACTATATCTTGGGGTAAGTCGCGGGACCATTCTGAGCTTCCGTTTCCCCATCTGTAAGTACCTACTTTGAGAGCTGGAAAGAGGATGAAATCATCCTATTCATAAGCTAGTCTATTGGAGGCGTTCAAGGAATGATATGGAAGATGTTGCCATCATGGTAGTTATTGTTGGGAGAAAACTGCCTCCGTTTTGAAATTCCAGTATTTAAAAGTATTTCAAAACTTCATCAATTTTGGTTGAGATATTTTTATCTCTACAGGTGAATGAGTGTAGTTGCTTTATTTGTCCTGTTGGTTGCCTGCATGAAGAGTGTCCTGTTGCACTTGTTTCTATCCCTGAGTGACAATTTTTCAAGAAGTTAAGACTGAATTGGTGGAGGGGCGCCTGGGTGGCTCAGTCGTTAAGCGTCTGCCTTCGGCTCAGGTTGTGATCCTGGGGTCCTGGGATTGAGCCCTGCATCGGGCTCCCTGCTCGGCAGGAAGCCTGCTTCTCCCTCTCCCACTCCCCCTGCTTGTGTTCCCTCTCTTGCTGTCTCTCTCTCTCTCTCTCTGTCAAATAAATAAATAAATCTTAAAAAAAAAAAAAGATTGAATTGGTGGAGAGGCTAACTCATTTTAGTAGAATCTTCTATAAATTCTAATGAATAAAATACTAAAGAGTTGATGCATTATGCACATATATGTGTACACGCACACACAGTCTCCTGATTCTAAAGTCTGAAGTACAAGTGAACTGGGAATCAACCCATATTTTAGATTATCTGGCCACTTTTCTTCACTGACTATTCAAAAATGAATTTAATTATACAGGGTTTTTTTTTTTATCAAGAAGTTTTGAAAAACTCATGAACTTTTTTGTTTTTATACTTTTTAAGAGCCCCAAATTTTAAAATAATGAGTAAGCTGAAGATAGTCATTTCCCCTTTTAGGCCTTCTTAATATATAATGTTTGAATTGCATTGATCACTTTAGATAATCTGCTCAGGGGATGACAGTTATTTAGAATCTTGTCAAAGGAAGCTCAATGTATTCCCAGGACAGCTACCAGGATTTAAAACAAAACAAAACAAAACAAAACAAAAAACAAACAAAACAAAACAGGACAATGGTTTACATACCTGATACAAGGCCACACAGAACAGAAACAGCACCATGTAGATGATTTTGTACATCACAATTTTACCCTCGAAGCTGACAAAGAAGAACATTCCTCCGCAGACGTAGATCCAATACTTGATGAACATGGCCACCACCAGATTGCCCAGCACTTTCATGATGTCCTGGTCATCATCTTCCTCCACTTCCTCTTCCTCTTGCTTCTTTCTCTCTTGCTTCTCTTCCTTGGCTTCCTCTTCCTCCTTCTCTTCGGCCTCTCCTTCCATTTGTATATCTTGCTCATCATCTTCAAAATAGAAGACTGTGCTGTTAAACTTAGCTGGTCCCCTGCCTGGAGCCTCACTCCGACTGGGTGTCGTGTGGGGGGCATGGAAGCGCATGTTTCATGTGTTACTCTGTGATTTGAATGATTTCGCACTGTTCCAGTAAACAAGGCAGCATTTATAATGCATCATAATCAAGTTGCATAACCTTTGTGAAATATAGTTTAAAAGATATGAACCTGGTAATATTTTATGCTCATCTTTTACAATACCTGCTTTCATTTCCAGGATCCAATGACAGGATCTAGAAAAGTTAAGTACAGTGCCCCGGACCCCGTCCCCTCCATTCCGTGGTTTTGCTTTCCACCATTTTAGTTACCAAGGTCAACAGCAGTCCGCAAGCAGATGATCCTCCTCCTGACACATGGTCAGAAGGTCCATAACAGTCTAATGCCATGTCACCTGCCTATGTCATTTACCCCATCTCATCGCTGGGCCTTTTCTTATCTCATAGCATCACTAGAAGGCCAAGTACAACACGAGAATATTTTTTGAAAGAGAGTGAGACCACATTCACATAAATTTTATTACCATGTATTATTATAATTCTTCTATCTTATTACTAGTTGTTCATGGATTACTGTGCTTAATTTATAAATTAAACTTTATCATAGGCTTGGAGGTACAGGAAATGACATAGTATCTTTAGGGTTCAGTACTATCTGCAGTGTCAGGCATCCACAGGGGTCTTGGAATGCATCCTCTATGAACAAGGAGTCCCTTGCCCATGACAATAACACAAGTTAAAATGACTATATCAATTTCAAATTCTGATTGTTTCCTGGTTCTGAAAGTGTGACCTTGGATAAACTATTTAACTTCTCTGAACCTGTTTCTTCTTCCCTTAAGTGGGAATCAGTTTTGTGAGGATTGAATGAGAGCTCGTTTCTGTAAGCTCCTTGTGAGCTCCCATGTGTGCACTAACTCGGCCCCACTGGAGCCCTGGTTTTGCATCACTCCAGGTTAATGCTCAGCTTTTATCTGCTCTGAAGTATAGAGGCTTTCTGATGTATGTGGGGAGCCCTCTCTCTCTGATTCTGCTGAGCACAAAACTCTCTAGTCACACCAATTTACCTTTTTCTTCATTTTCCTGACTTCCGATTTTGATCTCAGATAAAAGAGCTTCCTTTTCTTGAAGAGCTTTTTGCTCAGTGAGGTGCTGCCTCAGCAGGAGCCAAAAAGTAATGGTGAAAAGTATCTGAAAGTAGAGAATTAGCAGAACAAGAATTAAGCCACCCATTTGAGGTGTAAATTCATTTCAACATATACAATATTTTCTCCACATTTCAGTGGAAACACAATAAATAAGCCTCTCTGTATGAGACAGAGTCGGGTAGCCACTGGATTTCACCTGAAAGTCACTGGCTTTGAAATCCCCTTTGCTGATTTCAAAGACACGAACAAGCATGTCTGAGGGCCAGGAGGTCATTCGGCAGCGTGTGGGGGCCCAGGGAAGGTGTCCCGACAGCCCAAACTACTTCCATCTGGGCCAGAAGTCAGCTTTGGCAACTGGTCTCCCCGGAGGTACTAGTCCTTGCTTTCCTGTCCCGACTGTGACATAAACACAGTTGCAACAGGAAGACATATTTCTTCCATAATACTCGTTGACTCTGCAATGTTCCTTGGGATGAAAAATTCCACAGATGGGAAAAAGAACATTTCATCCCAGAAAACAGAACCCTTTAATATCCCATTCATCTCCCAAAGCTGAAGGAAGAATTGTTCTAAGTGTCCATACTTGTATGTTAAGGTTTTGTGGAGAGCTAGGGGAAAAAAAAAAGCTGATGCTTTTGGGGAGCTCCTTCTTCAGGGGATATAGGACCTGGCACATAGTGGTTGCTTCATACTAGCTTTATGGCAATACAGTTTACCATGCCATACAATTTACCCATTTGGAGTGTGCGACTCAGTGGTTTTTAGTAAAGTCACAAAGTTGTGCGACCAACACTGCGATCAATTGTAGAATATTCTCTTCACCCCACAAGAAGCCCCAGAACAGTCACCCCGTTCCTGCCCACCTCAGCCCTGGCCAACCACTAATTTACTTTCTGTCTCTACAGACTGCCTAATCTGGGCATTTAATGTAAGTAGAATTACTTACTAAACATTCTTTGGCCTGTGGCTTCTTTTATTTGGCATAATGTTTTCAAGGCTTATTCCTGTTGTAGCCTGTGCTGGCCCCTCACTTCTTTTTCTTATTTGGTAACATTCCATTGTATGGACAGACAACATTTCATGTCTCAGTTGATGGGCATTTAGGTTGTTACATTTTTTTGAGGCTATTAAGAATAACACTGCTATGAGCATTCACGCGCAGGTCTTTGCGTGGACATAGGTTTTCAGTTCTCTTGGGTATAATATCTAGGAGTAGAATTGCTGGGTCTTATGGCAATTCTATGTTTAACCTTTGGAGGAACTGACAGACCATTTTCTGAAGTGGCTGCAGCCTTCTCCATGCCCCCCAGCAGTGTATGGGGTTCCAGTTTCTCCACGTCCTCATTAATACTTATTATCGTCTGACTTTTTTTTTTAAAGATTTTATTTATTTATTTGAGAGAGAGTGAGCAGGAGAAAAGGAGCAGGGAGAAGGGGAAGCAGATTCCCCACTGAGCAGGGAGCCTGATGCAGGGCTCGATCCCAGGACCCTGAGATCATGACCTGAACTGAAGGCAGACACTTAACCGACTGAGCCACTCAGGTGCCCCCCATCTACCTTTTTGATTCTAGCCATCCTGGTGAGTGTGAAGTGGCATTTCACTATGGTTCATAGTAGGATTTTAATAAATATTTGCCAAAGACCTGAAAAAAGTAGGCAAACGAACCAGACAATTTTATTCTAACTGCCCACCTGACAATCCATAAATATCCATTTCTCCTTTGCCTTCAGGATAAACCAGTCCCAATCAGTCCAGGACAACATGTTTAGGGCCTTAAGAAGTCAAGAACCAGAGTGCCTCCATTTCTGAAAACTTGGCATTAAACTTCTGTGAGTCACAACAAATTGAACTATAGCTGCAATTTGGGAAAGAAATCTGTCTCTCTAGTGCATGTCTAAAGAGCTTAGGAATACTCAGGGGCAGAAGGGGCACCTTTCCTGGAAAAGGTGATTTACAACCCAGTTTGGAAGGTACAGTTGATGTAGTTTGATAGAGTGGGGAACACACTCTAGCAGCTGAAGGATGCTACCGAGGAGCTGAATCTAGCTCCCCCAGACTGGCCAGACCTCTGAGGACCCAGGACATATTCTTTCTTTCTCTCACTTTCCATCACAGTGACCCATTCAGTACTCTGCAGTGTGTTTAATAATGTACTTTGACAAATGTCACCATGATATTTTATGATCTTAGGTTGTGTTGTTATCCTTGATAAGGCCTTGCATTTTTTTTTTTAATTCCTGGGTACACTAAAATACAAGTGCAGGCCCTATTTTCTCCAGAATAACACTGTTTTTTTAAAAAACAAATAATATATTTATTTCCCCAAAAATGTCCCCAACCCCAAGAGCTATTTTTTATTTTATTTATTTATTTGAGAGAGAGAGCAAGAACATGAGCAGGAGGAGGGATAGAGGGAAAGGAAAGGGAGAAGCAGACTCCCCACTGAGCAGGGGGCCTGACATGGGGGGATCCCAGGACCCTGGGATCATGACCTGAGCCGAAGGCAGATGCTTAATGACTGAGCCACCCAGGCACTCCAGAGCTGTTCATTTTAGATTAGACAGGAGGTAGTTAAACCAGTTAGCTGGCATATGTTTCAGATGTCCCACCAATATTCCAAGCCAGGTTGAAATGGATTTGCATAGTCAAAAGATGAGGTTTTGAATTTCTTTTATAAAGAAAAGACTAACTTCCCAGTTTGGGATGTGTGTTTAAGGGGAGAGAAGGAGAGGGAAGAGTGTGAGACAAAAGTGACTTGTCAGCGAAAATATTCTGTGGGACTGTCAGCATCGAGTGGGGTTTGAGAAAGGAAGGAAGTTGCCATGGTCTGTGAACACAGGGGATTATGATCTAACGTCTGTCATTACTATTCACCTGTTAGGAGTTTCTCCTTTACCCCAGTAGCCTTCCTCAAAAAGTCTGTTATGAGAACCAATCCTTGGTATCTACTAGCACCCCATTCACGCCTGGTTGCCTTGGATACGGGGTGTCTGGTAAGGTGTAAAAAAAAGTGCTTGCTCTGGGGAAAGGTGGGTTTCGTGTGCTGTAAATTCATGTCCCTTTCAGAGAGTGATTCTCTGCCTAGAGGAGAAAGGTGTTCAAGGCTCATGGAGTCAGGACACGAGACTGCTTTCACGGTCTTAACAAAATGTCATCAACACAATGGACACGTGTGTTTAGAGTCTGCCACGCTGCCCACAAAATAGAAAGGTTGGGGCATATAATCTTCTGAAATAAAAGCTATTAAAATGGACCATGAAAATAATGAGTACTGAAAGATCATGAACCTTGTTGCTACAAATGAAGGCATATCATATAATCTGAAGAAGGAAAAACAAGAAGGGTCATACTTAATTTTTGCTGCTAACAGTGTTTTTTAAGACATAACTGAAGAAAAAATGTTTTTACTAATAATCAATGATTATCTGTAATAGCAATGCATTCAGCCTGTTTTGAAAACTGAGATCAAAGAAAGTCCTCTAATACTTGGGTACATTTTACACTGTATTTTCCTATTTCTCTATCTAATTTCTACTATACTGTAATTGACATTAAAATATAGCAAACTATATTTCTCCTTTCAGTGGAAAGCTTTGTTATTTTAAATAAAATCTAAAAGCATGGTGTGATATTTATTCATGTTTAAATTATAGAGACCACTAAGCATTATAAATTATTTCTTAGAGTTTTTAATCTATTCATTTTTGTAAAGCACTGAATATTTGGAACCCATGTAAGTAAGTCTGTGCTTGGATATGCTTATTATGATTATTGTGGATTTGTTTCAATGTTTTGTTTTCTTGTTTTCCTATTCACTTACCTTTGAGGCAAGTTCTCCTGGTTCTTTCTTTTCCAAGAATCCTGGGACCTTTTTAATTTCGGGAAGTTCAAAACTCCATATATACTGTAATATCAGCAGCAGATTTCCATAGACGACCATGAAAGGAGAGCTGATCATGGCATATTTTCTTCTGTTGCGAATCATCCAAAGGGTGCATGACCAAATCAACAACACAAATGTCAACCAGCTGTGATACGTGATGCTCCAAGCCTCAAGGAAGAAGGGAAAAGACAACACACAATGGTGATGAGTACAATGTAGTGTTCCCCTGCTCTGTTAACTTAGAAGTTCTCTAAAAAATATTCAATCCAGTGAGAAGAGAGAGTGGTGAAATCACAGACAGACATCCCAACCTGGGGCATAGGGACGAACTGAAGAGAAAAGACTTGATCTTGCCGAGAGGAACATTGTTTTTTAACTTCCCACACGGAATGGAGCCAAGGGCACGGGTGTCTTCTTTCTAATGTTTTTTCCTTTTAGGTATAAAGGTCTTCATCTTCACCCTACTTTACAGTATTAAAAGCAATTTTAAGTGCTTTATCCCTTCTTTTTCCAAACTAGCTTGGGAGTGATTTACGTCACTTAAGAGTGCCAGGTAGGGGCGTCTGGGTGGCTCAGTTGGTTAAGCGTCTGCCTTCGGCTCAGGTCATGATCCCAGAGTCCTGGGATCGAGCCCCACATCGGGGTCCCTGCTCAGCAGGGAGCCTGCTTCTCCCTCTCCCTCTGCCCGGTGCTTCCCCTGCTTGTATACTCTCTCTCTGTCAAAAATAAATAAAATCTTAAAAAAAAAAAGAGTGCCAGGTAAATGTGGCCATAGCTGGGCTCTGAAATGGAAGCTGTGGGTATCACTAGAGTAAGCACACAAGTCGGGACTTAGAGATCACTCTGGGATTATCTAAGAAGATGTACACTGTAGAAATGAGAAAGTTTACACAAGGAAGGTGTGTCTTTGGCTTCTGCACACTCCAAACAATAAAACCAAGTTCATTTAAAGGCCAGCCTCAGCTTCTGTCCTATAAGGGGTAGGACTAAAGAGCCATCAGACTCACTGGACAAATGATACATCTTCTTTCATTCACATGAAATTTACAAAGAATCAGAAATGTATCTCAAAGGGCAGCTACCAGAACAATACAAAAATCAGGCTCAAGACTATTATTAACTTCCAGAAATCCATCTTTTCTTACCATGATCTCTGATACTAAATCTTTGTAAAAAGATGTTTAAAAGCATTTTCTAGATATGTTTGAGGTTAACTGAAATCAATTGTATTCCTGAATATCATGAACTACCAAGAGTTAGTTTGAAAGTCCAAAATGTTTTACAAGTCTATTTTGCTTCTGGAAAATAGATAAGTATTAAGATAAATGAAGTCAGTATAGAACAAACAGATGTTTCCTCTCAACAATTTGCAAATTTGTCCTAAAGGACAGCTAGCTTTCTAAGTGTTGAATTATTTAAAATTTTTGGATGAAACATATGATAAACAAACATATTTTATATGATAAATATATGATAAACATGGAAATAAAATTGCTTTTATTAAAATTAGTGACTGATAACCATTAGCAAGGCTGAATTATTTTCATGAAAATATGCTTTCTTGGAAATACTGTTTATCAGAAGTTAGGTAACATTAAATGCTTCTACATTTGCATTAAATAGTGCATTTAATGCATTTATCTCAGTATGAAATGCAGATGTGACTGCCATTTTTGTGTGTGACCTAAGAGAATAATCTTCAGAGATATTATAATTCCAGCAGATTGTTTCCCCCACACACACTATTCTTGGGAAGGTGAGGATGATAGAGGAAGAAAAGCAAGTTATGAGGATTTTTTTAAACCTCTTTCCTTTTTAGTATTTAAGTCACATATGCCTTTCAGTCATGGTAGTTGGGATACTTCTGCATTACGTTCAGTTTCCAGATTGTCTGATAGTGTAGTAAATTCGTACTTTGTAGTTTTGAATAAATACATGTATCATTCTAACAGACTTGGCTCCTCAGGACTGCCCTTTCTGTCTGTGTTTAAAACTCTGCTGCTGTGGGGTGCTTCCACAGAAGTCAGGCACATTAAGAAACATTAATATTAAGGCTCCATTAAAACAATGAAAATGGCACCAGACAAGGGCACATCTTTAATGAAGGATCTGCTCTGTTATGTTGTTTTTACAACAGATTTTTTCTACTAAGTAGCAAAATGTGTTTTTTTTTAAAGCTCTCTTTCTTTACAAAAAAAGACCAAACTAAGGGCACCTGGGTGGCTCAGTCGGTTAAGCATCTGCCTTCAGCTCAGGTCATGATCTCAGGGTCCCCCTGCATCGGGCTCCCTGCTCAGTGGGGAGTCTGCTTCTCCCTCTCCCTTTGCCCTCCCCTCCCCCTTTCTTGTGTGCACACGTACTCTCCCTCTCTCAAATAAATAAATAAAATCTTTAAAAAAAAAAAAGACCAAACTTAACTGGCTTAGTTTTAGAAAGAGAGAAGAAAGGTGTATATATACTCTTTTGAGTTCAGAATCAGAATTGTAAATTGAATTTATATTTGGTATCTTAAAATTAGAATTTTGTTACAGTTTAAATTAGAGGTTGATATATCAAAAATGTCAAAAAGTACCAAGAGCACAGAATTAATATTATTTAAAGAATAGAGTTTGCAACACTAAATGAGCCATCTTCAATTTCAAGGAGCTTTCTCTTTGCCAGCCCTCTCTCAGATGTGTAGTGTTCCTTACTAGAAGCTGATGTTGACTGAACATACAGGTGCATTTGGAAGACATTTTGAGGGAGTCCCTGGAGAAACTGTGCTTAGGTATTTTCCCCCTAGAGGTATAGAATATTTTCATTTTTTATCATCAAAGTTTTCATGGCATCTCACCATTGGCCACAAAATATGGAAGAGTTTTGTGATTTTTTTAAAAGATTTCATTTATTTATTTGACAGAGAGAGAGCCAGAGAGCACAATGGAAAGAAACAGCAGAGGGAGTGGGAGAAGCAGACTCCCCACTGAATAGGGAGCCCAATGTGGGGCTCGATCTCAGGACCCCAGGATTATGACCTGAGCCGAAGGCAGACACTTAACCAACTGAGCCACCCAATATGTAAGTTTTGTGTTAGATAAGTGTTAGGCTTCTCAAAAATAAATCAGATTTCCCATGCAAGTTTGTTTTTAAGAAGACTTTCATCTTCTATCTCTAGGCCAAAGGACTATTTTTTTGAAGCTATGATGCCAGAGATGCAAGATGTACCTGCAAGTGAGTATGAATATGCATCAACTGAGCACTCACAATTGGAAAAGCTCTTGGGAACTCTATTTAGTTGCTTGATGTTCATCCTGGTAACAATTTATTGCAGCTAAGATGGAGTAAAGTCTCACTCAAATTTAGGGTAAAATGTGAATGTAACTTTCAATGTCTGAAGGAAATAAAAGCAATCTATGTTAATCTTGGACATCTTCAATACCACACAGAGAAACTACCCAATAGATCTTTTATTTTGTTATATTTATTATTATTATTATTATTTTAGAGAGAGGGAGGGCAGAGGGAGAGAGAGAATCTTAAGCAGGCCCCATGCCCAGCACAGAGCCCAATGCAGGGCTGGATCTTACAACCTTGAGATCACAACCTATGCTGAAATCAAGAGTTGGGTGCTTAACCAGCTGAGCCACCCAGGCACACCCCCAATAGATTCTTTTAAACCGGCAAAAAAGGGAACAGTCTCATTTGACAGGCTAACTTGAGAGAGATGTACTAATATTTAAAAGGAGGTTAAATAGAACAGAACATGATTTTGAAATCTGTAGTAGGAAGATCGGAAGAAGAATAAACATAACCAACCGTCCCCACCAAGACACTGGGAAGATTAGATATTTGTGCCAGCCACGAGAGGATGGTGGGGCATCTGTCAAGCACGCTGACTGTCCCCTCTCATACATACCATCATGGCAATGAGGGCACAAATGTAACTTTGTTTCATAATAAACTGAAACACAGAGACCATGGCGTGAACTTTAACACTTCGTTTCTCCTCATGGCTCCTTTCCTCCTCAAATTCTTCCTTCTCATCCTCTTCTTCCTCTTTCTTTTCTAGATAGAGAAATAATTTATATAGCTTTATGCTAATATGTAAATTCTGGGTAAATGTCCCCAGCACTGTAGCACATATATAGTTTTAGCAGAGACATTTTTTTTAATATTATGTTAGTCACCATACATCACATCATTAGTTTTTGATGTAGTGGTCCATGATTCATTGTTTGCGTATAACACCCAGTGCTCCATTCAATACATGGCCTCTTTAATACCCATCACTGGGCTAACCCATCCCCCCACTCCCCTCCCCTCTAGAATCTTCAATTTGTTTTTCAGAGTCCATCGTCTCTCAGGGTTCGTCTCCCCCTCCGATTTCCCCCCCTTCATTCTTCCCCTCCTGCTATCTTCTTTTTTTTTTTTTTTAACATATTATGTATTATTTGTTTCAGAGGTACAGGTCTGTGATTCAACAGTCCTACACAATTCACAGCGCTCACCATAGCACATACCCTCCCCAATGTCCATCACGCAGCCACCCCATCCCTCCCACCCCACCCCCACTTCAGCAACCCTCAGTTGTTTCCTGAGATTAAGAATTCCTCATATCAGTGAGGTCATATGATACATGTCTTTCTCTGATTGACTTATTTCACTCAGCATAATACCCTCCAGTCCCATCCACGTCATTGCAAATGGCAAGATCTCATTCCTTTTGATGGCTGCATAATATTCCATTGTGTATATACACCACATCTTCTTTATCCATTCGTCTGTCGATGGACATCTTGGCTCTTTCCATAGTTTGGCTATTGTGGACATTGCTGCTATAAACATTGGGGTGCACATACCCCTTCGGATCCCTACATTTGTATCTTTGGGGTAAATACCCAGTAGTGCAATTGCTGGATCGTATGGTAGCTCTATTTTCAACTGTTTGAGGAACCTCCATACTATTTTCCAGAGTGGCTGCACCAGCTTGCATTCCCACCAACAGTGTAGGAGGGTTCCCCTTTCTCTAGCAGAGACTTTTATTTAAGACTTCAGAGATTATTTCCAACTAACAAAGCCCTCAGAATTCAAACAGATTCACTAAGTGCTGCCTGGTTAGTGTAATGGAATCCTGCCCTTAGAAATCCCAGAAAGAACATCTCAATTTAAGAGAATGTGGAAGGTAGCATGTAATATGGTTCCCAATGACCCTACCTCCTGATGTTCATGCCTTTGGGTAGTCCTCACCCCTTGAGTGTGGGTTGGACCTCTGATTAGCTGCTAACAAATAGGAGGGTTGGAATATGATTTCCAAGATTCAGTTTAAAAAGATGGTAGCTTCCACCTTGGCTTCTTTCTCTCATTTTCTTACTCATTCTGAGAGAAGCCAGCTGCCATGTTGTAAACTGCCCTAAGAAGAGGTCTGGATGGCAAGAAACTGGTGTCTCTGGCGAGCAGTCAGCAAGAGCTTGAGGCCGGTCAGTAACTACATGGGTGGGTGTGAAAGCAGATTCTCCTCAGGCGAGCCTTCAGATGAGACCACAGCCTAAGCCAGCAGCTTATCTACCACCTCACTGGAGACCCTGAGCCAGAGAAGCCCATCCTAGTCACACCCAATTCCTGCCCCACGGAAACTGTGACAGTAAATGTCTTAAGCCACTAGGTTTGGGAATAATTCATTATTCAGTAACAGATAACTAATACAAACAGTATCTGCAGTATGGATATGGTGAAGGTGCAGAAAACCAACCAAGCAACCAACTGACCAACCACTTTGCCAGTGTGAGCTCGGCAGCCCATGGTTTCCTTTTAGGTCATGCTGAGGCAGAAAAGTCCTACTAAGGATGGAAATATCATGTGAAAAGGAAGAGAAAGTGTGGAGGGCTGAGGGACCAGCAACGGGACAGTACTGGCATAGTGGTGAAGGAAGGATTTCTCCTCAAGATCCCTCCCACATGTCAGGAAAACTAATTTGATTTCAAAGATGAAGTAATGAGTGACACACTTATGTGAAATGTCTTTTCTGTCCTGTTCAAATTCAATGGGCTACATGCAAGCGGGTTGCATTAGGGAGTTGCTCTGCACCATGAAGAGGATACATAAAACACTGAAACACCAGTGAGCATGCATAGCACCTTGCACAGGCTCCAGAACTAAGCCTCTAAGTGAGGTGGTGGTCTTTCCTCATACCGAAGCCCGCTGCCCTCCACCCCTCCAATGTTGGGACTGGGGTCTATAAGGGGAAGTCCACGGATCAGAGACAGGAAAACACTGAGTCTGATGGATTCTACAGTTCCTGGTGCTACTTCTCTGGTTGTTACACTGTCTGCATATATAGATTCAAATTTAAAAAATAACTTTCCAGCTTTTGTTTTACCTTTGAAAGTTCAAGTTGTGATGTGAGTGTGTGTGTTTGCCCTCTCAGCAGCCAAATTCTGTTCATTTCCTTTATGTTAGGTCATGTGTAAAGAAAAGATACCTGGCTATGGCCTGAGTGTCTCAAGCTTTAAAAGTCGCAAATGCTGGTTCTTGGGCCTGGCCTTTGTGATTCTGATGGCAAAGCACTGAAGAGCACACTTTAGAAAGTACAGTATTTCCTTGAGCTATTTGGTAAGTGAAAACCTTGGTTTAAGCCCAACTTACAAACTGAAGCACATGCACGTAGGAAGCAGAAATGGGTAATTAACCCATGGAGTCTGGTGCTCCGTGGAGACAGCAGGTGCCACCTGGGGCTGGGAGGTTGGGCAGGGCTGCTGGCTTAGGGACCTGAACTCAGTCTGAGCTTACTGAGGAAGGCAGCAGAATGTGACTAACCCTTTGTACTGCTCAGTGGACGCCAGGTCAGGGGCAACTGCAGGGTGTACTGATAACTACACAGAACACTACAGTAGAATAAGCCTGATAAAGAATTATGAAAAAAATTTCATTAAGCTGAATGTATCAATAATGTAGGCTGGATAGTTGCTGAGTTGCTGACCATTTACTCAAGGTAGGATCATGTGTAACAACTCTAGGTTTAATTCCATATAAATAGAAAACACCTGCATGTACTCTGCCTTTTTTTTTTTTCTCCCATGTTGTAAACTTAGTTAATTCTGTCTCTATGAATTGTTGACAGGCATAGTCTCTGTCAGGGCAGTGACAACAGCGGTTGGGTCAACTCTGGCCTCGCAGGAACGAGGGGCTAGTGTTGCCAGATATTCACATTCTTCAAGGGATTCCAGAAACTTCCATATCTCAGTCAGAGCTGCACTTTTAAAATGCTGGTTACTTTCTTTCTTTCACTTTAGAAAATGGTACGTAGGCCAACAAAACAAAACACAACCCAAGTCACAGCCACCAATTTGTCATCTCTAGGAACTGCCTGTTTTCCTTCAACATAATAAACTGAGAGACAAGGGGAAAAAAGGCCTAATACTGGTTTGGACCCTCGCGCCCCTTTCTCTTACTAGACAAAAAGAACTCTTTCTGAAAACATTCATCCATTAACCAGCAAAACTACTGACCATGATTATAATATCAAATTCTAGAAAAAACAAAACACACATACACACATAGGTTTAATACTATAAATAAGTTGACATGTTTAAAATAATGTTTTACTCTTTATTTTTCAAAGTTTGCCCCAATTGTACCATTTATTTTGTATAGAAGGATAAACCACCCATAGCAATATGCTGGGGCAAAACACAGAACTGAAGGAAAGGAGCTTCATTCCACTGACCATGGAAGACAACACCTGTTAGAAAAAATAAAACCGACGCAATAAACAACGAAACGCAAAGAGATGCCAAGTGCGTGCATGAGAGGAGATTAAAGCAGCAGAGCCAGCTCCTTACCTGAGGATTCTTCAGAGGGCTCCCACCGGTACTGTGGGGTGGAGTACAGGTCGGCTTTGGCAGGGCCGTTCTCGATGGGCAGACTGGGGTGGATGGTGTGGTAGTCTACAGGATTGCCGTTCACAGTCACCAGCAGGCCCTGGCAGGGGAGCGCGGAGCAAAGGCACACTTGTGACAACAGCTCCAGTTTTCAGTGTAGACATTGAAAACTGCCTCCTTGCCTTATGCTAGCTAGATAGAACCCTGCAGTGAGACACTGATTGAGAGCTGAACAAGGCCGTCAATTACCCACTTGAGCAAAATGAATTGCATACATTCCTCTGTTCACATCTTTATTCCAGAGTGGTCCCAGTAAAAGTTGAATCTGATCTTCTTGTACTTCTGCTCAACACCATGCAAGGCACCCTCTGTTCTCAGGACCAAATGTAAAGCCTGGGAAAGGCAGGCTGAGGCTTCCTGATCTGGTCCGATCACCTCTCCAGCCTCTGTTCTCATGGCTTCTCCTCCCAGCCCTGTTTCCAGCTATTAGAACTCCAGACCTTTCCTAGGCCCCAGCCAGATCACCCCTGCCTTGGACCCTCCCCACCCTGCCCACACTCCAGTGCAGCTCTGCAGAGGACTAATGCAGTCTCAGGTTAGCTGGCACCCCCTCTGGAGATCTTTGCTGATGCTGCCAGCTTGCAATTCCTGTGATGAAGCACTTCATATACTAAGTGTAATTTCTTGTTTTTTTTCCCTTTGGCTTTATGATATGAGTGTGTGTGTGTGTGTGTGTGTGTGTGTGTGTGTGTGTGTCTGTGAACATGCAAGACTTCCAATTCAAATTATGTAATAGGTCTATCTGCAGAGAAAAATGCTTCTAAAAACCCTCCAACATGGCTTTTAAAAGTTTAAATACATTCTGTATGACTATAGTCGAGCTCATTTATATGAGTTAGTGTTATAACAGCAATAAACCAGATACAATTTCTACAAGAAAAATATTCAAAAACTTAGGGAAATTTTATAGATCATTAAAATATACTCAAAGGAGCTAATTCCATTTATATCACTTCTACATCACTTACATGAGCATAAATGATAATTCTAAGAATATACTAACATCAGATGGTTTGTAGTCATCTTGGGTCATGGATAAAAGCTGCAAAAAGCAATGCAGGACAGCAATGTTAATATGTAAGCAAAAAGCATTGCAATGTTTAATATATATTTGTAAAGTTTTACTATGCACATACCCATTCCTTCAACTAGCTAGACGCTAGTATGTTAAAATTGCCATGCAAAATATAGAGGGACAAATAATTGAACCGGATGTTGCTATTTATTGTAACTGTTTTCCAGCTTCTGATGTTAACTTTTAATTGTGACAGCAAATAACCAGTCATAAACCATGTGACTACAAAAGTTGATCTATTTTTCAACTGCTTTGTTTTAATAGAATAAGCTGCTTCATTTAATACTCCCCAACTCCTTGAGACCTCTGCAGAATTTTGAAAATATTTACTTTTCAAGAAATAGAAGTTTCATACTAAAGAAAAATTGATTTGTAATGCAGGTTGAGATTATTTGAAGATTTACATATTGTTTACCACAAACTAATTATTACATGACTATGCTTTTAAACTATATTAGCACCAGGTAGTTTGGACCCCCCCACAAATAATAAGCACTTTCTGTGCTAATGGTTCTCCAACTTTTTTGGATCAGGATTCATTTATAATCATAAAAATCACTGAGAGTCCCAAAGAGTTTTTACTCTACTAGAAATTAAAATTAAGGCCTTTAAAAATATTTATTAGTTCATTAAATTTTTCTTAAAATTTAACATGTTCACATCAATCATTTCGTTCAAATAGCTATAGTTAAAAAACAAATAGTGAAAAAAGTAGTAGTATTTTATGCTTTTGCATATCTTTTTAATATCTGGCTTAAAAGAAGACAGCTGGATTCTTGTATCTGTTTGTGCATTTAATCTGCTGTGATATGTTATTCTGGTGGAAATATACGAAGAAAATCTGGCTTCACCAAGCTTTGTAGTTGGAAAGGAAGAGAGTATTTCAATTGGCTAGCCAGGTAATTGTGGACAGTTTTTTTTGTTTTGTTTTGTTTTGATACTACACCAAACTCAACAGGTGGTAGTAACCTGAAGATGAGCTGCTACTTGGAATCTGAAATTGTATCAATGAACGTTTCACACTCTGTTACGTTAAAATCCAGGGCTGTATCATGTGTTGGTGATTTGCAATCAGTGAGTTATACAGTCTACCAAATATTGACACATTTCATTACACAATATTTAAGAAGCACATTTGTTAATTTGATCTCACCACTGATCTCATCAGGGAGGTCCTCAAGTATGGGGAAGTTTTTAAGCTCTGAATAGGGGATACAAGTTTTCTAATATTCTAATTTTCACTCAAAAGTTCAAATTTTACTACCGGCAACAAACGCCGTCAGCTGTTTGCCTTGAAGTGTTGGGCTCACTTCATTTACTTCTCAGGATTTCTCTGCCAAATACCCATCTCTGAATACCGGTAATTTGTCCACTCGAGGCTCCTTCCAGGGGCTGTGGTCTGCGGTGGGTGACAGCGAGTTCAGCTCACACTTCCTACACCCGGCCAAGTGCTTCTCAGCAGGACGCCATCCCACTTTCACACGCGGTACTTTGTGCGACTTCCCATTTTGCCACACAGGATATTAAAAAGACTTGAGCTCCAAAGTGGAGATTTAAGAAAATGGATAACTGTTTTTGGCTCATCAAGGATATTCCTAAGTGAACTGACCTGGCTGCTTTGTTTTCTCTGAGTGCACAGCCCCGAAGGGCAGGGACTGTGGTTGTGGGGGTTCCTGCCACCCCCTGGGTTGGCTCGGTGCTTTTGTATCAGCAGAGTACTTTTGTATCAGTGTGTCAGCACAGTGAAAAGAAGGGATGTATTTTAAATCTTATTTAAAAAGAGTTGTGAGCTCGTGGATCCCCATGAGGGTCTCAGGAATCCCCAGAGGTCTGCAGACCTCCATTTGAAAAATTCCTGAGCTATCCTCTATGGCTATCTGTCGTTTAGTAAAAGGAGCAGGATAATCTGACACATGGCGTGATGAGAAAGGCCCCTGAAAATCCTCAGACATCTTAGGGCACTACATGGGCCCCGCAAGGCCATCCACCGCCTAAGGCAGGTCATTCATTGTTTTGCCCTCACTCAGCACATGGCAGCCATGCTGAGAATAAGGCCACGTGCCTTAGAGGAACTCACCTGCCACCAAATAAATTGGAAAATCTACTCCTCAATTCTCTAGCATTCTACCAAGCAAATACTTTGTATCTGTCATTACAACATTGCAAATGGGCATATTTAATGAGTCAATATAGCACTGAGCTGAGTTCAACATGGTCAATAAATGCCCAAAGGGTTATATGAATTACTCATTGTGACTCACTTTTCCTTTCAATCCATACGGTTGCCTCAGTGTAGTAAGAGATACTTAATCATATTCATATAGACTGCTTTCTTCTCTAAGTGGTTACTTGAGTTATTATTGTGGCCGGCTACCCAATAAAGTGAAATTATTTTCTGCAATGTATTTCAGCACTGAGACTTTCCCTGCCCGGTGCTAACAGTTGCTCCGTTATTTTTTGCTTGTTTTAAACACAAATTTATTTTTTTAAATAAAGTCTTTCTTTTGAGGATGAAGAGACTTCATGGAAAGCACTGAAATATACAATGGTGTTCTCCTGGGGTATGGTGAAACCATATTTTCCTTCAGAAGCACTGGGTTGCCCTCTCTGAATAGAGCTCTCTGCTACCAAGGACATCAAACTATTTCTATAAACTATGGGCAATCTGAGTTTGCATATGACATGTGACTCATATTCAGCAACATAACACAAAAGAAGCAAAATAAATTAGGAAATGGCAAATGCTTTCTTGCGGCTTACTTTTCTCTCATCAGTTGGGTAATGGGTGGCATACCACAGGCTCCGCCTCCTCTCGGCTGTCACTTGGATGGGGCCACAAGCCCGGGCTCTGTCCTCTTCCTTGGTCCTGTCATCCTGCACCTGAGACACACGACAACCCACAGGACCAGCTCTGCTTCCAAGAGCAGTTCCTTCAGTGGCCTGGCTGACCCAGAGAAAGTTTTTCACCCATGCCTTGATAATGATATACTTTTTTAAATTAATGTATACAATATATGGGATTTCATCAAGACATTTTTAAGAATGACACCAGTGCTACCTTGTAAATGCTCAGCACATCAATGTTACCCCCTGATCCCTCCTAAGCCCCGTAAATAACAGAGATAGGCTCTCATGTGCGAGATCCACACCTTCCCACTGTGTATTCCAAACTACACGATGCAAATGGTTTTTAAAGGAAGAACCTTCAAAAAAGTACTCAGTGCACTGTGTGATCCAGCCATGGGCAATCTTTGATTAAGGAGAAATTAAGTAAATTAAAGAGGGCACATACTGAATGGAGCACTGGGTGTTATGAGGAATTCTTAATCCCAGGAAACAAAGTGAGGGTTGCTGGAGTGGTGGGGGGTGGGAGGGATGGGGTGGCTGGGTGATAGACATTGGGGAGGGTATGTGCTACGGTGAGCACTTTGAATTGTGTAAGACTGTTGAATCACAGATCTGTACCTCTGAAACAAATAATACATTATATGTTAAAAAAAAAGGAAGATAGCAGGAAGGGAAGAATGAAGGGGGCGAAATCGGAGGGGGAGATGAACCATGAGAGATGATGGACTCTGAGAAATAAACTGAGGGTTCTAGAGGGGAGGGGGTGGGGGGATGGGTTAGCCTGGTGATGGGTATTAAAGAGGGCACGTTCTGCATGGAGCACTGGGTATTATGCACAAACAATGAATCATGGAACACTATATTAAAAACTAATGATGTAATGTATGGTGATTAACATAACAATAAAAAATTAAAAAAAATAAAAAAATAAAAAAATTAAGTAAAGGCAGAATCATCGATAGCTTACACACAGCAGTAAGGAACAACATATCTAATGAACAAAACCATCACCTTGCCTTATGGGGCACTGGCCTAAGTTAGACAATTGGTCTAAAAGAGACATAGAGAGAGTATAAGGGGCAGAATGCCCTTGAGTGCTTTTGTATGGTTTTCCAACAAAAAGGGCATTAACACACCACTGATACTGAAGTGCAGGAAGGGAAATTAACAGTCTTGGTGCCCAATTTCCAGGTTCCAGTGTGCCAGGGCAGAGCACCCATGGGGAGTACCCAAATGCCCTGGGTGGGAATTCATGCTTGCCAGGTGGGAGCCATACACTATTTAACTCTCGACACCCGCTTCTCTCTCTCTCTCTTTCTCAAACATGCATCATAGACTTTCACCTCAGAACTCACATTTGCTGGCTGGCATTTTTCATGAAATGTGCCAGGTTATCTGGAACTATGATATAATCAGCCACCTGTCTTCCATCATTGCCTCAATGAGAAAGTGCTGTGTCCCAGCCCATTTAAAATATTGGCCGCCTGAAATGTTGACGCTGGTATGAATTAGGCCCTGTTCTCCACACACCCCTCTAGACACTGCCGTCTGTAAGACTGCTATTAACTCGACTTTCCTTTGTCCCCAGAGGGCCCAAGGCTGAGGAAGCCGAATGTCTCATGGGCCTGAGGCGCTCTAACACAGCCTTCACCCATATGGAAGCATGAAAACACGGGCACACAAGCCCCTGCCGTTCTGTGGGGCTGCCTGAGATCTTACAAAATGAAGAACACCTGGAACTCTTATTGGATGCCTTAAAGTAGTTTCCATCCCTTGTAAGACATTGCTCAGAAACTATTCCCATGATATATTTTAATTTCTTTGGTATACACTTTTATTTGCACATATGGCACATCCCTTACCTTCTGTGCATTTATGGAGGAAGTGAACACAACGACTTCACGTTAAAGCATTTTATGGGCACACACACATTTTGGGAGAGAGTTGGAGAAAAATGTAACAAAATGATTGGGATTCCTTATGACCCCATAAAGCGTTTTGTTACATGCAGCCACCATCAGTGGGCCCAAAGAAAGACACCATATGAGAACCCTGTGAGCAAAAGTGCCTCTGTGGCCCTGGTCACACAGGGCTGTCTGCCCAGTGGGGAGGGGATGTCACACAGGAGGGAGGACAGGACAGAGCCCCATTTCTGCAGGGAGCACTTCTGGGGAGGGATGGGGACGTGCATCTCCCCTAGTGCCATTGTACTATCTGACTCGGATCCATTTACTTGTTTTGGGTGGTTTTTTCTCTTGTAGAATGTCCAGTTCCTCTGACTGGGGTCCTCGCCTGTGGGCGATGCTCTATCCCTGGGTCCCAGCTTAGCGTCTGAGAAAGGTGGCTTTCAATAAATATTCGCTGTCCGCCCATCAGGCTGCATGAGTGAATGTGTGGACAAGTCTTGTGGGTGTGAACACAGAAAAGACCCTAATCTAGAAGTGATAAGAGAGGACGCAGGACTTCATGCAGCCATGCTCATTAGGAATGGCTTCTCAGGTGTGGACGCTCCCCTGGTAGGTGGTGGAGGAGAGGTGTGATAACCCTCGTCTACGCTACTTTCCTCCCTCGTGTGCCGATAAGCTACCTTACGACTGAGCTCCTTAGAGTCAATTAGAGGAAGAAATGAAAGTGGCTGAAGTTTTCTCTCACCAAAACGGAAAAGAGAGAAGCTGCCCAGGCTCTCTGACCCTGCTCTCAGAAGTGCCATGTACAGTGTTAACATCCCACGGGAATAAACCAGTTCTCTGTCGTGCCTAAAGGAAACCCCATGGTCCCCACGGCACACAGTGGGGTACTCAGGAGCCTCCAGGCACCACTGAGAGCTGGGGTGTCTTCCATCCACAGATGTCAGAGGTCTGAGAAGTTTCTGAAACTCGAGGCACCATGAGAACAGGCTGGGTAGTCCTGAAGGCGTAGCTTTGTTGTCAAACGTGGGTTCGAAGCTGATTTCTACTGCTCAGATCAATTTACCTCTCTAGCCTCATTTTCCTCATCTCTAGGATGGTTATACTACCTATTCTTCAGAGTTACGTAGTGCATGAAATGAGATAATGTATAGGAACAGCCCCGCGTATGGTCTGGCACTTAGTAAGTGCTCAATGAAAATGTCTCCAGTTCTCAGCACTGACATTCTTGCCAGCACGTGGTGACACATTGAAGGGAAACCTGGCTTTGTTCTAAAAGCATCTGTAGTCACCTAGTGCTCTTTGCAGAAATAAAACACGAGAACCAGAACACTATAGCTGTTTTGGAATATAGGAATGAACCATTTCCCCTGGAGTTTCAAGATTACTTTGCCCATAAGATCTCCAAAACCTTTCGATCCTTACAAGGGGCTCCTGTAGCCAGATGCGGATGAGTGTTGCCAGCGTGTAGTACATCACCAGCAGGACGATGGGGTTGGCGTGGTGATACCATGACAGGTCTGGGTTTGCTATGATCTTCCAGGTGCTGGAACAGTCCGTGTGAATGACTGATTTGATACCAAACAACCTGTTTAAAAACAAAGGAAAATATTAGGAAGATACAATAAACTACATGTCCCTAACTTAGAATAAAAACATCTTGTTTTTAATATACTTACGCGCTAGCCTAGGCTAATCCATGCTAGTCTAGATATTTCATTACTCTTCTGTATATACAACTATATCTTTAAATGACATGTGCACATACATATAATATACATATAATATAAAATATATATCCTTAAATCATATATGTGTGTTAGTGTGTGTGCATGTGCATAAAATCAATGCCAACAATAGCCACCTGATCTTTACACTGGCTCAAAAATCGATCAAAAATCTATCTAATACTATCGAATCTAATATGATGTAATGCTAATACCATTAATCTAACTAATTTATCTAATAATAATTCCTTGCACACCTATTAGAAATTTACATTTTAATTTCTAATCAGCCCTATTAAATCCCTGAATTACTGAAATGCCAAGTATGTGGTAACATGTTACTAAGGTCAGTTAAATGAGCACCTATTTTGTTTTTGGCAGGATTTAGCATTAGCTATTGAGCTAATGCTGATATTATTGGGCAAATATTGAAATTGGACACAGTTCTATGATTCAGCCATAAAAGCCAAATACTATATACTAGAGTATCTGAAAGATATATTTCTGTCAAATTTCATTTATGGGCAATTTGATCATTTTAAAGCTTTATAATTAATTATTCATTTTGAAATATAACTTTATGAGGCTTGTTAAATTTTGAAATGATTTACTTTTTATGATATTCCTACTATATAATCAGAAGGTATCTGACTCTATAATGGGAAATTGTATAAATATGATTCATTTAGAAATTCATTTTATACAAGCTTTTTCTAAGAAAGGATTTTACTAAGTGAATAAAACTTTTACGTTAAGTGAGTCTCTTTCTATCGTTTGTATCTCTTACATAAGAACTTCCTCTAATTCTTATGTTACATTCTTCATTCAGTTATAAGATCTTCAAGGACTACATGTCCCTCACTTGTAAAACCCCTCAGGGCTCTTACTGTTTTCTATCACAAGGCAAGTGAATTGCTCAACATAGATTTTAAAGTAAGCTAAACAGAAACTAAAATTTCTTCAATTTTATCAGAAAAATGTTATATTAGAACTTGCTCTTATTACGGGGCTTTTCTTCTAAGTCTAGCCAGATTCTTTGTAGTTAGCATTAGAAAGAAAAATTTCCTGCTAACAGAAAGAGTTAAGTCCCTCTTAAAATTGTGTAATGTTCTGGAAATTGTTTTGCAGTCCTAGATTAAAATGTCAATTTCCTGTATACAGTGTGTGGAACTGAAAGCTTTGAAATTTTGAATCAAACATTAGCTGAAAGTCTCTGGATTAATCAGGCAGTAGGTTTCAGCCCCCATGTCTTTCCTCTTCTTGTCCCACATCTGGCGCATGCGCTAGCAATGACTTCATCAATCATCGGTTTACAAATACCTATGTTGCCCCATCAGAAAGTCAGTAGTAATTTCTGCAGCTGTCTGTAAACTGAACCACATGCCTCCTGAAAGTCCACATTGACACTCCACAACTTACTGTTGATATCATGGCTCATTCCAAACTGATTTTGCAAAGGATCAGTCTGATGTTTTGTACTATAAGTATGGACTACCAAGCATGGGTAAGAAGCTACAGAATGATGGATTGTCATACCCTTTAAGGAACTTCTTCTAACAGAACTGTGCAAACACTCTAAGACATAAGAGTTCTCTTTTCTTTTTTTCTTTTTTTAAATAGGCTGGATACTATAGAAAAATATTTTTTATGTAAGATGGGAAGTTTGTACTTGACATTTCACATCCTTTGTGGCATTAAAAATTCCAGGATGCTGTGCAACATCCAACTATTATTTAACTTACTTAGTTTTTTCTTGTGAGCCTCCCATAATCCAGAATTGCTTCTTAATATTGACATTACAAAGAAAAGTGGAATTATCGGACCTGGCCTCCAGGAACTCACTCTCGATCTCACCACAGTGATGGGACATGCTTGTTTGAGGAGAGCAAGATGCTACAGAACCCCTTCTGTCTGGGGGTGTTTCTGTCTGGGAAGGGTAGTCAGAAGGAAGAATGTTACATGTCAGGATAGTAAAAAAAAGGGTGGATGAGTAAATGAGAGAAAAGAGAAGTCCTGTGAGATGCTGCCAGGCTATGGGGTTGAGCTGGGAAGAGAAATTGGGCAAAGGAAGAACAATCCTCTATTTTTGTTACTGGTGCATCACTGGATATTTATAAGCTTCCTTCCATCTTGATGATTCTCACATAACTGTTACTGTATTTACAGTGGTCCTAGTTCACATTGATTAAATAAAAATACCTATATTGTTTCTCGGTCATTAAAATACTAAAAAATGACTATCTTATATTTCTACATAGAAATGTCTCTTTGCCTGAGAAGTGTGGTGACACAGCTGTGGAGTTATACACTCCTGCTTATTGCTTATTTAGAAGCAGAAAGACAAAGCTTCTGACCTCTATGTATTTGGAAGATACTTGGACCCCAGTCTGGTCTGTCAATAATAGACAAGGGTGCATTTGGTAGGTGGCTCATGGTCTCTAAAAATCCAGTTTCTTATAAAACCTAACAGAAGAGGGGAGGAGCAAGATGGCGGAGGAGTAGGAGATCTAAATTTTATCTGGTCCCAGGAATTCAGCTCGATAGGGATCAAACAATTCTGAACACCTAAAAACTCAACAGGAGAGTGAAGAAAAGAATAGCAGCAACTCTCGGAACAGAAAAACAATCACTTTCTGGAAGGTAGGATGTGTGGAGAAGCTAATCCCACACGATATTCAGGAAGATAGAGGGCAGGGGAGGGGGCCTCCCTCAGCCGCTACCTGCAAGTGATAGAGCAGCAGAGCACAAAATCGGAACTTTTAGAAATCTGCTCTGCAGAGGGATGTCTCTCCAGTGGCTAAGCAGGCGGTGGAACCCTCACTGGGACAGTGTGGTCGCAGGACCCTCGGGGTCACAGAAAGGCCGGGCCTGCCTGAGTGCGGCAGAGCTCCCAGGTATCGGAGCGGGGCAGCCGACTGTAGAGATGGAGCTGAGGAGCGGGCTCTCTGGTTGGGGTTGCCATAAACCATGGTCCGTGGCACAGCTGGGCCACTGCTCTTCCAGCAGGGGCCCAACAAGAGGCAGAACCTGGGAGACTCCCCTTCCTCCCCTGGGAGGAGTGGCATGGGAGCGCACCACAGGGATCTGTTGGGTTTGGAGATTCCACACGGGGTCGGTGCCAGAGATAGAAATGCTCGGTCACAGGCCGGGTGAGCATGGAGTATGGCTGCAGACTGGGGAGACAGGAGTGATTGACTGCTTTTCTCTGGGGGCATACTGAGGAGTGCGGCCCCAAGTTCTCGGCTCCTCTGGGCGGAGATTGGGAGGCCGCCATTTTCACTCTGGTCCTCCAAAGCTGTACAGAAAGCTTTCAGGGAACAAAAGCTCCCGAGATCAAACCTGAGCAGATTACTTAGCCCGGACCTGACTGGCAAGGGCAGGGCAATTCCACCTCCAGCAAAGACATTTGGGAACCACAGCAACAGGCCCCTCCCCCAGATCACCAGGAACAGCCAGCCAAGACCAAGTTTACCGATCAATGAGAACGGCAGAACTCCAGTACTACGGGAATACTGCACATAGAATTCATGGCTTTTCCCCCATGATTCTTTAGTTTTTCAAAGTTAATTTTTTTAATTTTCTTTTTTTTGAATTTTTCCCTTTTTCAACCAACATCTTATCAATCCCTTTTTTAAAAAATCTTTTTTATTTTTCATTTTTAGAGTCATATTCTATCCCTTCATAATAGTTAACCTTATTTTTTATATATATATATATATATAAAATTGTTCTCTCTTTAAAATTGTGGGATGCAGTTTCTTCTAACAGACCAAAATATACCCTAAATTTCTAGTGTATGGCTTTGTTTTAATCTCCTGCCTGATCACATTATCTCCCCCCTTTTTTTTAAATCCTCTTCTTTTTTCTTTTTTTTTTTTTTAAAGATTTTATTTATTTATTTGACAGAGAGAGACACAGCGAGAGAGGGAACACAAGCAGGGGGAGTGGGAGAGGGAGAAGCAGGCTTCCCGCCGAGCAGGGAGCCCGATGCGGGGCTCGATCCCAGGACCCTGGGACCATGACCTGAGCCGAAGGCAGACGCTTAATGACTGAGCCACCCAGGCGCCCCAATCCTCTTCTTTTTTCAACCAACTTCTTATCAATTCCTCTTATAAAATCTTTTATAGTTTTCATCATTACAGTCATATTCCATCCCTTCATCGTATTTACCCGTACTTTTGTACATATATAAGTTTTTCTTTCTTTAAAATTTTGGGAGACACTTTCTTCTAACAGACCAAAATACGCCCAAAATCTAGTGTGTGGCACTGATCTATGCACCACCCTGATCATATTTAATCATATTCTGTTTTCCTTTTTTTGTTTTTTTTTTTCTCTTATTCTTATTCTTTTTCTTTTTTCTTTCTTTCCCTTTCTTTCCCCCCAGTTTTAGGACTATTCTGATTTGCTTAGTGTATGTTTTTCTGGAGTTGTTGTTACCCTGTTAGCATTTTGTTCTCTCATTCATCTACTGTCCTCTGGACAAAATGACAAGACAGAAAAAATCACCTCCAAAAAAAAAAAAAGAATAAGGCAGTACTGACTGCCAGGGACCAAATCAATACGGCCATTAGTAAGGTATCGGAACTAGAGTTCAGAATGACGATTATAAAGATACTAGCTGGGCTTGAAAAAAGCATGGAAGATTTTAGAGAAACCCTTTCTGGAGAAATAAAAGAACTAAAATCTAACCAAATCGAAATCAAAAAGGCTATTAATGAGGTGTAATAAAAAATGGAGGCTCTAACTGCTAGGATAAATGAGGCAGAAGAGAGAATTAGTGATATAGAAGACCAAATGATGGAAAATAAAGAGGCTGAGAAAAAGAGAGATAAACAACTACTGGATCACGAGGGCAGAT